AAGTGCTGGTAAGAATAGAGGCGACGACCATGCGCCGCCAAGGGTCTGGTGAGGCAGTCAGATGAAGTCGCCCACCTGAAGAGGGCCGTCACGCACTGCTGGTGCTCCCCTGGCGTGGCAGGTGGCCGCAGCCATCAGGCGTTATGGGGCTTGCGGTGCCCACAGTCGGCGGGAGCTGCATGAATTGTAGGCCGCGGAGAAAGGGTTAGAGGTGCTGGAGTAAAGGCGTGAGTGAAAAGCTGCTGAGGCTGCAGCGGCAGCCGGGCGTCTGCTGCTGCTGCTACTGCTACGTCCAGGCCGCGGGCTGCTGCTGCTGCGTTTGGAACCTACGGGTTGGCGAGAAGGGGAAAGTGACGGATTAGAGAACAACAAACAGATGACGCAGCAGCCGCAAGACTCGGATAAGCTGCGCACGCAGCTGCGCCCGCTGACGGTGGCTGCAGAAAGAAAGAGCGCGGGGTAGGGGGGCGTGTTGTCGCTTCTGAGGAGAGAGGCGCTGCAGCAGCAGTAGCCTCTGCGTGGGCAGCAGCAGCAGGGTACACGAGGGTGCAGCAGAGACAGACAGAGCCCAATTAAGCCCTCGTGTTGTCTTTAAGCCGCCCTAAGACATAATAGAAACGCCTACGGACCCCCCCTCTGCACAGGGCACAGGGCCAGGGTGATCTGACGCCCTGTTGGCTGCGTCGGACTGCCGCTGGGGCCCTTCCCAATAGCCTCTCTTTTCCCTTTTAGTTTCCTTAACTCGTGTTCCTTTATTACTCACCAATTAACAAAATTTAGATCCCCAGGTGGAGCCCACCGCGCTGCCAGCGGGGCCTCCCAGGAGCCACAGGGCCGACGCTGCTGCACCACAACAGCAACAGCAACTACAGCAACCGCCTCCCCAGCGGTTGCTGCCCCTCCCCCTCCTCCAATCGCCGTCTTTTGCTTCCAGCTGCGAACGACCTACAATAAGACAACGCAAGTGCATGCATTGCACTGCTTTTTCTTTTCCGTCCTCTGAAGCAGCATTGTAGCTTGACGAACTGCCTACGTCGCTCCATCCCTGCCACTCTAAGGCTAGGGTGTGTCCAGAGCCTGTGCAGCTGCTGCTGCCCAGTGTCGTAGAGTGTTTGGCTTCGTTGCTGTCTTCCGTTGGCAGAGGAGGCGAAGGAGGGCCTGGCGGCGTCTTGGGCCGCTGTTGACGGCAGAGTCACGTGGCCGCGTCGAGCTGGCCGTATATGGGTGCCTAACACACCGAATAGCCAGGAGCGATGCGTGTGCTTTTCGTTGCGGCGCAGCCGTACAACTTCACACCAGCCACCTCAGCTAAACGGTGACCGGACGAAGCTGCAGCAGAAGCGCAGTTCCCCGGCTGCCTGTTCGCCGCAGGCGCGGCAGCGGTTTTGTTTGTTAACTGTCGGCGTGCACAGCGAAGGTGTGCAGCCTGGATGCTTTTGGCGCTACGGGGTGCTGGAGTTTTTTCGTAGGGCTTGATGTTTCCAGCAGTCTACTACTGCATTCGCCCTAGGTTGGTGTTCCCGCAGTGGGGCAGCGGCGAGTTGATTTTGCATTCATCGCTAGTTGTCGCTGTTTGAGCCACTGCGGCTTTGAGTCTCAAGTAATGGTGTTCCATCGGCAGTGTTGGAGTGACCGTTTTGTGTGAACGTGACCAAGGGGCGCCAGTGGGGTTCAGTGCGGCTGTTTGGTCTTCGTTTTGGCTTGAAAGTAGGTGCTGCCACGGCATATTGGCAACGAGGTCGGCTGCTTTCGGAGTGATGCTTTCGAGATGCGTTTGGTGCCACTCGATAACGCGGGGACGGCATCCTCGTCTCTAGTGAGGAGCGGGGGTGAAGGCATAGAGGTCCAGGAGAAAATTGAGATATACGTGAAAAAATTACCAAACTTAGTGTCGACAGCCAGGCAAACGCACACGTTTTGCTCTGCTGGCGGAGTTGCTTCAATTTGAATTTCGCACGGTCTGTATGAGCTGCATGGGGTGCTCAGCGTATTTGGTTTTGTTGCTTGGCGGCTGTTGCGAAGTGGCCACCTCGCTTGCGGACTAACTGAACATTGCATGTGAGGACGCGCAGCTGTAAAAGGAGCTGCACGTCCCACCGGCACTCCACGCTTCAGCCTGCGCCCACGCAGCGGCAGCGGCCAATTTTTGGCCCATGATGCCCCGTTCTGCTCTGCCTAGGGCTAAGTGTGCGCTCGCACTACGCGGGCATGCAAGCTCAACACCTGGGGGCGTGTACGCCTTCACGCGCAGCGCTGCGCCAATCGGTGCTACTCCTCCTCTGGGTAGACGTAGGGAACGTCGTTGTACAACTTCTGTAAACAGAGAAACGCATAATAGGTGGAATCTATGTTACAGTGAACAAGAGGCGGGTCATCCGCTATAAGTCTGTGTGGTTGGGACGTACCCCGCGGTTTACAGATCTCCATATTTTATTCCATGTCTCGCTCCAGACGTAGGAAGTGACCATTCCCCCGCTGACTACGAACATCCAATAGGACCAGTTGTTCTTGAGCACGTAGTCGTAGATCCTGCAGAACGTGCACAGGACGCCAGATCTGCCAGTGAGCCGACTGCGTTTTCCAGTGCTGACGTTGTTGGCAATTGCACACGCTCGTATGAGTTCCCTGTTAATTGGTGAAACCAACACGCTAGTTACAGCTGCGGTGTAGCAGCGTAGAGCCTGCGGCGGGGTGTGCAGCGGAGGCTAGGTCTTGGGTAGCGATAATTCAAGGCTCCGTGCTTGCCCTTAAGTCATTCTGTGGCATCATGGGGCTTCTGATAATGCGAATCCACTGGGTTTAGAGAGGAAACAATGCGAAAAGGCCCCGAACTTCGGTGACCACGGGACGCACTTGGTGGCATTCAGGAGCCTAAAGAAGGGGGCGAACATATCTTTACCCTTTCGGCTGTTTTTCAGTCCTCTCCAGATCCATTCGGGGTAATCATCTGCAAAAGGATTGCCGAATTTAATTCGCCGGAACATATTGTTCAGGGATCCTGACGTCGAGTGCCCGTTCGCGCCATGCGTTGCCGCAAGGCAGAAACGGGAAAAACGAAAGAGACCCTGCATGATTACTGTCGTTATCTAGGAACAGTAAACAAAGTAGGTTCACTTTTGTATAGCCTTCACAATGCTTATCTGACGGCAGCATGTGGGACTGCAATATGCATGCGCGCGAGCAGCATGGCACAGCGCTCGGCTTGTTCCGCAATTGAGTCGTATGTTTCCCCCTCATGTTCTATTCTTATGCGTATTTGACAATATAATGATTAAAGTTGATTTCTGAAAAAACGAGGTGGCGCGGGCGAACGGAGCAAACTGGTAAAAAGGCACGCACAGCAAGTTCAACTAGACAGTTGCCTACACTTTGTCGTAAACATAGAAAAATAAAGTGCTGTGGTCAGAAAAACAAACCCAATCGATGGTTAGAGTTCAATTGAGATCGGCCGTCTGTGGCCTAGCGGATGCTAAAGGAAAGGCGGCCCGCAAAATACGAGTTAACTACGAAACAAAATGTTCCTGTGTTTCCATCTCTACGCCTTCGAACAAGCACAGTGATTTTGTGGCCTTACATCCACGCAAATGTTAAATGCTGTCATGGCCAGATAGGAAGTCTTATTATGTGGTTAAGCGGCTTAAGGGGCCTACCCAGGTGGTTGCTTGAGGGGGTTACTTGCTGCGCACAAGCCGGGTACTTGCACGCATCAGAGAACATACTCTCTGCTTGTTCTCTGTGGCTTTGAAAAGTATCTCAACTAAAGACTATCCCCAACTGATTGGGCAAGTTGAGCCTACAGCCCTTCTCTGTTCGCACAATTGCCAACGGAAAAACAAGCCTCTGGAGAATATATTCAGTCCAATATACATTGATTCAGAACACTGACTCGCATGAGGGGTTATTTTTCGTGACCTAATAATCCCTACCTAACTCAGCAAGGGGAAAAGGTTAGTGCGGTCCCAATAGGGTCAAGTGGCGCTGCATTGCGCTCGGGGCTGATTGCAAACAAATTTCTCCCGCTTGTTTGACTGTTTGCATGCTCATGATGTGTTCTCATCAAGACAGATGTATATGACCCGGAATGTTTTCCTGCAGCAAACGGCCCTATTGTTTTAGGTGTCTACTAATTTTGGCTACGGGCAGCTAAGCTTGGTATTTGTTAGCGAGGGGGAGCTCGATATATCCCGCCTTTTTGTAATTAACTCACTGTGAACCATGAAGCGCTTTTTGTCCATGGGCGCGACTGACTTCAGTTCAAATCGACTTCGTAACAACTGCTGTGGTGGGCGGGCGCTGCTATAATTGAGAGATACCTAACGACTCATCAAGAGACGCCAAACTTTTGACTGCTTCTCCGAGCTCTGAAGTTCATTTCATTGAGCTGCTTCTTTTGTACTTGCTCCCCTTGAGCCTTTGGTTGCACGGCACATGCCAGCCGACTGTGTAGATGCATCGGTAGAGCTGAACAGGATTGTTTGTACTCTGTGTCTGTCCCTTCTTTGAAATTGCTGTTCTATGGCGGCAGTCGGGCAAACTAAAGGGCGTGCAGCGACACTGCTCACTGGGAAGGTATCTCTGCAGCTAGTTGAAATCCCCACCGACCCCAGTGGCAGAACACACTCGCTAATAAACTAGCCACACTTGCAGCTAATTGACTCGCGAGCTTGCCAACTTGTCAGCTGCCTTCATCACTATCCAGCTACTGCACGAGTTAGCTGCTCCGAAAGTTAGTTGATTTCGCAGCAAACTGATACAGTTGCTGATGGGTGCCTGCAGGCCGCAGTGCAGCTGCCATCTGAAAGAGATATAGGACAGCGAGAAGAAGAGGGAAGAGAACAACAAAACAGAAGAAAAAAGACATGTGTCCAGGCTCAAATAGCCACTCTGCTCCAAATTTGGCCACATGCCAGGAAGCGAAATACACGAAACTACGAGAATATGCGGCGCCGTTGATGCAGCACCCACTAACGCTGCTGTTATTCCTGCTGCTGCTGCTGCTGTCACTGTGGTCCTTGTGATGCCTTGGTCGCCTTCTGGTCAGCAGCTGCCTCGGGCTGCGCCGTCAGCAGGGGAGGAAGCAGCTGCAAGGCGCAGAAGCGCCCCGGGAGGACGCGGGTGAGGAGTCGCTGCATCGCCTTTCGGGCTTCATTGCGCATTTCCTGAGCAACCCCACGCAAAGAACACACTGTCCTGATGCTGCTTGCACACCTGAAAATAAAGATGTGCAGGCTCGTTAAGCTCGCTACGGGAACCACAGGCACTTTCATCGCCCATCGGCAGCAAGAGGAGCAGGAACAGCAAGAGCTGTGTGCCAGCAACGCTAGCAGCTACACATCAATAGCAGCAGACGCTGAAGCAGCAGCAAAAGGTCCGCGGCAGCTGCAAAAGTCACAACTGCTGTATTCCAACTGCAGCGACATCAACCTACCGGCGACGCTGCAGCAGTCAGCTGTAAAACGAGGCCCAGAACGAGTGAAGCGTTTGAGGCAGCCCTGAAAACGCAGCAACAGCACAGCAGCAAAGCACACTTAGGATCAAACGAGAAACTCCTGGACCCCTCACTGGGTCCTAACAGGAGAAACGCCTGTAGGGAAGTCACGAAATCAACTAACTACCTCAGCTGCGCCACATACTAAATGGATAGTGCGGCAAAAGCGGCTGAAGCAACAGCAACAATATTCGAAATAGAAACTACAGCATCAATAACAACTCTTGCAACAGAGTTGCAGCGTCAGGAAGACCCTATCAAATAGAAAGGAAGACACACATTGCCACGGCGGCCGCAGCGACACTAGCGGCAAGAGCATCAGCTTCAGCAGCCGCAGCAGCAGGATCAACAGCAACAGCATTAGCAGCTGCTAAGGCTTACATGTTGCCTGGCAAGTCGTTGAGGCCTTGAAGGACTGAGGATGAGATAAGCACTGACAGACCCGTCAGCTCGCGACTCACTTCCGCCTGAGACGCCGGCGGGCATCCCACAGCTACTCATAATGAGCGAGGCTACTCTAACAGCAGCAGCCTTTAAACGATGTGCAGAAGTGGCAGCAGCACCAACAGCAGCTGCAGCAGCAATGCACCGGCGAGAAAGAGCCACCCACCAGCTCTGCCTGTTGGATGGCCTTCGACGGGTCGTGCGCGAATCCCTCCTTCGCCACTATTGTTTGCTGGTGCTGTTGGTGCTGCTGCTGCTGCTCCAACAGCCGCTGCAGCTGCTCCTCCTTCCAGAGAAATTGAACAATGTGCCAGCGGCAAAAACGCAGGTATCGGGGCAGGGCGAAAGCTGTTAGGTCTTGAGCAGACGCAGCTGCAGCTGGCGCTGCTGCTGGTGCCAGCTCTGAAACTGCAACAGCTGCAGCACCTTCCTGCTGCTGTTTCTCTGGGTTTGACGTTTCGCTGAGAGCTGACAGCATCAGAGCAGCAGCTGCAGCAGCTGCCTCACGGTGCTGCTTCAGCAGCCCAGGGAGCTGCTTGAGCCCTGCCATGAAACCGCACCTTTGCAGCCACAGCCGCAACGAAACCTGCAGCAGCAAAAGCAGCAGCACGAAACGCAGTAAAAAGCGCAGCAGCATCACAGCAGGTCGCTAGCACCAGCAGCAACGCCGTGAATTCAGGGAAGCGTCTAGCAGCAGCAACAGCTGGGGCAGTAGCAGGTGCAGCAAATGCAAAGTCAACTGCCCTACTTGCTGATTATACAAGTAAGCGAAAATAAATGAGGCCTCCAAACAGCAGACTAGAAGCCGGAGGGCCCCCACTGGCAGAAGATTTCCAATGAACTCTTTCTGAAAAAAAATACAAAAAGAGCAGCTAATGCTGCTGCTCCTCTTGTGGTCGTTGCCTCTGCTGCTAGTACCATTGCTGCTGCCGTTGCTGCTACTGTAAGTGCTTAGCTTACCCTCAGCAAGTCTATCAGCAGCAGTTGTGCTACACATCTTGCTGCGACATCCTGCGGATCAAACGGAAGCCTGAGCGGGGCCATCAGGTGGCCGCCAACGGCCGTCGGGGTCCGGCTGCTGCTGCTGCTGCTGCTGCTGCTGCAGATGGACTCTGGCAGACAGCGCAGCAGCAGCTGCCGGTCTTCAGCAGGCAGGGGCTCCGTGCCTGCTGGCATTTTGCTGCTGCTGCTGCGGAGACCCTCCTGCAATAACCAGTCAAGCGGGTGGCCAAACGAAGGCCCTGGGGAATCATCCCGTTGCCGATGCTGCTTTCTTTGCTGTTGTTGCTGCGGCAGGGGCTGCTGCGGCTGCTCCTGGTGTCGTTGCTGCAGATGCCGCTGCTGCTGCTGCTGCTTCTCTCGCTGCCGTTGCTTTTGCTGCTGCTGTTGGTGAGCCGCTTCAGCAGCGGCTGCCGCACTGGGGCCTAGATCTTGTGTCTCAATTGAAGAGAAGTAGAGACCAAAAGACAAACGAAGGGCCTGGGTCGTCACAGCCGCTCTCGCCAGAAGAGCCCGCGGGGCCGAATGGCTGAAGGCGTCCTACGGGCAAAGGAGAAGACAGCAGCAGCAACAGCAGCAAAGATAAAAAAAGATCTAATGCGCAGAGAAGCGCATGCAAGAGGTGCCAGATGTGCGTGCATAGAGTTGTTCGCGAAGCAGGAGCAGCAGCCGCAGTTGGTGCTGGTGCTGCTGCGGGTGCACCAGTAGGCGCAGGGAAAGGGCTGGAACTCACTGCTACGGCACCGGCAACAGCCAGCCATTCTGCTGCTGCCTCTGGCTGCTGCAGGTACTGCTTCAAAGACTGCAGCAGCCGGCGAAGCCCCTCCACGCTGAGACGGGCCCCACACTCCGTAGGAGGGTCGCTAAGCCCTCCTAGCTGCAGCAGCAACGAGACAGAAGTAGCAGCAATGCAGTAGCAGCAACAAGACCGCAGCAGCAACAGCAACAGCAGGCGCGGCAACCTCCGGGACATGTAGCTGTAGCTGACTGTGTTCCTGAATGTAAACTATGAAAGTTTATACCATTAAGTATATCCATTAAGTATATATATACAAACATCTAGCTACAAATTTTCATTGTCACATATACAATAAACTGGCTTCCTATAGGCCTCTATGCACTATGATGCAAATTCGACATTTAAAGATATAAACAATTTCAAGGCGCAACACTTTTGTGGGCAGCAGCTCAAGTGAGCAAATCTAAAAAGGGAAGACAGGCCCCCTAAAACCTTTAAAATTTTCTTTAAGAACTAATTCAACACGAAACTGCGGCTTCTACAACGGCTGTGCAGTTCACCAGCAGCGTACGTACACGACGTAGATACACAAACAATATATATTTAACTTATAAATACTATAAATACTATATACTATAAAAAATTATGCAGATATGTACTATAGTTATGCATCTAGAGACCTTGCAAGACCATATTATAGATATCATAAATATTATATATATCGTGTACAATATACGCACAAATATATTATAGTTGTGCATCTAGAGACCTTGCAAGGCAACCTGTACATACACTGCAGTTGAAATGCCGCACCATGAGAGCGACGAAGGGTCTGAGCAAATGCCGCAGCTGCTTGAAGTGTACGTACACCAGACGCCCCAGCGCTCGAATGGCAAACCAACACAGCGTTTCTTCTTCGGTGTTGAGCCGCAGCTGATCTTCTTTGCTGCCGGGTCTGATGCTGCTGCTGCTGCTGCTGTTGCTGCTAAAGCTGCCGCTGCCCGTGTTCGTGCTGCTGCCGCTGCTTTCCCGATCGTTGTTCTCTGCTTCTCTGCGAACCACAAACAGCGAGGCAGCTGTTACGTTCGTAAGCCGCTGAGGCTGCTCTTGCTTGTCCTGCTGCAGCAGCTGCTGCGGCTGCTGCTGCTGCTGTTGCTGTTGCTGCCGCTGTTGTTTAGATCTGCGGGCCCCGCAGCCGTGAAGGTCAAAGAAGAGGTCCTCAAAAACAGGGGACAAAACGCCCTTCAACACTATTTGCCACAACTCCTGTGGGGGATAGAGACCTGCTTGTTGTTGCTGCTGCTGCTGCTGTTGCCGCTGCTGCTGGTTTGGGGCCTCCGGACCCCCCCTTGCCTGTGACGGTGCTGCTGCTGCAGTTGCTTCTGGAGAGGCAGCAACAAGGCGGCTCCCGTGTTGCTGCAGCAGGCGGAATAAAGCAGCAAGCGCCGCTTCTCTTGGCCCAGCAAAACCGCATGCGCCAAGCCCCAAAAGTCCGTCAAGGGCCCCATCGTCCACGGACAAGCTCCTACTTGCTGCTACTACTGCTGCCCCGGCTGCAGCTGATCCTGTGTGTGGCTGCCCAGCTGACGCAGGGGCAGGAAGCCCCCTGCCAACAGCTGAAGGGTCAGCAGGCCCCTCCGTTGTTCCAGGTGCTGCCTCTGCAGCAGCGGGCGCAGCTGCTGCTGCTGCAGCTGCTGCAGCTGTGCGGCCCCTCGCGCCACCAGGACGGCAAGCAAGCTGCCCCAGGGCCAGCAAGATGGATAAGAAAGAGGGGAAGCTCAGTGCAGCACCGGCAGACGTCCTCTCCTCTGCTGCTGCTGCTGCTGCTGCTGTCGCTGCTGCTGCTGCTGCTGTCGCTGTTGCTGCTGCTGCAGCATCAAGAGCAGATCCGCGCAGCGCCGAAGGGCGCAAAGCGCCGACGGGCACTTCTGCCTCTGCAGCAAAGCCGTCTGCAGCCGTTCCGTCTACAGTTGCAGCTGCTGCTTCTGTTCCTGCCCAGGTTTCGGTTTGCTGCAGGGGCTGCTGCTGCTGCTGCAGCTGCTGCTTCTGCTGCTTGTCCGCCAGCTGGACTAGGGTAGTAGCTGTGGCCTCCAGCGCCTGCACTGCTTTTACGGCCAGCTGCGGGTCAAGAGGGTTTGCAGCAATGAGGGAAAGAGAAGAAGTTGCTTGAGAGATATTTGCAGCTCCAAGAGAATAGACATGCCGACTGAGCACTTCATCTAAAATGTCAAAGACCAGCAGCAGCCGCTTCCGCAGCTGCTCCGCTGACCCTGCTGCTTCTGCTGCTGCTGCTGCTGCTGCTGCAGCACCCGGCGCTGTCGTGGCAGCGGCCACGGCGGCGGCTGCTGCTGCTGCTGCCGCTGCTGTTACTGCTGTCGGGTGCGGGCTAAAGTGCGTGCCTGCTACTACCACTGGGGGTGCTGCTGCTGCTAGCGGCGCCGCCGCGGGTGCGGCGGCCGCCGCCGCTACCGCAGCAGCAGCTGCAGCAGCAGGCGCCTTGCTGAGGATGTTCACAGCAGCGCAGTGCAGACACAAAAGTATGGACCTCCAGCCAAAACGGATTTGAGTTCCATTTGCTTCCACGAGATGCTTCAAAATGTGAAGAATATATTCCCGGACAGCATCTTGGGTGTGGGGGTCAGAAGCAACTGTCAAGAAGGGGGCCATTAGCTGCTCCTCGAAGTGCAGCATGCGCCCCCCTCCCTCCTGCTGCTGCTGCTGCTGCTGCTGGGTCAGCTGCTTACTGGCTAGCTGACGCAGCGCGTCTAGGGCACAGAGGCGCACCGGCAGGGCCGCATGCAGCGCAGCAGCAACGAAGTGCTGCTGCAGCAAACCCCAAATTAGATGAACCCGTCCAATGTTGTAGTCGGCTGTCTCCACTAGCTTCTGAAGGCCAAAGAGTCGCGGCTGCTGCTGCTGCGGCGGCTGCTGCTGCTGCTGCTGTAACTCCAGCAACGAGACCTGCTGCAGCGCCGTTACGAACCCCACAAAAGCCGAGTCGCTGAGGTGAACCGAAGAATAAAACAGCAAATCGACACAAGACAAATCCAAACAACTTTCTATCAGGCACATGTTCTCAAACAGAACATTCTCCTTCATGGGGCCTAAGACCGTGAAGGGGGCCCCTCCGCGAGCCAGGTTAGGGGCCCCCTCAGTAGCAGGCGAAGACACAAGCACCCAAGAGCTTTCTGCACCCTCTAGAGCCTGCTGCTGCTGCTGCTGTGGCTGGACATGGGTTTTGGCTGCGTCCACGAAGAAGGGGGCTGCCACGACCGCGGCGGCTGCGGTTGCTGCTGCTGCTGTTGCTGCTGCTGCTGCTGCTGACGCGGTCTTGTGGGCATTCACCCTTTGCCGCCTCTCTTCTCTCACCGCTGAGTCCGCAGCCTTCATCGCCTGGCAGTGGGCCGTCTGCAAGAAGTCGAGCTGCGAAAGCAGCAGCAGCACGTGGATCCAAGCAGCTTCGAGCTGGTCCCCCTCTTCTGCTGCTGCCTGCAGCAGCTGCTGCGCCGCCAAAATGTGCCTGCGCTGCAGCATCTGCTGCCCCGCCCGGTGCAGCTGCGACAGCGTGCGCAAAGTCGCAGCTGTTTCGTCCCTTGTGGCCCCTTGCCCTTCGCTGCAACAAAGTGTCAGGAGGGCCCCCAGGCCCTCCACTGCGCTTTCTGCTGCTGCCTGGGGGGCCCCCAAGTCCCCCACCACAGCAGCAAGTCCCTGCAGCACAAGCTGCCCCACAGCGTCCAGCATGAAGTGCACCAGCTCGCCCAACTCGTCCTCGTAGAGGACTCTGCTGCTCAGCTGCAGCTGCCGCTGCTGCTGCTGCTGCTGCCGCAACTGCTGAAGTTCCGCCCGGTGCGCACTGACGAGCCATCGGGGGCCCCGGGACCCCAGGGGGGTCCCCCAGGGCCCCCCCGCCCCTTGAAAGGCCCGCGCTAGGGGGGCCCCCCGCGTCTGCTGCAGGGGGCCCCCGGTGCTCTGGTCAGGCAGTACCCACTCCTCCTTAGCCACTCTGTTGTAAAGGGCCTCCAGAAAGGGCTGAGGCAAATCTTTGCCTTCGTTGATGCCTCTGTTGTTTTTGACAAATTCCATTTTTGTCATTTTCCGGCTCGGCTTCACTTCTTTCGAGTGCAAGTCCGTGTGCAGCATAATCAGCGAAAAGGACAAGATGTAGCAGCAGTCTGCAGAAGGCAGCTTGTAGCTGCGCACACTCAGCTCGTCCGCGTCCGCAGGCTGCTGTTGCTGCTGCTGCTGCAGCTGCTGCTGCAGCTGCTGGCTGCTGCCGCTGCTGGGCTTGCGCGGAAGAGCCCCTTTGGGATCTCCGGCCATGTCGCTGCTGCCGGTGAGCTCCTCTCCTTCAGCACTGGGGCCGCTGCCGCTGCTGCTGCTGCTTTGGCTGCTGCTGCTGCTGCTGCTGCCGTCGCTGCTGTTGTCTTGAAAGTAGCGCTCAGCAAAACGCTCAAGTATGCGGTCGATCTTCTGAGCCTCCCCAGGCAGCCGAAAGAGGGACAAAAAAAGGCGAAGGGCTTCATCAATGGGACGGCCCTGCGGGGGCAGCAGCAGCAGGAGCAACAGCAGCAGCAGCAACAGCAGCACAGGGGCGGCATTTAAGGCGAGTGCACAGGCAGCAAAATGGGCGCAAATAAATGAATTTTGAAACAAATTAGCCACCAAAAAACACAACTAAAACACAAACTAAACATCGTCGACCAAACGATTGCCAATAAACGCGCAGTGTACGTACAGCGAAACTCAAACGCTGCAGAAAAGCTGAAAGCAAAGCCCTGGAGGCTTCTGAGTCTCCCCCTAGCAATTCGCCGACAGCAGCTTTGCTGAGGCCCCGCTGCTGCAGCAGCAGCAGCGCCGCTGCCTCCGGCGAGTCCTGCAGCAAGTCCAAAGCCATCAGCAGCAGCAGCAGCAGCAAGTGGAGGCCCAGCGGGCAGCGGAGTGCAGAAACAAATCGTGGGGGATGAGTGAAGCAAATGAGGGAAGCAGCTGTCGCCGTGCTCGCTGCTGCTGCTGTGGTGTACAGACAGCCTCACCGGCAAACCCTTCAGCTGCAGCAGCTGCTGCAGCCCTTCTGAGGGTTTTCTGTTGAAGCTTTCGATGGCAGCATATAGCCGGCGCTTCCACTCGCGCCGCCGCCGCACCTCCTCTGCCAGGTGTCTGTTGCTGCTGTTGCTGCTGCTGCTGCTGCTGCTTGTCGGGCTGCTGTTGCTGCCCAGAGAAGTAATGGGAGCTGCGGCTTCTGCCTGCTGTTCGCTCCGCCCATCTTGGACCTCACCCTGCTGCTGTTGCTGCTGTTGCTGCTTCTGCTGCTGGTGCTCTTCTGCGCCGAGCGTGGTGGGAGTCTCTGGGGAGAACGAAGACTCCAGGGCGAGCTTGCCGCCTCCATTTGCATGCAGATTCGCTTGCTGCTGCTGCTGCTCTTGTGGGTGGCTCTTAGGGCTTTCTTTGCTTTTGCCTGGCCGCCCTCGCCTGCAGTCTTTGAGCGCCACAGCTAAGGAAGATAGTGCAGCAACTGCTGCAGCACGCAGCTCCCGCTGCTGCTGCTGCTGCAGGCCTGGCGTGGCTGCTGCGTCCCCTGAGGCATTGCAGCAGAAACGCGCAGGGCAGCAGCAGCAAAACAGGCTCTGAGCAGCAGCCACGAGAATCAACTCAAGGAAGCAGCAAGGCAAGAAGGAAGTTAAAAAAAAAACTTGTTTGAATCAAAAAGAACTTATTTGAATTAAATTAAGAATGAAAAAGACTCAGAAAAGAAGGTGACGGACCTGCTGCAGCGTGGCGCTGCAGTGTCTGTACAACCTGCAGCAGCACGTCTTCGCCCTCGTAGGCCAAATCGAAAGCAGCAAATAAAAGCGGCAGCAGCAGCGGCACAGCGCGAAAGAGCCGCGCAAGGAATGCCAGCGCGGCCAGCTTCTGCGACACGGACTGCTGCTGCTGCTGCTGCAGCTGCTGCTGCGGGCGCGGCTGCGCTGCCTGCAGCAGCGGCGCCACCATCTCTCCCACAAATATACTCACATCTACCAGCAGCGGCCCCTGCAGCAAACAGCAGCAGCACAGCAGCAGCAAATAAGAAGCGGTTGCGCAGCAAAGGCAGGCCTCCATTAGCCGTAAATAGCCGAAAATGCTGCTGCGACAGTAGCAGCAAAGGGAGCTAGCGACACGGCTTGCTGCTGTTGCTGACTGCAGCACTATGCAAGGCTCTATCTGGAATGGAGGGCTGAAATGTAAACGCGACAAGAATGTACGGGGGCGAAAGCTGCTGCCGCTGCAGCAGCAGCGGCGCAGCAGCAGCAACGAAAATAGTCGCTCCAACAGCAGTAGCAGCAGCAGCAGCCCTGCGGCCGTCAGCAGCAACGGACCTCAGCTGTCTCTGCAACTCGAAGCACAATCTCCAGACCCATCCGACACAGCGCTGCATCCTGCAGGCTGCGGCCAAGGGCAGGCAGCAGCTGCTGCCGCAGCAGCAGCACCAGAGACGGGTCTCCCCACAATGCCTTAGGCAAGCTCTGCAGCAGCAGCAGCAGCAGCAGCAGGACGAGGGCTGGGGCAGCGACACAGCCCGTGACCGCGGCGAGATAAACACATAATGCAGCGGCAGCAACAGCACTGCTAGTCTTAGCGACAGCAGCAGCAGCAGCAGCCTAGGCTTCTCATGCAGCAGCAGCAGCAGCAGCTCTGATGACACTGGAAACGCTGCCAGTACCAACAGTAGCGCAAACAATGGCGGCAGCCGCCGCCACAGCAACAGCAACAGCAACAACAGCAGCAACAGCAGCAGCAGCACTTGTTACCTGGGCAACAGCAAGGATCATTTCCAGGGCCAGGCGTTTGCTGCGTCTGCTTCTTGAGGGCCCAAGGGCCCCTTCCAAACTGCTGTCGGGCGGGGGCCCCCTGGGGGGCCCCCTGAGGGGCCCCTCGCCATCTGCAATGCGGCAAAGGGCCTGCAGGGTCAGCAGCAGATCTCTCACTTCCAGCAGCACCGGCCGGTAGGAAAGCTTGCTGCTGCTGCTGCTGCTGCTGCTGCTGCGGTGGCGGCGGCTGCAGCTGCTGCTGTTTCTGCTGCTGCTGTTGCTGCAGGTAGGCTGCCGCCCGCTGTCAACTGCTGAGAGCTCGTTCGCAGGCGTTTCGGCAGCTAGGGGAGAAGTAGCAGCAGCAACTACCGCTGCAGCAGTTGCTGCTGCTGCTGCTGCTGCTGGAGCAGCTGCTGCTGCTGCTGACGCGGCTGCTGCTGCTGTTGCTGCTCTTGCTGACGCTGCTGCTGCCGGCGACTGCAACGCCTGCGGTGTGTCTGCTGCTGTTGCTGTTGTTGCTGCTGTGGCATCTGTTGCTGCTGCAATGCCGTCTGCTTCCGCTTCTGCTGGTAAGTTAACCCTTGACACAAAGGGCAGTTTCTCTGAGTCTGCTGCTGCTGCTGCTGAATCTGCTGCTGCTGCTGCTGCTGCTGCTGCACCTGCTGGCGTGTCCACTACTGCGCTCGCCCCGAGGATCGCTGCTGCTTCTGCATCAGAATGCTCCGCTGCAGCAGCAGCTGCTGCTGCTGCTGCTTTTGCTGCATCTGGTGCTGCAGCAGTAACTGCTGCGTGTGCTGCCTCCTGCGACTCATTCGCTACTGCTGCTGCTGCTTCGGAGCCCGGAGCAGCAGCATCAGCTGGGGGCCCATCAAAAGGTGCTGCAGTGATTCTGCACGGATCTGCTGCAGCAGCAGCAGTGCTAGCAGCAGCTCCTGCTTCTGCTGCTGGCTGCAGGCTCGCCGCGCCTTCAGCAGCTGCTGCTGCGGCTGTTGCTGCTGCGGCCTCTTCTACTGCAGCAGCCGCTGCAGCTGCAGCTTCCCGTTTCGTAAGCCCAGCTGCAGCTGCTTCTGCCGGTGCTGCTGCCTCTGCGCGTGCCCCCGCACGACCAGCAGCAGCAGCAGCAGCAGCAGCTCTGTGGACAGCAGCATCCAGGGCCTGAAGCAGCGCAGCGTGGGAAGCTCTGGCTAAGTCATCTGCTGCTGCTGTGACACAAACAGCAAATAGAGATGAAAGGGCCCCCAAGAGGGGCCCCCCATGCAGGGGGGCCCCTGCTGCTGTCAAGGCTGTGAGCAGACACCGCACTACTTGCAGCAGCACGGGGTCTTCTGCTGCTGCTGCTGCTGCTAAGTGCCCTATGGCCTCCGTCAAATACTCCACAGTGCCTTCCACCTCCGCCGCTGCTGCTGCTGCTGCTGCTGCTGCTGTTGGGCTTGTAGGCGTTGCTGCTTCTGGAGAGGCTGCAACCGGAGACACGCCTGCCTGCTGCTGCTGCTGCTGCGGCTGCACGTCGCCCGCAATGGGCACTTGCTCGGGCCGGCTGTGTCTCGTTTGCTGCTGCTTGCCTGCGGGCTGTGCAGCCGCTGCTCCTGCTGCTGCTGCTACTGTTGCTGGGGGTAGAGCACCCAGAGACAGCAGCAGGTTGGAAGCCTCGAGCGCCAGCAGCTGCAGCTTTGGCTGGTCTCCAGAGAGACACAATTTGAAAGTATATAAAAGAAAAGGAAAGAAAGGTGAAGACGCGGGCACTAGCACTGCAGCACCTGCTGCAGCAGCAGCAGCTGCTGCTGCTGCAGGTGCTGCTGCCGCAGCATATGCTGCTGCCGCACCATTCTCACGACTCCCGCCATCAACTACTGCTGCGGCCTCTACAGGCTGCTGCTGCTGCTGCTCCAGTAGGTCTACTAAGGCAGCGTCTGCTGCTGCTGCTGCTTCCCTTATTGGTTTCCCCCTGCGGCCACCTGGTGCTGCTTTCTGCATGCGGCAAAGGGTTTCCCGGATAAAGAGGCAGCAGCTGCACGAGAGGGGCCGGGCCCCATTTGCTACTGCTGCTGCTGCTGCTGCTGCTGTAGCTGCTGCTGTAGCTGCCGCTGCTGTCGCTGCTGCCGCTGCTGGCGATGCCCCTTCTACTCTTGCTGCAGGTTCTTCTCGTGATGCAGTTGCTTCTACGTGTGCTGCTGCTGCTGCAGGCAGGGGTGCACCCAGAGGCTCTGGGGGCCCCGGGGGCTCTGCTGCCTGGGGCCCCCCGTCGGGGGCCCCTTTTGTTTGGAAATTCATCGCAGCAAGACGCGTACGGTTGACTGCAGCACATTCAGCAGCCTACTGCTGCTGCTGCTGCTGCTGCTCGAGTTGTTGCTGCTGCTGCTGCTGCGCCGAACTGCTGGGGTGGTGGGGCCCACTCGCTAGCGCCCCCTGTAAACCCCTCCCTGGCCCCAGCTGGCGGCCCCAAAGAGTTCATTGCATTTGTTTGAGGGCCCCCAGCCTCGTGCGTCTTATGTCTCTGCGTTTGAAGCAAAGCAGCAGCAGCAGCAGCAGAAGCAGCAGCTGTCGCTGGAGCCGCCGCTGCACGGCCTGGGGGAGCACGGCTCGCCACGAGACGCTAAAGCGGAGATCAAAAAGCAGAAAAAATGAGAAATAATAAATACGCAAATCCCAAGTGGACACAAGAGATCCAAAACACATCAACAGACAATTGGGGGCCCCTGGGGGGCCCCCAAGGGGCCCCCCGGGGCCCCCTGAGGACAAGATAGAGATGTTGAAGACTTGTTTCCACGAAAACATATTTCCCTTGACTATTTTAACTTTTACAATGTATTGCCTCAGCTGGCTAGGGGCCCCGGGCCCTCTTTCTGGGCTAGAAGTCTTGAATTAATTCCATTCGCCTTCAGCTTCTGCTGCAGCTCTTTCTGCTGCCCAAGGCCTCTCAGCGCAGCCCAGCAAAAGCAGCGCAGCAAGCAGAAGCAGCAGCAGCAAAGTCAGAAGCCCCAAGAGCGCTGCATCCCAGGGGCCCCTGGGCTGCCCCTGGGGGTTTAGCGCCACTGGGGGCCCCCCAGGTCAAGGGGTCCCCACAGGAGCACCTACATAGAGGCGAGACCCCAGTATTAGGGGCCCCTTTTGCTATAAAGGCAGATATGTATGCAACTAGTTAGTATATATACATATATAGGACTTGAAAATGGGCATTAGACAACATAGCCTGTCTGGGGGCCCCTTGGGAGCTTTAGAGGCATTTTAGAAACCCTAATATGGCTCTTTGGGGGCCTTAAAAGGAGGCCCTCTGGGGCCCTCTGGAGGTCTTCTGGGGGCACTTTGGAGGCCCTCTAGGGGCCCCCTAAAAGGCCTTTTAGGGACTCCGAAATGGCCCCCAAAGGGTTCTGGAGGGGCCCCTAAAAGGGTCTAAAAGGGCCCCTAAGCGGCCCCAGAGGGTCCCGAAACAGCCTTTCAAGGGCCCCCAGAGGGGCCCCCAAGGACCCCGACAGACCTGCCAGAGGGCCCCAGGGGCCCCCTAAAGAGAACTTCGGGGGCCTTAGGGGGCCCCTGAAGCTCCCTGACAAGGCTTTCAATATGCCTAAGAACAATAGAAGATTGGGGCCCCGCGAAACCCTGAAAAGCCCGTTTCACGGCGTCTAAAGGGCCCCTGGGGGCCCCCAGGGGGCCCCAGAGGGGCCCCCTGGAGGGTCTGCGGGGCTGGCGGAGGGCTTCAGCCTCTGAGGTCACCTGGGCGCGGGTAATGGGCGTTAGTGGATCATGAGGGCATTGCTACTGCTGCAGCGGCTGCTGCCGCTGCTGCTGCTGCTGGTACTTTTTCGGGGAGCAGCAGCAGCTGCTTCTTCTGGCTTTTGCTGCTGGCTGAAGAACATTTTAACACAAATACTTGCATAATATAATATTTTAATTTTAATTTAATTTAATGCTCTATCCGTTTTGCTGCTGCTCTTTGCGCCAACAGCTTGGCCTCATTTGCTGACTATTCAGATTCAATTTTCAGCAGTTCAAGTTTCGCCATTTTGCTGCTCAAATTAGCTCCAGAGGTCCCGCAGATTTATTTATTTGTTATATATCTGTTATATATTTATTATTTATTTATTATTTATTCATTATTTATTTAAATTTTTATCATTTATCTATTAACTTATTCCCCGAAGAAAGCGCTTTCCGCTGCAGCAGCAGCCGGCAAACCCGCAGCAGCAAAACAGCAGCGCATACTTTTCTTATTTTTATTCATTTCGTTAAATTTTATTCTTATTCAAAAATTAATTTGTATTCCTCATTTAATTTCGCTCTTTCTCTATATTTTTTCCGGGACTTGAGAGCGCTAAATAAGCAACACAAATGTCTTATAAATGGATCTATAGGCGTCTATGTACAAATATATATGTAGATAATTATTGTTATACATATGGGTCTATATTTACGTTATATATATACATATAAATATGAATCAACATCTATATATATATATATATATTTTGTGCACTAAATACACGTATATATATATATATATACATTATATGCTTAGATACATAAAGGTATTTGGCAAAAATGTTCGTAAATATAATTATATGTATTCGTTTAAATATATATATACTATATCTGATTCATATGCACATGCATATTTATAAATATATATATACACTATACACCTATGTTCACATATACATCCATATATACATAATATATACATTATATTCTAGATCTATAAATAAATACATATATATATATATATACGTTATGCTTAGATATATAAAGGTATCTGGGAACTGCACACATGTATATATAGGATTAATACATACAAGTATATATGTATATACACACAGCATATATATATATATATATATATATATATATATATTTACATATATATATATACTTATGCATCATCAACGTTTTTACACATGTCAGCGTGCGTATATAATATGCATGTAGATGTACATGAGTATATATATATATATATCTATATATGTATATATATATTCGTGTATTATAGACAACTCTTAGCATTAAAGTATAAATAAAAATATATAAATAAAGATATATTTATATAAATGTGTTTGCAGGTACAAATATGTATGAGGGCCTAAGTAGAAGTGTACATATATGTTTCCTTTTACATCTGGATATATGCGGGAGACTTTACACTATTAAATAATAAACAAATAGAATATGTAAATGTGCCTGAGGATATGAATCTATTTGTGTACTCGGGTGCATCTAGCTGCACTGCTGCTGCTGCTGCTGCTGCTACTGGCGATTTCATGAATTATAAATTTGTTTCTACTCGCAGCAACTGCGACAAACGGAGGCAGGCCAACGCCGCCACCAGGAACAACAGGCCCCCTTGCTGCTGCTGCTGCTGCTGCTGTGCTACTACTGCTCTGTTGCTGCTGCTGCTGCTGCTGATGGATCCTTGGTCGCAACAGCAGCTGCCGCGGCAGCTGCGAGATCGGCAACCGCTACAGCTCACCTGCTGCTGCCGCTGCAGCAGCAGCAGCCCCCCTGGCAGCAGCAGCAGCAACAGCGCCAGGGCGTCTAAGTCGGCTTTCCTTAGGGGCTCCTCAAGTTCTATTTCCCCTTTTCTTACAAATCAAGTCCCTGTCTGCCGCTGCATGCATCCGCCGTCCCCTACGGGGGCCCCCCTGGGGGCCCCTGAGGCCGCAGGGGCCCCCCTGGGGGCCCCTCCTTGGGGGCCCCCCTACATCTTGGGGTGAAGAGATGTAGGTACATTGATGCAGGCACGGGTTAAAGCGGATGGCGCAGCTTTGTGTCTTTGTGTATATACTATATACAGATTACTTAATTTTAGATTGTGTTTTTGAATTGTGAATTGGCAGACACATGATGCATTTTGCTGGCCCCTGAAGCCGCGGTTGCCTCTCCAGAGCTGTCTATACACCGCACGCCCTCGACTGGCTCCCCGGCATATCCTCGCAAATACACCTTCATACAGCACTTATATATATAAGATATACAATATATATAACAAATATATTATATATAAAGGACTTGCTACATATATTGCATGCATGGGCGGCGCACTATACACTTTGGGCATATATATGCGGCTCGCTGCTGCATGCACCATACGCATAAATGATAAATATATACAATAAATGCGAAGAATTTACCATATATATTTACGGACGATGCATACAATGCATGCACTTATATACATAACGTACTATATGTACAGTGTGTATACGCTGTCTACATAAATGATCACACAACTTCCCCATGCATGCGCGCCCATTCGCTACTTTGAAGCCCACGGGACACGCACAGCGAGCATTTCTGCAGCACCAGGGTACACGAGGGGTCCCCGTGGGGCCCCCGTGGTCCCCGTGGGGCCCCCTGGAGACCCGTGGGCCCCCCTGGGGCCCTGAGTGCCTCTGAGTGCACCAAGCGGCCACCGCTACGGACTGAGAATGCGTGGGGGAGCACGCGCGGGGTGTATGTACACCTGGGTTTTGGGTGCACCAAGAGGGGCACGCGAGAAGGCAAATGCGCTAGTGGGAGGAGGAGCAGCAGGAACAGAGTGGAGGCAGCAGCAGGAAGCAGTTGGCGATAGATGCGTGCATGCAGCCCCACAAAGGCACATAAAGACACTTGCAATTGGCAGTGCATGCATTTATGTGTCCCCGCGCACACGAGTTCACGAAGACGGAACAAACCCCGAAAGAAAAATCCCGCGCAGCCCCCCCTCCTCCGCGGGCGCCGCTGCTGCTGCCGCTGCTGCCGCTGCTGCCGCTGCCGGCGCCGCTGCTCACTGGAGGTGTTTGCAGTGTTTGTGGGCCTTGCGGCTGTGTTCCTTGCCCTTGACGTAGCGCTTGACGAAGTACTCGGCGAAGAGGTAGAAGTAGGTGGAGTACATGAGGCAGGCCCAGTAGAGGTTTTTGGGCGTGATGTAGTGGCCGTGGCTGAGGGCGTCTTGAATCTGCTCCTTGCGCCAAAAGGCCCTGTACGGAAAGCTGAACGCGAAGTACATGGACACGAAGGTGACCCCCACGCCCACGAACATCTGCGAGATCTGCGCCACCGTCACGAAGATGCCCCAGGACAGCGGCCGCCGCAGCTGCGCAGCCAGGAAGTAGTAGAAGTACATCACCGCGTGGACGCTGAAGTTCATGGCCACGAAGTAAATGCCCGCGGGCTGCTCCCACGTGTACGCGTCCCACGTGTACAGCAGCACCGTCGCGTGGTGGTACCAGTGCAGAAACGAGAGGGGCCTTTTTCTCAGAATTATGAACACTGTGTCCACCAGTTCGAAGAACTTGGAGTAAATGAACAGCAGCGTCCAGAAGCCCGCGGCCCCGTGCCCGTACGCGTACACTGGCGGGCTCGCCAGCGAGGCCTCGAACCCGTAGCTACACACCAGGCACGCCAGCTGCGGCACCACCCGCACCTGCAGCAGCAGCAGCAGCAGCAGCAGCAGCGGGGCGGCGGCGGGGGGGCGGGTGGGCGGAGGCGGGGAGCGGGGAGGGAGCAGCAGGGGGGAGGCAGCAGCAGGACACACACACAGGGAAAGGCCACAGCAGCGGCACCGGACATGCAGCAGCAGCAGCACCAGCAGCACAGCAGCAACGGACCATGCCCATGAAGCTGAAGATGGCGAGGGCGAGGTTCCAGTACTTGAGGGGAGTGCGGAGGTCAAAGGGCTCTCTGTTTTTCATATATTTCGTGCCGCAGTAGCAAAACAGCAAATAAAGACAAGCAGCAAGAGGGGCCACATAGTAGTTCGCAATGTTCCAGCTCAAAGCAGCAGCAGCGCTGAACTCCGTCTCGCTGCGACGCACACCCCACACCGCAGCCTGCTGCAGCAGCAGCAGCAGCAGCAGCAGCAGCAGCAGCAGCAGCAGCGGCAGCAGCGGCACCGGAGGGCGCTGCTGCTGCGACGGGCGAGGGGGGACGGCGGCAGCAGCCGCCGCGGCAGGGCCACGCCGCTGCAGCAGCTGCAGCACCAACTGCAGCAGCCGCTGCAGCAGCAGCAGCCGCTGTTGCTGCGGCTGCATTTACACATGGGCACCAACTGCATGCAGCACCACCAACATTGTGAATTCAAGACAAACAGCAGCATGCTGCAGCAGCAAAGGAGAAAACACATTGAATAAAGGAAATACATTTGAGGGCATTTTATTTGAAGCTGGGAAGAGCCTCCGCAGCAGCAGCAGCACGAAAATCCGTGCAAAGTGGCAGCAGCAGCAGAGAAGGTGAGCAGCAGAGACACTGGCAGCAAAAAGAATCGCAGCAGCGGCAAATTTGGAGGGAAAGAGCAGCAGATTCGGAGTGTATGTACAGCAAGAAGGCGCGGTCCGCAGAGGCGAGTGTACGTACACCCCACGGGCCAAAGGGGCCCTTGAAAGAAAAGGGAAAAACCAAAAGAAGAATCTGCTGCCGAAGGCCAGCAGCAGCGCAGCAAGGCTTCCGCAGCAGCACGAAGGGCCTGCTGCAGCGCCGCTGCTGCCGCTGCTGCTGCTGCTGAGGACTCACAAGCTAAAGTAGAAGGGCTTGAGGAAGGGGAAGCGCTCGTGCATGACCCATACAGACTGGGCTGGGTAGGTCGTGAGCCCGCCGGGGGGCAGGCGATGGACAATACCCTCATCGTTGATGACGAATTTGTAGAGCATTTTGGAATTAAAAGTGCCACAATAATAAAAAAATAAAAATTAAACTAGATGGCCGAAGAATACCCGCAAACGGGCGCGCAGAGCAGCAGCTGCAGCAGCAGCAGCAGCAGCAGCGGCGGCGGGACAAGCGGCGGCTACAAACACCACAAGACAGACACTCGGGACAGCAAAGGACACAGAAATAAACTCTGCCGAAGTTGCTGCTACTGCTGCTGCTACTGCTGCTGCTGCTGCTGCTGCTGCTGTTACGGCTGCTGCTGTGAGCTGGGACAGACACGGCGGCGTCCGGAGGAGAGAGAACGGGCAGCAGCTGCTGTTTGGCTGGTAAGCATTTCAGGGTTAAGTTTGCTTCTAGAAAATAAGAGATAAGATATTTAAAGACAAAGAAACGGAACAAGAGACGCGCGGCGCCGGCTACCGACTGCAGCAGCAGCAGCAGCAGCAACAGCAAGCGTCACAGTAGATAGCGACACAGCAGAGAAAGAAAACGAAGCTAACAACCAAAAAAGCAAAAGCAATAACAACAACAGCAGCTAAACAAACCCTCAAAATATATATATTGTGCCTAATCAGCAGCAGCAGCGCGGCAACACTGCAGCAGCAAGGGTGCTGTTGTCGGTCCTGCTGCTGCTGTCGCTGTGCTGCGGCGCTGTTCACTGCTGCTGCTGCTGCTGCTCGTTTTATCCTTTTTAATTAAAATTGCTACTATCTATCCTCTTTAATGAATTTACCTTGTCAATTTACATCTACCGAGCTAGCAACAGGCTTACAACTGGGCCCCCAGGGGCCCCCTGCTGTCCCAGTCTACATAGATAGAAACGGCAGCAGCAGCAGCAGCAGCAGCAGCAGCAGCAACAGCGCAAGAGGGCCGTTTTCTGCGCAGATCACTAATAGGCTTCACCTTAGAGAAACAATTTCGAATGAAAATGATAAAACAAAGTTAAAAGTAGCCACAAACGGCCTGCAAGCAGCAGCAGCAGCTCGCAGACTACAGCAGCAAAACGGCAGCAGCAGCACCAGCAGCAGACCACTGAGCAGACAAACAAACGCAACTAAACACAGGATAAGAAATACAAAAGAAGACAAATGCTGAGGCCCAAGAGCGGCAGCACAGAAGCAGGCTAGATCAGCAGCTCTTAAGGGACACACAAAACAAAAAAAAAGATTAAATGAATTCAAAGAGATTTAAAGTAGTTGAATGGCAAAAACACAGAAAGATAATGCCGCAGCAAGCAGCAAACTCCCCCAAACAAGCCCTCCCGAAGAGCAGCAGCATCAGCAGCAGCAGCGACATAGATGAGTGGCCGCAACAGGAAACTAGCTGCTGCAGGAGCAGCAGCAGCACGGGAGAAGAGCAGCCGCAGGAAAGTGGCAGCAGCAGCACCACAGAAGAATGGCGACTGCGGGAAATTCGCAGCAGCAGCAGCAGCAGCAAACACAGAGCAGCAGCAAAAGGATAGAAGATCTAGCCAGAAGCAAAAAGAAATTGAAAGAAACAAAGCCAGGGTCAAAGTGACCACCTTACGCTGCGCCGAGCTCTTTAGAAGAGCTTGCAGCAGCAGCAGCAGCTGCTGCTGCAGTGGCGGAGGCAGCTGCAGCAGCAGCAGCAGGCGCTGCTGCAGCAAAAAAGCTTGCTAGGCCGCCTTTGCCTTTAAGGCACTGTGGGGCCCGAAGAGGGCCCTCCTGTGGGGCCCCTGTGGGGCCCCTTCATGCTGGAGTATTTGGCTTCTTTGCAGCAGCTTGGCTGCTGCTGTGCTGCAGCAGCAACGTGGCTTCTGCTGCGCTGCAGCAGCAGCTTGAGTCCCTCTCCGTCGCAGCATCAGCAGCGTAGCTGCAGCGGCGCTTCAGCAGCAGCAGCAGTTGCTGACTCGGGAAAAGGCGAGCCCGAAGCTGCAGCAGCAACTGCAGCAGCAGTAGCAGCAGCAGCAGCTGCAGCAGCTACCGCCAGTAAGTGCTGCTGCTTCAAAGAGCCACAAAGCCTGGAGGCAGCAGCAAAATAGATTTAAACAAAAGACAGCCTCAAAACACTGCGGGGCTTTTTTAATTTTAATTAATTGCAGAATATGCTCCTGCATGCATGCACAATATATTTGATTTATTTTAATGTATAAAATATATTATGAATTGGATTTAATCTGCAAATGGGCCAGATCTGCAGTGTGCGTACATATATACATTTATATGTGTATATATATATTTTGTGCAGGTGTACATACACCTGATAACGATACGAATATAACTTACGTGGAACTAAAAAGACATTTCTATTATATATATATTTTATACATTTATATATATTTATATATGTTGGAACTTTTGAAGATATTTGTGGATAATATGTATCTATTTGTGTATGCATGGGTGCTGCTGCTGCTTCACTTCAGTCTGTTTGCTTGCTTCTGCTGCTGCTACTGATGCTGCTGCTACTGCTGCTACTGCTGCTGCTGCTGCTGCTGTGTCTCTTCCTGGAGCAGTTGAAGGCCTTTGTCCCGCTGCTGCTGCCTTAAAGCCTAATTTACTTCCATTTAATTTAATTCATTTTCTTCGTTTTGCCTTTTTGGTGTTTTTTGTCCTCGCTGCTTCCTTTTCGAGGTGTACGTACACCCCAGAGGTGCTCTTGGCTTGCTTTTGCCTCCCCTCTCAGACTTTAAATACATAAATGACTAAATAGTTAGCAACCAAGTAAATAATCAAATGAAACATTTAATAGATGATATGGTGTTTCTTCTGTTGCATTGTTCCTGTCTAACCACTCGTCGGCTTCATATTTTGAATTTTAGTTTCTCCAACGCAAAAACAAAGAAGCGGAATCTTCAAGCACGGCAGCAGCAGCAGCAGCTGCTGCTGCTACTGCTGCTGCTGCTGCTGCTGCCCTAGCTGTTGCTGCGGCAGCTGGCCCTAGCCGTTGCTGCGGCAGCAGTTGCTGCCTTTCTCGTTGCCTCCGCAACTCTCGGCACTCACTGGCTGCTGCAGCTGCGGCTGTCACTGCTACTGCTGCTGCTCGTGCTGCAGCTGCTGCTCGTGCTGCTGCTGCTGCTGCTAGGAGCAGCATCAGCTGCAAGCGTTCCCTCCACGAGATATGACAGGAGGGGCCCCAGGGCCCTCAGCCCAATTTGTTGCTCTTGGCCATTCATCGGTAAGCAATTCAGCCTCTTCGCGATCCCGTGCCTGCAGCAGCAGCAGCAGCAGCAGCAGCATCAGCAGTAGCAGTGACAGGAGCAGCAGCAGCAGCAGCAGCAAACGCGGCCGCGTCTGCTGCTGCTGCTTCTGTACTCAGTACTCCAGCTCTTGACCAACAGACGGCTCTGCTCTAGTGCAGCAGCAGCAGCCGCTGCAGCAGCAGCAGGAACAGCAGCATACCTCTAAAGCCGCAGCAACTTGCTCAATGTCTTCTTCGTCTTCCTCGAGTGGCTCATCGTCCTGCAAGTTGAGGCGTGCAGTCACCGGAAAACCCTAAACCCTCAACTCTAAGCGTAAACCCCAAACCCTAAACCCTAAACCCTACAACTCACCGCGTAGAGCTCTTCGTATTTGCTGCCGGGTGTCGGCGCCTCCTCTGACGAAAAACGGGCGACCCGAAAACCCTTGAGAGGGTCTACACGGGGCAATTTCTGTAACGAAACCCCAAACCCTAAACCCTAAACCCTAAACCCTTAAGCATAAACCTGAAACCTAAGCTCGAACCCTGAGCCCTTAACCCTAGTCATGGTTTCTCAAGGTATCAAGCATGGATTTAACGCTCCGCCAATCGTCCTCCTGCGTAAACCCTAAGCTCTAAACCCTAAACCCTAAACACGAAACACGAAACCTTGAGCCCTAAGTCTAAACCTTCAGTCCTAAATCTCAAACCTCAAACCCTAAACCCTCACCAAAAGGCCCTTGGGCTCGCTGGACCAGACCCACTTGGCTGCCAACTCTCGAATTCGCTTCTGAAGACAAGCAATGGAGCACAAACCCTAAACCCTACGTCTAAACCCTAAACCCTAAACCCTGAAATCTGGACCTTGTGCCTTGTAGCCCTTGTTGAAAGCCTTCAGAATGCCAGCCCAAAACCGTAAACCCTAAACCCTAAACCCTAAATTGCAAGCCGTACAGCGCCAGGCGTTCGCCGCGGCGCAGCCAACTCCGAACCCAAAACCCTACATCATAAACCCAAAACCCTAAACCCTGAATCCTAAACCCTCGCGGACTCTGTCGAATTTAGCCGCTCTTTCCCTAGCCTTGATCTCTAACCACTCATCTGCCCAGCCCGGCACAGGCACTGGGGGCGGCGCTGGGCGGCCGTCTGGGGTGGCATAGCGGGGCAGCCGCTGCTGCTGCTGCTGCTGCAGCTCGAACAGCAGCTGCTGCAGCGCCTTCAGAGTTATTAAGATCATGCGATGCTTCAGTAGCAAATAGGCATTCACGCCCTGAGCAGCAGCAGATTACATATTCCCAAGAGCGCACGAGGGTTTAGGGTTTTTGCGGCCCAGAGGTTCATGCCTGCGAGGATTTAGGGCTTAGCAGGGCCTCGCCGCTCGTGCTTGCGGCATAGTGCATACTCGCTAGGGTTTAGGGTTTAGGGTTTCCTGTGGGCTCAATCTCTCAGGCTGCCGACTGAATTTAGGGTTTAGGGCTTGCTGGTTTTCAGCCCCGCCCGGCGGGGTCGAGCGCAAGCGCCTGTGCCTCACGACCTAGGGCTTAGGGTTTAGGGTTTAGGGTTTAGGGTTTAGCCACCGCCACGTCCGTCCGCCGCACGCCAGTGATGTGCGCCGTCGCCCAGCGGCAGTTTTCGTTGACGTCGTTGTGGCCCTCGTGGATCAGCAGCGCGCTGGGGCAGTTGCGGCCTGGGAACAAATAATAAAAATAAAATAAAATAAAGTAAAAGAATAATTATTAATTATAAACAATAATTGGAAGAAGCGGCGAAATGGCCTGCTAATTTGGAGTCCATGAGTGCGCGAAAGAGGGAACTGAGCTGGATGCACAGGCGCAGCAGCAGCAGCAGCACTACCAGCAGCAGGATTGGGAGCATCAATAAGAGCAGCCGCAGGAGAGCAGCAGCGGCAGCAGGATAGTCAGCAGACGCAGCAGCAGCAGGATAGCAGCAGCAGCGCTGGCAGCAGCAGCGCTGGCAGCAGCAGGAGCACTAGCAACAGTAGCAACAAAGCCACTTCCAGCAACAGCAGGTCCACTGGCAGCAGCAGCAGAAAAATCATTAGCAGCAGCAGCAGCAAGATCATTAGCAGCAGCAGCAGCAGCTACCGAGGAGCCTCCTGAGGTGTTTGACGCATTTGGCAGTTTTGTGAGAAGTCAAGTTGAAGTCTCTGACAACAATAATTTGGTCTTGAGCAAACTTGGCCGAGAGGGCCTGCTCCACTCCGCGCCACATCACTGTGCAAAACCCCAAACCCCAAACCCTAAACCCTAAATCCTTGACCGCAAACCCCACACCCTAAAGCCTAAAGCCCCCACGCCAAACCCCAGACCATTAGGCCCCACACCCAAACGTTGAAGCACAAACCACAAATCCAAAGCCCTAGACCCTAAAGCCTAGGCGCTAAACCCCAAGATGTAAACCCTAAACCTTAAACACTTAACCCTAGAACCTAAACCCTAAAGACCTAAACCCTAAACCCTAAACCCTCGCTCACGGCGCGCGTTGCACTTGCTGGCCCACGCGTGCGGCCGCAGCGGCCAAGTCTGCACCCCCAAGTACTTCCCGCAGGCCTTTCGCCAGCCCATTCGCGCTCGCCCGGACTTCGCTTGCGGCCGCACCTTTTTGCTGCTGCCCGGCCACTCCCACTTGTAGAGCTGCAGCCGCTCGCTCCAGCCCGCGAGGGAACGCCGGATGTGCCAGTAGACCTGCGCAAACCCCAAACCCTAAACCCTAAACCCTAGACCCTAGACCCGAAACCCGAAACCCGTGAGCCTGGAGGCTGTACGGTGAGGGCTGGAGGCTGAATACTAAATCAGCCGCTCCCTCCAACCTGCCAGCGAACGACGGATGTGCCAGTATACCTGCGTAAACCCTAAACCCTAGACCCTAAACCCTAAACCCTAAACCCTGATGGCTGGAGGCTGAAGGATAAAGGCTGAAGAGTGAGCCCGGAACCCGCCGCTCGCTCCAACACGCCAGAGGACGTCGGTAGTGCCAGTATGCATGCAAAAACCCTAAACCCTAAACGCTAAACCCCAAAGGCTAAAGCCGAAACCCTAAACCCTAAACCCTAAAGGACGAACCATAAACCCTAAATCCTAAACCCTGAAAGCTGGATCTGAAACCCTGAACGCTGAAGGCTGAAGCTGGAACGCGAGGGAGCAGCCCTTCGTACCAACCAAGATAAATGCACTGAACAACATCTGCCAGGAACCCAGAAACCCTAAACCCTAAACCCTAAACCTTGAATTCGAAACCTTCAGAGCTGAACAGTGAAGCCCGAATCCCGAACAAGCAACCTTTGGAACGAACCAAAATGAATGAGCCGGACACCCTCTACCCCGAAAAAAGAAACCCGAAACCCTAAACCCTAAACCCTAAACCCTAGACCCCGAAGCCTAAACCCTAAACCCGCGTCCCAAACTCGCAACCCTTGAAACGAACCAAAAAGAATGGATCGGCGAATGCCCATTCCCTACCCTGAAGCGTCAAGCATGAAACCTGAAGCCTAAACCCTAAACTCTAAACCCTAAACCCTAAACCCTAAACCCTAAACCCTAAGCCCTAAGCCCTACAGGCTCATGCCAGCAGCCTGGCTTTTGGCAGGCAACGGGCTCCACAGACAGACCCCACTCGAAACACTAAACCCTAAACGCTAAACCCTAAACCCTGAACCCTGAACCCTAAACCCTCAAGCTCAAAATCTAAATGCGCAGCATCTAGTCTTAAACCCTAAACCCTTAACCTTTGAACTTAAATCCCAAGAAAAGACTGGCAGGTGTGAGAAGACCCCATAAACCAAAACCCTAAACCCTAAACCAGGAAACGGCTGCGCACCTGGTGCAAAATGTCGGGCCTCAGTGGCTGACCAAACACCTCAGACGGAACTTCTGAAGACGCAAGCAGCAGCAGCAGCAGCAGCAGCAGCAGAACTAGCACAGAAAGAGAAAAATGCAGCAAACAGCAGCAGCAGCAGCAGGGCAGGGAGGAGTGCAGCAGCGCTAAATCTGCAGCAGCGACTAAACGGAAGGCGGCGAGAGCTGCAGCAGCAAGAGCCACAGCAACAAGAGCAGCAGCAAGCGCACCCCCAGAAGGAGAACCAGCAGCAAGAGCCACAGCAGCAAGTGCAGCAGCAGCAGCAGCAAAAGCAGCAGCAAAAGCAGCAGCAACAGCAAGGCAGCAGCGGCAGCAAGAGCAACAGCAAAAACAAGAGCAGCAGCACTGGCAAGAGCAGCAGCCGCCGCCGCCGCAGCAGCAGCAGCAGTAGCAGCAGTAGCAGCAGCAGCAGCAGCAGCTTGCCTATATACTCAGTGGGCTGCTGCTGCTCCCCCTCCCAAGCCTCAAAAGAATTGACCGGCAGCAGCAGCCGCGAGCCAAAGCCGACCACCGGCACTGCCCAGTTGTGTCGATACACCGCACTCAGGTCAATGCTGCTGCTGCTGCTGCTGCTGCTGTTGCTGCTGCAAGTAGTGGGGTCACCACTGCTGCTGCTGCAGGCGCTGTGGCCGCTGCTGCTGGCGCCACTGCTCCAAATCGTACTGTTGCTGCTGCTGCTGCTGCTCACGCTGCCGCGACTTGGAATTACGCCGCTGCTGTTGCTGCTGCTGCTGCTCCATGATGGAGCACAAGCGGCTGCTGCTGTGCTGCCTGCCTCTGCTGCGGCTGCAGCAGCAAAATGCCTCACCTGGGAGCAGCACTGGCTTGAGGGGATCCGCTCCCTAACATTTCTGGTGCAGCAGCCCCCGTTGTTCCTTCTGCTGCTGCAGCTGCTGCTGCTGGGATGACAGCAGCAGCAGTAGTTGCTGCGCTGCATCCAATGCCGCAGCCTAATTGCCTCTGCGTTGCCCGCTGTGACAGCCAATGCGGCCCCTACTGCTGTCAACAGGGCCCCTGCTGCGGTCAACGGGGCCCCTGCTGCAGCAAATCGGGCCCCTGCTGCAGCAAATGGGGCCCCTGCTGCAGCAGCCGCGGCCCCTGCTGCAGCAAATGGGGCCCCTGCTGCAGCAGCCGCGGCCCCTGCTGCAGCAAATGGGGCCCCTGCTGCAGCAGCCGCGGCCCCTGCTGCAGCAAAGGGCCCCCGCAACAACGGGCGGAGCATCGCCTGGAACCTCCTTTGAGCTTTATCCCGTGGGCTTGTGGCACAGGGCTGTGAGCAGCAGAAGCAGCAGCAACAGCAGCAGCAGCAGCAGCAGTAGCAGCAGCAGCAGGAAGGACTGTTGCTGCTGCTGCTGGGGAAGCGTGTGCGTCGAGTACTTCTCGGGGTTGTGAAAGCATGCCAAGATTACCTATGGCACAATAACTCGGGGTCTAGGGACTAGGGTTTAGGCTTTAGGGATTAGGGTTTAGCGTTTAGGGTTTAGGGCTTGGGGGACCAGAGGAGGGGCCCCAGCCCTTCTGCGTCCAGGGTCGGCCGCAGCTGCTACCGGTGCTTGGGTGTCTGTACAGCTGGCGGCTACTGCAGCTGCTGCAGCAATTTGTGGCTGCAACAAAAGAGTTTAAATGAAACAGGAAGCAAATATGAAATAAAAGAAATAAAACTTTAAAATGAAGTAAAACTTTATTGCAGCTGAGATGTTCGGCCAACGAGACAGGCCCTTGTGGCGCAATCGGATAGCGCGTTGGACTTCTAATCCAAAGGTTGCGGGTTCGAGTCCCGCCGGGGGTGCTCTCGCTTTTCGCTAAAGGTAAAAGTAAAAGGGACCTTTTTAAGTTTATTTGGCATTTCAAATTCGATTTAAATTCCTTTTAATTTGCAAAATCGGAAAAATTCGCCGCGGGGTCCACAATGAGCCACATGTGCACGGGCTGAAGGTGCCTGTACACCGCAAAATGCGGTGTACGTACACCCGAAGGCTCTCTTCAGGACTTTCGGAAAAAATTAAAAAGCTGCTGCTTGCCACTTCTTCTGGCTAGCGACACGGAGCCAACAATCCAGAAACGTCAAACCCTAAACCCTAAACCCTCAGCCCGAAACCCCGAGAAATGTAAATCCGTACCCACTGGTAATAAACCCTCAGAGGAAAATGACGGCTCAAGGCACCAGCAGCAAGCCTGTTGAGACTGAACCCTAAACCCTAAACCGTAAACCCCAAACCGTAAACCCTAAACCCTACGGCCTGATGGGGCAGCAAACTTCTGGGGGCCCCACAAGCCCTCATGGCGCAACGGATAGCGCGTTGGACTTCTAATCCAAAGGTTGCGGGTTCGAGTCCCGCTGGGGGTGTTGGTTGCTGCTGCTTAAGTGTATGGTGCTGCCTGCTGCTGCAGCAGCGTTTGCTGTTGCCCACTGCAGTTGCGGCGGTGCTTGTTGCTGCTCGTCGCAGCTGCAGAAGTGTTTGCTGCAGGCTGCTGCAGCTGCGGCGGTGCTTGCTGCTGCTCGTTGCAGCTGCGGCGGTGCTTGCTGCTGCCTGCTGCAGCTGCAGCAGTGTTTGCTGCTGCCTGTTTCAGCCGCAGCAGTGTTTGCTGTTGGCCGGTTGCTGCTGCAGCAACGTTTGCTGCTGCTCTGTTGCAGCCGCAGGCACGCGAATATTCGCACTTGCGCCTATTTCAGATAAAACAGATGCCCTACGCCCTAAACCCCAGCCCTAAACCCTAAACCCTAAACCCTAAACCCTAGCTTTATGAGTTCCGCGTTAAGCTTCGCTGCCGTCTGAGGGACTCCTTCAAGAGTCCTCAAATTCAAAAATCTTCTGCAGCAAAGAGGGCCGGACCCGCAGCTGCTGCTGCTGCCGGCGTTCCTCAGCAGCCCTGAAGCAGCAGCAGCAGCAGCAACAGCAGCAAGACAGAACAGTACAGCAACACCCACGAACATAAGCAGCCACAATGCTGCCTGCGATAGCAGCAGCAGCAACAGCTCGTGCTGCAGCAGCGAAAGCAACAACAGCAGCAGGAGCAGCAAGAGCAGCAGCAGGAGCAGCAAGGCCAGGAGGAGTAGCCAAGCAGGACCAGTACCAGCAGCAAGACCAGTAGCAGCAGCAGCAGCTAAACAAGACCAGTAGCAGCAGCAGCAAGTCCAGCAAAGGCAGCAGCATGAGCAGCGCCAAGAATGGAAGCAGCAGCAGCAGCAGCAGCGAGGCGAAGAGCAGCACCAGCAGCAACAGCAGCAGCAAGGTGAGCAGCAGCAGCAGCAGCAGCAGCAGCAGCAGCAGCACCTTTTTTCCTGCCGCTCCTTCAAGGCCTTGAGCGCCTTGGCCTTCTTCAGTGCCGCCTCTTTTCTCTTTTTGTCTTTATCTGTTTTTGGCTTTCCGAAGTAGCGGCGCTCCGGCAGCAGCAAATCCATGCTGCCTGCGGCAGCAGCAGCAGCAGCACAGGCAACAGCAGCAGCAAGGTGAGGAGCAGCAGCGGCAGCACAAACAACGGCAAGGCGACCAGCAGCAGCAGAAGCAATAGTAGCAGCAAAGTGAGCAGCAGAAACAGCAGACAGACACCAGCAGCAGCCAGACGGGCCGCTGCAGCACCGTGAGCTGCAGCAGCAGCGTGGGCAGCAGCAGCAGCAGCAGCACGATAGTGACCCCAAGGGAAAATCTGACAAAAAGTTGAGGGTCTAGGGTTTAGGGTTTGCGGGTGGGCCAGCCCTAAGCCGTGCAGCCTAACCCTCAAACCCTAAACCCTAAACCAGAGGTTTGGGAGTCAGGGCTAGGTTTGTGGATCCACGAATTAGGGTTTAGGGTTTAGGGTTTAGGATTTACCAGGCAGGTAGACGGGCTTCAGGTTCAGCAGGCGAAGCACCTGGGCGTACCGTTCGAAGTCTCGAGAGCCCAAGTACTGCAGCAACCTGCAGCAGTAGCAGCAATAGCAGCAGCAACAGCAGCAGCAACAGCAGCAACAGCACCAGCAACAGCAGCAGATGGCAAAAAGCACGTTGAGTCTGTGAGCAGCAGCAGCAACTCCAGAAAGCGGGAACAGCAGCAGCAACGTAGCTGCTGCTGCTGCAACTGTGCACTCAGCAGGATCACAGTCCCGCGCAATGAAGCACAGCAGCAGCAGCAGCAGCAAAAGCAGCAGCAGCAGCAAAAACAGCAGCAGCAGCAGCAAAAACAGCAGCGCCAGCAACATAAACAGCAGCAGCAGCAGCAGCAAAAACAGCAGCAGCAGCAGCAGCAGCAAAAACAGCAGCAGCAATAGCAGAAGCAGCAGCAGCAGCCTTACTTGCGGCGCCTGGCCACGAGCACTTTGAGGCCCCTCAGGGTGGAGAAGTCCTTTCGGTGCTGCATCATGTGCCGAGTCAAGTGGCTGATCCTGAAAAGCCCCAAACCCTAAACCCTAAACCCTAAACCCTAAACCCTAAACCCTAAGCCCGAAACTCTAAACCTCAGATCAGTTCGAGCAGCGCTATCTCAGAGCTGCAGCTGCTGAGGGTCGGCAGAGCACGTCTAGAAGTCCAGGGTGTAGGGTTTTGGGTTTAGCGTTAGGGTTTAGGGTTTAGCGTTAGGGTTTAGGGTTTAGGATTTGAATTGCCTCGCTGTTAAGATTCCAATCTGGGCCTCGCTGCTGCCCGTATCCCTCGGGTGTCGCTGCAGCGCCAGGCGATTTGCTGCAGCCAGCAGCTTCTGCGTTGCTGCCTGCACATGCAAACCCTAAACCCTAAACCCTAAACCCTAAACCCTATACCCGAAACCCTAGGCTCTAGGCCGCACAGAAGACGCGCGGGAGCAGAGGCGCCGCTCTTTGTATCAGCAGCACGCAGTTAACGAGGCGGCTTCTGCTGCTGCTGTTGCTGCTGCTGCTGCTGTTGCTGCTGCTGCTGCTGCTGTTGCTGCTGCTGCTGCTACTGGGGTGTACGTACACCTGAAGGCCTCAAGTGTTCTTTTGAAATCCCCGAAAACTCCTCCTCGTCTTCATCAGCTGCAGCCAAACCCTCTGCTGCTCGCTGCTCGCTGCTGCGTTGGCGCTGCTTTTGCGGCTGCTGCTGCTGCTGCTGTTGCTGCTGCTGCTCTTGCAGTGCTTGGTGAGCAGCTGGCGCTACTGCAGCCTCCGCTGCTGCTATTGTGGACTCGGGCTCGTCTAGACTGTCTGGGTTCAGGCCCTTTTCTGCTGCTGCTGCTGCTGCTGCTGCAGCGCTTCGCGGCAGTGTCCTCTTGCTTGAGAAAGCGCACTCAGCAGCAGAAGCAGCTGCTGATGCTGCTGCTTCTCGCAGCAATCTGCTGCTGCGTTCGCATGCCAAAAAGGCGAGGAACGGACACGCTGTGTGCTGCACAAGGACTGCTGCTGCTGCCGGCTGCTGCAGCAGCAGCAGCGTCAGCAAGAGCAGCAGCAGTGAAAACGGCTGCCGCTGCTGCCGCTGCTGCTGCTGCTGCTGCGGCATGGCTTTCTTACAAACCCGAACGGCGCCTCTTACGCCCCACTAGTCAGGGGGCCCCCAGGGGCCCCTACAGCAGCAAAAGGGGCCCCCCCGCCTCTTTGTGTCTCTTGTTAGATCTGTGTCTGTGTGGCCTCAAAAGGCGTTGCAGCAGCCTGCAACAGCAGCAACAGCAGCTGCCGCAGCTACGGCTGCAGCGGCTGCTGCAGCTGCTGCTCACCTGCTGTTGAGTACCAGCAGAAGCAGCAGCAGCAGGAACGCTGCTGCTGCAGCTAGTTAGTGTACCTGCGGGCTTTTTAAGTCACTTTTAACAAAAAATATTCAAAGACAGAAACACCCACTTCTTCAGACTCCCTGAAGTTAGGGGTTCAGCCGAGGGGCCCCACGGGGGGCCCCCGGGGGCCCCCAGAGAGGGGGCCCCTGCGAGGGGCCCCCTACGGGCCCCCTCTGATTAATTGAAAGTTGTTGCTGCTGCTGTTGTGCACGACTTGATGGTGAGGAAGGGAGACTGGCGGTGCTGTGGACAGCAGCAACAGCAGCTACGACAGCAGCAACAGCAGCAGCAGCAACAGCAGCAGCAGCAACAGCGTCAGCAGCAACAGCGTAGGCAGTAGCAGCAGCGAGTGCAGGCTTGTACGAGAGAGCAGCACAGACTAGGAGAGGCATGCGGCAGCAGCAGTTGTCGCAGCAGCTGCTGCTGTCGTTGTTGCTGTTGCTGCTGCTGCAGTGATGTCGGGTCTGCTCTTAAGACGCAGCCTCCTGCTGCTTGCAAATGGCAGCAGCGTCAGCAGCAGCAGTGGCAGCAGCTGCTGCTGCGGTGCCTCTTTGCGCTTGCTGAAGAGTGCTGTCCCTCAGCAGCAGCAGCAGCAGCAGCAAGGGCGGCCATGGCAGCAGCAGCGGCAGCAAGTGACCCTCCCCAGCACCCCCTGCAGCAGCAAGCCCCGCGTTTCGCCGCGCAGCAGCCGCAGCAGCAGCAGCAGCAGCAAGGGCTTCTGCGATCGCCGCTTGCTGCGCGCAATTGGAGGCCGCGGGGGCTCCGGCTGCATGCATTTCATTAAACATATTCAGCAGCACTTAATGGGCCCCGGGGAGCCTTCGGGCGGCTGCGGGGGGGAGGGGGGCCCCGTGCTGCTGCGGCTGCGGGGGCCCCCCCGGGGGCCCCCCACGGGGCCCCGCGGGGGGCCCCCCGGGGGACCCCCCACTGCAGCAGCAGTAGAGGACCTCAGCAGCCTCAGGGGCCTCGTAGTGGGGGGCCCCGGGGGCCGGGGGGGCCCCCGCTACAGCAGGGGGGCCCCCGGGAGAGCAGCAACAGTTTGGCTGCCGAGCAGCTGCGTAGTCTGGAGAGTTGAAGAAGGGTACGGGGGGCCCCCAGAGAGGGGCCCTCCGGGGGTCCCCGAGGGGCCCCCTGAGCGGCCCCCTCAGGGGCCCCCTGAGGGGGCCCCTGAGGGGGCCCCTGAGGGGGGCCCTGCGGGGGCCCCTGAGGGGGGCCCTGCGGGGGCCCCTGAGGGGGGCCCCCCTGAAGGCGAGGTTTGTGTGGGGGGAGGTGATGAGGTGCCAAAGGCGAAGCTGAGGCTGAGGTTTCTGGGGCTGCTGGACCCCGCTATGGCTGCTGCTGCTGCTGCTGCCCGCAGCGGCAGCAGCAGCAGCAGCAGCAGCCTTGAGAGCGTGGCTGCTGCTGTGCTGCAGCTGCTGCAGCCCCACCTGTTTGCCCAGGAAATGGTAGCAGCTGCTGGGGGCCGAGGGGGGCGGGGCAACAGCCGCAGGTGTCCGTACACTGCAGAGGGGGGCGAAGAGGGGCAGCAGCAGCTGCTGCTGCTGCAGCTGCAGCTGCTGGCAGATGCTGCACTTGTGGGGCTCCCCAGCGCAGGGAAGTCTTTGCTGCTGTCGGCGCTTTCCCGCTGCAGCGCTTTTGCTGCTCCCTGGCCCCACAGCACCACCAAGCCCCAAATAGGCCACATCATGCTGCAGCAGCAGCAGCAGCAGCAGCAGCTCGAGGGAAGCAGCAGCATCTCAGTTGCAGACCTTCCCGGGCTGCTGCCAGGAGCCACCAATGAAATGGCTCGCTGCGCAGCAAGACATGCAGAGGGGGCGAAGCTAATTTTGTTTGTGGTTGATGCTGCTGCTGCTGCTGGTGCTGGCAGCAGCAGCAGCAACAACAGCAGCCAAGGGAGCCTGCTGGAGACGGTGCAGCTGCTGCAGCAGCAGCTGCTGCTGCAGTCGCCGCTGCTGGCAGCAAAACCTGCTGCCATTGTAGCCACCAAGTGCGACCTAAGGCCCCACCGGACTCTGCAAAAAGTTGACGAGCTGTGGCACCAGCAGCAGCAGCAGCAGCTGCAGCAGCAGCCGGAGATAAAGCAGCAGCTGCAGCGCCACTTCGACAGGCTCGTCGAGCAGCGGCACAAGGAGCTGCTGCAGCTGCAGTGGGACTCCCCACGGCAGCAACAGCAGGAGCAGCAGCGGCTGCAGCAGCAGCAGCAACTCGTGCAGCAGCTGCTGCAGCACTTGCAGCTGCAGCAGACACTCCCTGTCATCCCCGTCAGTGCCCGGGAGGGTATGGGGCTGCAGCGCCTCGTGCTGCTGCTGCAGCAGCAGCTGCAGCAGCAGCAGCTGCAGCAGCAGCGCGCTGTCTTGAACTTGCTGCTGCTGCTCGAGTGGTCTCTCTGCACTGCGCCTCCAGAACCATAACCCTTCATCTAAACCCCAATTTCTAAACCCTTTCCCAAACCCTAAACCCTTCTCTAAACCCTCGGCCTTATTCTAATGGCTAGGTCCGAGGCCCCGCCCCCTAGCCTAAACCCTAAACCCTAAACCCTAACCTGTCTTTGCCTAGTTAAAAGATTACGAATTAATCTAGCAACAATGTGCGACTCTAACAAACACCAGCTGCTGCTGCAGCAACAGCAGCCGCTGGTGCTGCTGCAGCTGCTGCTGCATGCATTTCTGGGGCCCGCGGCCCCACAGGCGCCTCGTAGGGGCCCTGAAGGAGCTGCTGAAATAAAAATAAAAAATAAAAACATATTCCGCTGATTTAGAGTTTTGGAATTTGGCCTTTCAGCAGCAGCTCTTTGGGAGCCTCTGCTGCTGCTGCTGCTGCAGCGGCAGGGCGCTGGGCGAAGGCCTCTTCTCCTTCGCATTTAAACCCGCTCTAGGGTTTAGGGTTTGGGCTCTAGGGTTTAGGGTTCAGGATTTTAAGCTCAAAAGAGGGCTTACACTCCTTTTTGCAACTCGCTGCGCCGCAGCAGCAGCAGCAGCAGCTCCGGCAGCAGCGGCAGCAGCAGCCGCCGCATTATAGTAGCAGTTAGAACAGCACCAGCAGCAGCGGCTGCACTGTAGCAGTGTCTACAGCAGCAGCAGCCACAGAAGCTACAGCAGCAGCGGCAGCGCAAGCAGCTACAGCAGCAGCAGCAGCTACAGCAGCAGCGAGACTTACAAGAAGCAGCAAAGATGAGAATTGAGAAGTGCTGGTTCTGCTCCAGCAGCATTTATCCCGGTAAACCCTAAACCCTAAACCCTAAACCGTAATGTGAGCAGGGGAGGCCCCGCTGCAGCTCTTCCGGGCTTTAGAGCCTTTCTTGCTGTCGAAGTTTGAGGGCCCTATTTATTATCATTAATTATTTAATCTTTTTGAATTTATTTTATTTTATTTTATTTAAAATCAATTTGTTTATTATTCATTTTACTTACTGTTTATCTGTGGGCCTACATGTATTAGAGGCGCCCGAGGGCCCCCGCTCTGGCTGCTGCTGCTGCTGCTGCTGCTGCTGCTGCGCTGCAAACCGGTGTCGGCCTGGGTTTAGGGTTTAGGGTTTAGGGCCTAGGGTTCAGGGGTCAGGGTTTACAGTGAAGAGCCCAGGACGCAGGCTTTACAGGGTTTAGGGTTTAGGGTTTAGGGTTTAGGGTTTAGGGTTTGGTGCAGGGCACGGGATAGTGTTTGTGCGCAACGACGCGAAGATGTTTCGCTTTTGCCGCTCGAAGTGCCACAAGCTTTTCAAGGCAAAAGGAAACCCCAAGAAGTTCAAGTGGACCAAGGCCTACAGGAAGGCTCGCGGTAGGGTTTAGGGTTTAGGGTTTAGGGTTTAGGGTTTAGGGTTTGGGGCTTGGGGGTGGGGGGGCGGGGGGGGGTGTCAGCTCGGGGGCTGCTGCGTAAGGGTTGGGGCTACTGCAGCAGCAGCTGCTGCTTTCACTGCTGCTGCTGCTGCTGCGCTCACTGCTGCTGCTGCTGCTGCTTTGCTCACTGCTGCTGCTGCTGCTGCTGCTGCTGCGTTCACTACTACCGCTGCCTCCACCGCTGGTGCTGCCGCGCTCACCGCTGCTGCTGCGCCCCTGCTGCTGCTGCGCCCACCGCTGCTGCTGCGCCCACCGCTGCTGCTGCTGCTGCTGCTGCAGGGAAGGAGCTGACGGAAGACAGCACTTTTGACTTTGAGCAGCGGCGGAATGAGCCAGTGCGTTATAACAGAGAGCTGCTGCAGCAAACTGTGGGGGCGCTGCAGCGGATAGCAGCAATTAGGGAAAGAAGAGCAGCAGCACATTACCGCAGCAGAATGCTGCGGGCCTTTGTGGAGGGGAAGCAGCAGGAAAAGGCGGAGAAGCTGCTGCAGAAGCACAGCCGCCTGCTGCAGCAAATGGAGCTCCAGAGCAGCAGCAGCAGCAGCAGGAAAAGCATCCGCGCGCACGCCCTGCTGCACAGCGACGAAGAGCAGGAAGACAAAGAGCAGCAGCAGCTGCAGCAGGAGGAGCAGCAGCTGCAGCAGCAGCTGCAGCACGAGGAGCAGCAGCAGCAAGACGTGGAGGAGATGGACCTAGATGAAGCAACAACGAAAAGAGGCAAACAAAAGATCAAGAAGCTCCTCAAAGTCTAAAGCTGCTTGTTGGATAGCTAGCTAGCTAGCTAGCTAGCTAGCTAGCTGAGCAGCCATTTGGGTAGCTAGCTAGGCTTTAGTGTCACCTAGGTGCCGACAGGTAGCTAGCTAGCTAGCTAGCTAGCTAGCTGGCTAGCTTGGTAGGTAGCTAGCTAAATGGCTAGCTGGTTGGCTAGCTAGCTATCTGGTTGGCTAGCTAGCTAGCTAGCTAGTCAGCTAGCTAGCCAACTGGTTGACGCAATGGACACTTAGTTCCCCCGGGCGAGCTAGCCAGCCACGAGGCTATCCATTTGGCTAGCTAGCTAGCTAGCTAGCCAAGGAGGTACAGCCCAGTGGCTAGCTGGCTAGCGCACAGGCTGCACTCGGGGTCTTCACGCTGCAGCAACTGCAGCAGCAACTGCTGCTACGGCTGCTGGCAGCAACGGGTTTTTTGCTGGGAGTCCTTTCTTCGTCTGTCCCTGCTGCACTCGGTACACAGTAAAGGCTGCGAGCCTGCAGCAGCAGCAGCAGCAGAAGCTGCGCAGGAGCAGCAGCGGCGCTGCTGCTCCTGCTATGGGGGTGACGGGCAGCTGGTTGGCTGCAGCAGCAACGCACGCAGGCGCAGCCCTTCGGGATCTCGTAGCAGCAGTGTTGGTGGGTAGCTGCTTTGTTGCTGCTGCTGCTGCTGAGTTGCTGCTGCAGCTGCAGCAATAATGGCGCAGCAGCAACAGCAGTAGCACCAGCTAGGCGACGGGCAATGTGTCCAACGCGCTAATTTAATTTAACTTTATTTTGTAAAACTAAATTAAACTAATTTAATTTAAATATAATTCCTTTTATTCGAGTTAGTTGCAACGATCGCTCATACAAGCTGGGGGCCCCCGGGGCCCAGATTGAAGGTGGTGGTGTTTGGCGGCGGTGGCGGCACTGCGGGGGGTTTATAGGGCTTATTATCCTTGCCTATTTCGTAAAAAGAAAGCAAATTAAAAAAAGGAATAAATAGGTATTTATAAATAGTCAATTTGCAGTTTTCTTGGGGAATTCGGGCGCGAGCGGCGGCGCTGAGGTGTACAGACACCTCGACACTTCCGCCTCAAGACCGCCGTTCTTTCCTTCTGTTCTTCTTCCTCTTAACCATGTCTTAATAGGCCTTTTCTTCTTTTTTCTCTGCAGCCAAAACCGCCAAGAAGCAGCAGCAGCAGCAGCAGCAGGATGCTGGGGGATGAGGGTGGTTCTTTAGGCTCTGCAGAGGCCAGCAGCAACTTCAACGAATTCTCCTTCTCCAATGGGGGCCCCCTAACTCAAGACAACGAAGTAGGGGGCCCCCTGAGGGGTACTGCGGGGGTCCGCCTGGGGGGCCCCCCGGGGGGCCCCCCAGGGGGGCCCCCAGGGGCTTCTTCGCAAAGCCAAACCCTTCCCCCCCCATCTCAGGATTTGTGGTTTAGACCCATTGAGGCCAAGGCGCTGGCTGAGGACTTCCTGCACATTGACCATGAGGTCAGATAAGATCTAGGGTTTAGGGTTTAGGGTTTAGGGTTTAGGGTTTTACCGTCCTCACTTGCTGTATCTGTTGAATGTTTTGGCGATGAATTTTGTGGCTGCTCCTAGGGCTTAGCGTTCAGTGTTTATGGCTGCTCCTAGGGCTTAGCGTTCAGTGCTTAGGGTTCAGGGTCTAGGGTTTAGGCTTTAGGGTTTAGGGTTTAGGGTTTAGGGTTTGTGTGCAGATAGTGCCTTGCCGCGCCTTGGTTGAGCTGCGGGGCCTTTCTTATCTTTCGCCCACAGCGAGAGAAGAGTACGCGAAGAACCTCCGCCCAGACGTGGTAACAAACCCTAAACCCTAAACCCTAAACCCTAAACCCTCGACTCTAGCCCTGGAGAGGGTTTTTGCCGCGGAGCGGCCCTCGCGCCTCCCCCATTCCCCGACCCCAAACCCCAAACCCTAAACCCTAAACCCTGGGCGTGCTGCAGGTGACCCCAGGGGACACGCTGCAGCTGCTGCTGTTCCAGGCGCGGAGTTTGCTGCAGCAGCAAAAAGTGCAGCTGCTGTTTCCTGCTGCTTTCGGCCCCACAGTAGTTGACGCTCTTCAGAAAGACCCTTTGGGAGTGGACCTCGCCAGCCACTCTCTCTTCTACTTCGAACTCGGAGAAGAACTCTGCAGACTGTCCGCTGCTGCTGCTGCTGCTGCTGCTGCTGCTGCTGGGGCTGCTGCTGCTGGGGCTGCTGCTGGCGCTGCTGCTGGGGCTGCTGCCGTTGGTGGGGTTGCTGCTGGTGAGAGGGATGGTGAGGGTGGCGGCGCTGGGGAGGGCGGGGATGGGGTCGTGTAGCTGCTGCTGCTGTGGCTGCTGCTGCTGCTGCTGCTGCTGGCTGCTGCTGCTCTTGCTGCCGATGGTGGTGCAAGTGCTGATGGCGATGCTAGGGGGTGGCGTAACTTCTGCTGCTGCTGCTGCTGCTTTCACTTGCTGGACGCGCATGCTGAGAGCTTCCCGCCGCCGCCGCTGCTGCTGCTGCTGCTGCTGCTGCTGCTGCTGCTGCTGCTGCTGCTGCTACTTAGGCTGCCGGAGCACGAGTGGCCGCACCCAAATCTGCAGGCCATTCTGCAGCAGGCGAAGCGGCAGCGGCGCGTGGGTTTGGCTGTGGGGGCTTTTAGCAGAGACAGAAAAATACTAAAGAGACTCACTTTTGAAGAAAGAGACAGTCAGCAGCAAACTCTTGCTGCTGCTGCTGCTGCTGCTGCTCCTGCAGTTGCCGCTGCTGCCTTCGCTGCTGCTGTGTGACGGATTCAGCTGCGGCTGCCTTTGTTGCTGCTGTATTTGTTACTGCTGTGTTTCTGCTGCAGTTGCTGATGCTGCTGTGTTGCTGCTGCAGTTGCTGCTGTCTTTGCTGCTGCTGCAGTTTATGCTGCTGCTGCAAGTGTTTTTGTCTTTTGTGGTGCTCTGCTGTTCCTTGGAGAGCCTTCTTGCTGCCGTCACTGCAGCAGCAGCAGCGTTTGCTTGCTGCTGCTGTTGAGGCTGCTGCTGCTGCTGCTCAAGCTGCTGCTCCTGCCAGCTGCCTTTGTCTGTCTTGCTTCAGCTGTTAACGCAATAGAAAACAGCAGACCCTTCATGGGGCCCTTTGCATAGCCCTGGGGGGCCCCCTTATGGGCCCCCCCGAGGCCCCTACGGTCCCCAGGGGCCCCACACGATCCCCAGGGGCCCCACACGATCCCAGGGGGCCCCATACGATCCCGGGGGCCCCCTAAGACGGCCCCGAGGGGCCCAACAGGGTCCCAGAAGGGGCCCCTGATGCTGTTCTCTAGAGGGGGCCCGTAGGGGGCCCCCTTAATGTGGGGGCCCCTAAGATTAGGGGCCCCCTAAGAATAGGGGCCCCTTAGGTTCCCTCTGAACTGGGGCCCCCATAGGGTCCCCTAAGAATAGAAAAAAGGCCCCTTTTCTTAAGGGGCCCCGTAGGAGTGGGGGCCCCTTAAGACAAGGGGACCCCTGAAGTGGGGGCGCCTTAGACATAGGGGCTCCTTAGGAGTAGGGGCCCCTCTAGAATAGGGGCCCCTTAAGAATAGAAGGCCCCAGGGGCCCCCTAACAGTAGGGGCCCCCCAAGGGGGCCCCTAATTTATGAGGGTTGGCGGGACTGGGCAGGGCCCTAGCTAGGGTGGGGGCCCCACAGGGGCAAGCGTTTAGGGTTTAGGGTTCTGGGTTTAGGGTTTAGGGGTTCGGAGGTTTTTGTTTTATGGGGGTGCGGGAGATGTTGCCGCAGTGACCAGCAGAGGCTACTGCCGAATTGTTTAAAGCAGTTTGCTGCGTCGCTGTGGCTAGCTAGCTAGCTGCCTAGCTAGCTGGCTGTTTAGCCAGCTATATAGTTGGCTGACTGGATGGTTGACTAATTGGCTAGCTAGCTGGCTAGCTAGCTAGTTGGCTAGCTGGCTGACTAGTCGGCTGGGCAGCTGGCTAACTAAGTGGATAGCTAGTAATTGGTGCAGGCCTCGGCGCTCAGCCTTTTCATAACGCCGAGCAAGCCCCGCTGCTCTTCCCCTGCAGTTTTGTTGGCTAGCTAGCTAGCTAGCCAGCAGCTAGCTAGCTAGCTGCCCTGGCTAGCTATTCCAGCTGGCTGCTGGGCTAGCCACGCTCCCCGCCAGCTAGCTAGCTAGTTGGCTAGCTAGGTACCTCACGCTCCCTTTCCTTGCAGGGCCAACGGCGGCAGTGCTGCCATTGCTATTTCACCAGAACCCTCTGGGGGCCCCTGGGGGCCCCCAGGGGACCCTGGGGGCCCCCAGGGGACCCCCACCCGAGTTTAAGGAACTAAGAAGCAACAAATGGAGGCACACGCAGCAAAAGAGACGAATAAAAAGCTTAAAGGGTACTTGTTGCAAAGCTAGCAGGAGGGGGGCCCCCCACCAGGGGCCCCTCACCGGGGGACCCCCACCAGGTGTTGCCCCAGTGCCCAAAGCTACGGGGGCCCCCAGAAGAAGGGGCCCCCCGCTAGAATAAGCCAGTTTCAAAAAGTATTTATAGACGGTTTTAGGACGGAACGTAATTGCTGCTGCTGCTGCTGCAGCAGCAGGGATTAGAACATGCCTCATGTAGCGGCAAAGTGCGGGTTTGGCAGCGGCCGCAATACCGCTGCAGGTGCTGCTGTAGCTGCTACCGCAGGTGCTGCAGCAGCAGCAGCAGCACTGGCCGCAGCAGACGCTGCACGTGCTGCCGCAGCAGCGGCACGTGCTGCTGCTGCTGCAGCAGCACGTGCAGCGGCTGCTGCGTGCTGCTGCTGCAGCAGCAGCAACTAGAGGCTGACACTGCTAACAGCTGCTGCTGGCCAGCGGGTCCGCAGCAAAGACTGCAAAGCGGCCGTGTGGGGGCCCCCCAAGACAGCCGAATTGTTCTGGACAAGAAACGCGCTCACCCCTGGGCCTGCAGCAGCAGCAGCAGCAACAGCAACAGCAACAGCAGCAGCAGCGATTCCACCGTCATACAACCAGACCCCTGAGCTGCTGCTGTCAGGCGTGTTGTCGCTGCTGCTAGTAGTGCAACTGCTCCTGTCGGCAACGTTGCTGCTATGCTGCTGCAGCTGCCAATGCTTCTGCTGCTGCTGCTCCTGCTAGTACGGCTGCTGCTGCTGCTGCTGCTGCTTACCAGGAGGTACTTGGCCGTCGTAGAGAAAGACGTGAAATGTCTCTGGGGGCTCCACGTGTGGCTCAGCTGTGAAAGGCGCAGCGCCGAATCGAGGGTTTAGGGTTTAGAGTTTAGGGTTTAGAGGGGACAAAACCCGAAGAGACTACACAAAGGAAATAGAAGAGACAAAAAGAAATGAAAAGGGAGGAGGGAAATGAAAAAAGAAACGAAGAGACACAAAAAAAAAGAAACGGGAGCAGCAGAATGAAGCAGCAGCAGCAAAGAATAGAGGAAGCAAAAGAGACACAAAAGGCAATTCAGGGATAAATAATATGAAACAAAAAGCAAAATGAAAAGGAAGTAAAAGAGAGACAAACGGAGGTTAAAAAGAAGCATAAAAGAGGCTACAAAGAAGCTAAAAAAAGACAAAAAGAAACGAAGAAAAGAGGTCCGAAGCCCGTAACAGCCCATACATAGAGAGCGAAATAGGGAACCCAAAAGAGCCAAAAACAGCCAAAAAAACCCAAAAATGCAAAAAAAACCCAAAAGCCGGAGAAAAGGTGAATTAATCAAAAGGAGAAATTAAAAGAAGCAAAATGCACCGAAAAAGAGGAGAAAAAACTCAAAGAAGAGACAAAAATAGGGCCAAAAAACGAGCAGGGGGCGAGCAAAAAGCGAGTTTGAGGGAACCAAATGGCGCCAAAAAGAGCCCCGAGAGCGGGATAAACGCTGGTGAAAGAATTGGCAAGAAAGGGGAGAAGAGAAGAAGTTTAAAGAAACAAAAACATGCCAAAAAGAACAAAAAAAGAGCAAAAAAAACAAAAAAAAGCACCTGAAGAACGCTGCCCAGCCCGCACAGTCCGAAACCAACGCAGCCAGTCTGTGTACAAAACGACCCCGTCGGCCGTGGGCACGTCTGCGGCGAGCGCCGCGGGCAGTCCTGAGGGCGCAAAAGGACAATTTGAGGCGAAAAAGGACAATTAAAACCTCAAACGACAAAAACGTAAAATACGGCAGAAGAAACAATTGAAAGAAATAATTGGGAGAAAAGGAGAAAAAAAATGAGGGAAAACGAGTGAAAATGAGGAAAAAGACACGAAATATCGCAACGCCGCGGGCAGTGCTGCGGGCGCCATAGGGCAATTCAAAAGCGGAAAAAAGATAATTAAAACTTTCAAAAGGATCATTAAAAAAGGTTAAAGGAGATAAGAAGAACAATTTAAGGGAATTATAGAAGAAACGGGAAGAAAAGGAAAAAACGAGATAAAGAGAGGAAAAAACGAGAAAAAATGAGATAAAATCGGACGAAAAAAGATAAGAGAGTGAAAAAGAAAGAATCAAAGGGAGGAAAAAATGACTAAATGAAACAAAATGAGGCGACTGTGGAGACAAAAAGAGAAAAATAAAGAACTGAAACACCGAAAATTGAAAAGACGAGAAGCCATACAGCAGAAGAAGACAAACTGAGGTGTACGTACACCCCAGACGCAACAGCCTTCCCTACCAGAGGCGGCCAAAACGCGAGGCAGCTGCTGCTGTTGCAGCAGCAGCGACTTCCCGGGGTCTTCCAGCTCAAATGCCCACCGCGCCTCCTGCAGCAGCAGCAGCAGCAGCATCAGCAGCAGCGAGTGTGCAGCGACGAAGCTGCCGGGATGGCGCTCCCCAGCCGCAGCAGCAGCACCAACCGCGGAAGCAGCAGCAGCAGCAGCAGACAAAACCAGCAGCAGCAGCAGCAGCAGCAGACAAAACCAGCAGCAGCAGCAGCAGCAGACGAAACCAGCAGCAGAAGCAGCAGACAAAATCAGCAGCAGCAGCAGCAGCAGCAGCAGCTGACCGCCTCCACTCGGGCGTCTGAAGGCAGCTCAGCAGCAGCAGGATCTAAAGCGAAGAGACTTGTGTAGTGGTTGCCGCTGCCCACAACCCAAAAGGGAAACAGCGGCGTTTTGAAGCGGCTGCCTACTTCGCAGTACCTGCAGCAGCAGCAGCAGCAGCAGCAGCAGCAGCAGGCCGCAGCAGCAGCATGGGCTTCGCGCGCCCGCGTCCGCAGCCGCTGCAGCAGCTCCTGCGCGTGCGCCCGGGAGCGTGCGTGTCAAGGCCTGGAACCTAGGGTTTAGGGTTTAGGGTTTACCTGAGGACTTCCATCTCGGAGAGAAACCCCACAAGGGGCCTCTTGAGGGCCCCCCCAAGTGCTGCTTCCCCCAAACTGGCCCAGCCGTCACACACGTTGCTGCTTGCTGCTCCCTGCAGCAGCAAATTCAGCGCCTCTTGCGTGCAGTGTCCGTACACCCCAAGCAGCGGCCGCGACGGGGGGTCCATGTCGCTGCGCACCTGCAGCAGCAGCAGCAGCAGCAGCAGTAGCAGCAGCAGCAGCAGGTGCGGCGGGGGGCTGTTGCTGGGGCAGCAGCAGCACGCGCCGTTGTATCAGCAGCAGCAGCAACTGCAGCAGCCGCAGCGGTCGTTGCACTAGCAGCAGCAGCAGCGTTCGCTGCATCAGCAGCAGTAGCAACACTTGCAATAGCAGCAGCAGGAGCAGTCGCTGCATCAGCTGCAGCAGCATTCATCGCACGAGCACCAGCAGCAGCAACAGCTTCAAAAATAGCAGCAGCAGCAGCAGCACTGGCCGCACAAGCACCCGCCGTGGCAAAATCGTGACCAGCAGCAGCAGCAGCAGCAGCAGCAGCAGCAGACCTTGTTGGGGCCCCGAGTGAGAACAACGGAAGCAAGGAAGCTAAGTGCAGCCCCCGGAGCTGCCAGCAGCACTTGTCTGTGGGCGAAGTAAAAGCGCATGACTTCTGTGATGCCCACAATTTCCCGCGTTTGGAACTGCAGCGAGTCCACATCTGCTGCTGCTGCTGCTGCTGCTGCTGCTGCTGCTGCTGGCCGCTGCGGCGCCTGCATCGCCACTGTGTACACAGAGTCCGGCGTGCATTGATACAGCACTGCAGCAACAGCTTCCGCCAGCGCGTGCTGCCGCTGCAGCGAGCACGGGTGCAGCTGCAGCACCTCTTCCTGCTGCTGTTGCTGCTGCTGCTGCTGGTGACGCAGGCGGCGGCTCGCCCGGAAGCGCGAAAACAGTAAAGACCGCAGCACGAAGCACTGCAGCGCCGCCAGGACCCCACAGGGGCCCCCGTGGATTTGTGCGAGTCCCCACTCCCCGCAGTCCGGCGCTGCTGCTGCTGCTCCTGCTCCTGCTGCTGCTCCTGCTGTTGCTGCTGCTGCGCTCCCCAGTGCCTCCGGCCACTCTGCAGCGAACGCAATCGGGTGAGCCATCCTGCAGCAGCAGCAGCAGCAGCAGCAACAGCAACAGCATGTCCCTCAGCACAGAGGCGGCAGCTCGGGAGACGACGCAAAAGGCAGCAGCAGCAACTGCGGCAGCAGCAACTGCGGCAGCAGCAACTACGGAAGCAGTAACTGCAGCAGCAGCAAATGTAGCGGCCTCTACTGTAGCAGCAGCAACTGCAGTGGCATCAACTGCAGGATCAGCACCTGTTGCGACAGCAACTGCAGCAGCAGCAGCAGCAGCAGCAGGAGCAACAGCAGTAGCAGCTGCTGCAGCAGCAGCAAGTTGCTCACCACCTGCCCAAGTCTTCTCTGTCTATTTGCCGGTCCCCACCTTCCCCAAAGAGCAGCAGCAGCAACTCCCGCAGCTTCTGCTGCTGCAGCAGCTCCGTGGAGGCGTCAAGGCTGGCTCGCTGCTCCTCCTCCGTAAGAGAATCTTCTGCTGCTGCTGCTGCTGCACAGGGGCAGGACTTCCACCGCTGCTGCTGCTGCTGCTGCTGCTCACTCGGTGCGGCTGCTGCTGTTGCTGCCTTCGTAGAAGGCCCAGTACTGCTGCTGCTGCTTGGGGCCCTGCAGCAGCAGCAGCAGCCACGTTGCTCTTCCTCTTCAATCCACTCTGGGGGTACTTTGAAGCGGTCCCCCGGCAGCTTCCTGCTGCTGCTGCTGCAGCTGCTGTCGGTCCTGAGCGGGAACGTGCTGCTGCTGTTGCTGCTGCGGGGAGGCGGTGGCTGCAGAAGATCTGTCAAGTCATCATCTTGCGGCAGCAGCGCCAAAAATTCTGCTGCAGACAGCTGTCGCGGAGCAGCAGCAGCAGCAGCAGAGGAACACGTGTCTGGAGAAGTACCTGATACGCAGACAGAAAGGGCACATACAGCTGCTGCTGTTGCCCATGGCCGGCAGCAGCAGCTGCTGCTGCTGCAGCAGCAGCAGCAGCAAGAGCGCCAACTCACCATCTCTGAGAGAGGCTTCCAGTGCTCGCTGCAGCTCCACATCATCCGTATCAAACTCGGGTGGCTGCAGCTGAGGCTGCTGTTGCTGTTGCTGCTGCTGCTGCCGTTGCTGTTGCTGCTGCTGCTGCTGCTGATCCCATTCCATATCTGCTGCAACTCGCGAAAGGCGCAGGACCTCAGGGCTGTTGGCTCGGGGCCGGACGAACTCTTTAGGCGGCATTAGGGCTGCAATTCAGTCGCTGCTGTTGTTGCTGCTGTTGCTGCTGCTGCTGCTGCTGCCGCGGTTGCTGCGGCGGCGTCTTTCGTTGCTCCTGCTGCTGCGGCTACAGAGTGGGGCGAAAGGTCTGCCCTTGAGCAGCAGCTGCAGCGCTGACTGTTGCGTCGCTACAGTGCGCCCATGCAGACAGCAGCAGTGATGGAAGAAGCAGCAGCAGCAGCAGCAGCGGCAGCGTTTTGTTCCAGCGCCCCCGAGTACTGACACTGCAGCAGAGACTGCAGGGTCGGCGCCTCCGTGTGTGGCTGCCGCCGCTGGCTCTGAAAAGCTTGGAAGCTGCTGCTGCTGCGTCTGCTGGCGTTGCTGCTGCTGCTGCTGCCGCCGTCACTGCCGCTGCTGCTGCTGCAACTGCTGCTGCTGTGATGATTTGACCACACACCAAGAGGGCTCGCTGCTTCTGCCGCCGAGATCTGAGTTCCGAATTAAACAAATACTACTGTAGACGTTTGTGCTGCTGCATTCATTGCCGCCGCTGTTGCTGCTGCTGCTGCGGCGGCGGCTGCTGCTGGCGGTCCTGTGGCTGTGGCCGCATGTAATAGCTCCCGTTAGCGCTGGGCCCGAAGCTCTTTCCTGAATTGAAATAAACAGCTCAGAAAGTTGCTTCATAATTACAAGACGAGGGGGTAGAAGTCTGCAGCGGGCTGGGGAGCGCCTGCGCCTCTGCTGTGCGGTGCGGCGTGTGCCGCATTTGCGCGGCTGTCTCGGCCGTTTGGGCTGCGTTAGTCATCATTTTGGGAAGTTCAAATGAATTGTTTCGCAAAATAGCGAGAATTAAGAGTAAATAGGCCCAAAAACTACGAAAATGGCCACCCACAGACCCAGTCTGACGGCCTCGCAGCCCAGCAGTGCCACCGGCAGAGCCTCTGTTCTTTCCCGACGCACATCCGACTTCAAGCAGCAAAACACCACTCGCCGAGCTTCAATATCTCGAGAAACTCCAATTCCCAAGACCTCTAGGGCTACCGACAGCCTAGGTGGGCCCGCCGCCGCAAACCCTAAACCCTAAAACGGGGTTTTGACTGCCGACGCACCCGCAGTGCGAGCTCCACAGGCCGCCGCTAACCCTAAACCCTAAACTCTAGGCGTCCCGTGGGCCTGCCCGCGCGCCGGACGGCCGAGGGAGCTGCAGGCTAGGGTGCTGCGCAGCAGGATACTCTCAATTAGGGTTTAGGGTTTGGGAAGTGCAGAACAGGAGCCCCGGCGAAGGGCAATGCTTACTGTTCACGCCCAGGGTTCTGGGAGTCTACCATTCGGGATTAAGGGTTTAGGGTTTTGGCTTTAGGATTCACGGATTAGTTTAGATCATTCAGCAAGACCACGACGCTTTTGCCTAAGTGGTACAAATAAGAAAGAAATAAAAAATGTGTTGAGGGTTTAGGGTTTAGGATTTAGCTACGGAGCAGAGCGCGCAACAACAGTAGCTCCAATGAAGGCGCCACAAGTCGCAGCAGCAGCAGCAGCACGAGGCACAGTAGCAGCAGTGGCAGAAGCAGCAGCAGCGCTGCCAAAAAGCAGCAGCATAAGTTGCGGCAGCAGCAGAAGCTGCAGCAGCAGCAAACAAAAATTCCACTTAGGGGAACGGGAGCGCCTGCAGCTCCTGGCTTCGCTTCTAAATAGGTGTCGCTAGCTGCGTGCCTTGAAATTGTGCTGTTGCTGCTGCTGGCGAAGTGAAGCTCTGGGAACACAGCAGCAGCAGCAGCAGCAGCAGTGACGGTAGCAGCCGCCCTATGAGCCAAAGCAGATTCGACTATCTTCTAGACGGTTGACGCTATCTCCTCCACTTGCCCCGTGACGACCAATCCTGCTGCCGCTGCTGCTGCTGCTGCTGTTGCTGCTGCTGCTGCTGCAGGTCCAGGAAGCTATCAAGTGCTGCTGAATGAGCGAAACGTAACCCCCCGGCGTCTGTACAGCGCAGCGGGAGAGTCAGAGAGCACAACAATAGATGCTATTGAGACAGGCAGGTGTTTTGGAGTCTAAACCCTAGTCTCTAAACCCGAAACCCTCAGCTCCAAACCATAAACCCTAGTGCCTACCCCCTAAACCCTAAACGCATGCACGCCGCTGGCTGCAGCCATTTCCGTGGTTATTCTCCGTTTGCTCTTGCCTTGCTGCACCCTTAGTTGCTGCAGGAACTGCTGCTGCTCTCCCCGCTACTGCTGCTGCTACTCTTGCTGCTACTTCTTGACCTGCTGCTGCTACTTTTGCTGCTACTGCTTGAGCTGTTGCTGCTGCTTTTGCTCTTGCTGCTACACTTGCCGCTGCTGTTGCTGCTGGTGCTGCTCTTGCTGTTGCTGTTGGTGCTGGTGCTGCTCTTGCTTCCTCCCTTGCTGCTGCTGGTGCTGCTGTTGCTGCTGCCCTTCCTGCTGCTCTTGCTACTGCTCTTCCTGCTGCTGTGCGTTTAGATGCGAGGTGCCTAAATAAACTGCACAGCTGTTGCAAGCTGATTTTAGATTAATTTATTTCTTGTTCTTTTTCTTTTTCTCCTTTTTCTTTGAAATTGCTGACGCGTGTGGAGCCCGCTGAGGTGTACGTACACCCTGGCACTTGTGCTGCTGCAGACCTGGAGCTGTCTGGAGAGCAGCAGCAAGAAGAAAGCCCGAAGCCAGCAGCAGCACGAGAAGCAGAGCCCACAGGCAAGCTGCTGCTGCGGTTTGGGACTTTTTGCAGATCCCAGTTTTCCTTTTTTGAATTTAAAAAAATAAAATAAAAGTCTCCGAAATGCCATTTAAATCTTAAAATAAATGCTTCAGTGCTGCTGCAATCAACGCCCTACGGCTCCGCCGCCGCAAACAACGCAACGCAACAAAGTAGCTGCTGCTGCTGCTGCTGCTGCGGGGCGTGGCAACAGAAGGCCCCCGCGCCGGGGGGGTGGAGGCTGGCGGGGAGCTGCTGGTGGAGCTGGAGGAGACGGAAACTTTGCTGCTGTTCAGTAAGGCCTCGAGCTGCGCAGTGTTGGGTTCTGAAGAGCAGCAGCAAATTGCTGCTAGGAACAAGGCCTACTTGGAGCTGCTGGCAACTCGTGCTGCAGTGCCCCGCAAGTTCAAAACCGCCCACACCCAAACCCTAAACCCTCAGCAAAAGCTCAAAGCTGTGGCAACAGACTCCAGCGCCCTGCTTTCTGCTGCAGTCGCCGCCACCCCCGCGGACATACACGATGCGCTCGCCGCCAAACCCCGCAAACTGTACTGCTGCTGCTGCTGCTGCTGCTGCTGTTGCTGCCGCTTGAGCACCTGCTCATGCTGCTGCTTGTGCTTGTGCTGCTGCTGCTGCTGCTTGTTCTTCTGCTACTGCTGCTGCTGCTTGTTCTGCTGCTGCTGCTGCTGCTTGTTCTCCTGCTGCTGCTACTGCTCTCTCCTGCTAATACTGCTGCTTGTGCTCCTGCTGCTGCTGCCTTCGCCGCTACATGGGCTGCTCTGCTGCTGCTGCCGCTGCTGCACCAGTTGTGTCGAGCTGCTTCTCAGCAGTACACCTTTTGTTTCTCCGCAGCACTGATGACTTCAGAGACACTTGGAAAAAAGCAGCAGAAGAGTTTGCTGCTGAGGGTTTGAAGGCCCCAGGGACATTCTTGTCTCTGGACTGGCGACTTTGCGCAGCGCGGGACCGCCCGCGGTCTTCAGGCAGCGCGGGGGGCCCCTCGGGGGGCCCCGGGGCCTCGGGGGCCCCCGGGGCCCCCGGGGGCCCCGGCGGCCCCGGGGCCCCCTCCAGCTCCCCACATGCTTCTCTCTCGCGCAAGTCCGACTTTAATGCCTCTCAGGCGCAGCAGTCGCTAAAAGCCAGAGGAAGAGAAAACACAAAACGTGCTGCTGGAAGTTTGTTGAATAAGCGCAGCACTGGGACTGGGGAGGGGAACCGCGCAGACACAAGACAAACAGGTTCGATGTGCTGCTGCTGCTGCTGCTGCTTCTGCTGCTGTTGCTGGTATTGCTGCTGCTGGTGTTGCTGCTGGTGCTGGGGATGTTGTTGCTGTTGGTGCTGCTGCTGGTGGTGCTGGAGTTGCTGTTGCGGGTATTGCTGCTGGGGAGCAGCCAGGGGACTCCTGCTGCGGAGAGATGGTGCAGCAGTGGCTGCTTCTTTCGGTGCTGCTGCTGCTGCTGCTGCTGGCACTGTTGCTGGCGTTGCTGCTGCCACTGTCACAAGTGCTGCTGCTGCTCGTCGAGCTGCTGCAGCAACCCGCACGCTTTGTGGCCGCTGCAGTGGCTGCGAGCAGCCGCTTTTGCTGCTGCTGCTGTTGCTGCTGCAGATGGCTCTTCATCAAATTTTGCCCCCCGGCGCTCGCAGCGGCAAGTACTTGAGGAGACAGAAGACTCTTTTCTCGAGGAAAGCCAAGAAGCCACAAGTAAAGAAATCGACCCAAAGGCCGGCTGGAAGGTACCGCTTTTGCTGCTGCTGCTGTTGCTGTTGCCGTTGCTGTTGCTGTTGTCGCTGGTGCTGCTGCTGTTGCTGCTGGTGCCGCTGCTGCAGCTATTGGTGCATTTTTGTTGCCTCAAAATGGTGCTGGTGACGCTTTGTTGGCCTGTTGCTTCTTTGCTGCTGCTGCCGCGCTACTTTTCGCCCGCCGGCAGCAAAGGTTCTTGCTGCATTTCTTACTGCAGCTTTTTAACACGATTTCTGCAGCCTCCTTTTATGGGAATAAAAGTGCTGCTAAAGCTGTTTGGGATAGCGTGGCTTCGCGTCAAACTAAGCGAGCAGCAGCAGCAGCAGCAACAGCAGCGAGAGCAGCAGCAGCAGCAGCAAGAGCAGGCGTGCGCGTCTGTGTGCTGCTGCGCAGATGGCTGCCGACAGGCCGCTGCCAGCAGCACTGGCTGCTGCTGCTCTGCGGATCGAAGCTGCTCTTTGTCAGCAGCAGTTTCACAAGCAGCAAATGATTTACAGAAGCTTCAGGGCGCTGCAGCTAGCTGAAGATGCACTTGAACCTCAACTCACAGACATGGGGCCCCACACGGGAAGTGAGTTGGTTAGGCTGTCTCGCGTTGCTGCTGCTGCAGCGGCGGGCTCAGTTGCTGCTGCTGAATGCCTGCTGCTGGTGCTGCTGCTGCGTAGCCGCTGCGATGGAAGGACGGCTAGTGTTGCTGCTTCCTGAAAACGGTGCGGGCGGCGCTTCGTTTTTTGTTGCTGCTTTGCTGCTGCTGCCGCTGCTGCTGCTGCTGCTGCTGCTGTGTGCGCCACCAGCTCGGCTTTTCGCAGCAGGATTCCCATAGCCGCTCACCAGCAACAGCGACAACAGCAGAAGTAGCAGCAGGAACAGCAGCAACACATCGAGTATCTTTTTCTAATATCTGTCTGGTAGGGGTGTTGTCTGCTGCTGCAGTTAGGACAGGTTTTGGAGTAGATGCGGAGGAGAAGCAGCGGGACGGGTCTGACTCCGACGAGGCAGAAGACGAGCAGCAAAGTGAGGCCCTTCTCACAATGCGTGCTTGTTTGCTGCTGCTGCTGTTGCTGCTGCTGTTGATGTTGCTGTTGCTGCTACTGTTGCTGTTGGTTCTATTCCTTGCTGCTGCTGCGAAAGAGACGAACTCTCTGCGCGCAGTAACATACTGGCTTGGCGCCGCCAAAAACGCGAGAATCTCTCACTGGCCCCCTTCTCGCCGTTGCTGTTGCTGCTGTAGCTGTTGGTGCTGCTGCTGCTGCTGCTGCTGCTGCTGCTGCTGGTCGCGCAGGCGGGGGCAGCCGGCAGCAGCTAAAGGAACTGCTGGACTTCGATGGCCGCGCGCTGTGCGACGGCCACGGGGTGAGGGCTCTGGCATATCATCCAGTGCACAAAGACACTCTGTGTGCTGCTTACAGCAGCCCCGCGTACGACTGCAGCAAGCGGCGGACTGGTGAGGAGTCACCAGCAGCAACAGCAGCAGCAGCAGCAGCAGCAGCTGCCGAGCAGCCGCAGCCCCAGCGGCGTCCAGATGCCCCACGAGCGGTGCACAGACACCCCGCGAGGCGTACATACACTCGAGGTGTACGTACACCCCAGCGCCGCTGGTGTGTCTGCAGGAAAGCTGCTGCTCTGGTCCATTGCAAATCCGCTGCATCCTCAGCGAGTCATTAACTGCAAGACAGGGGTAACTACTGTTGAGTTCGGGCCTTCGCAGCCCAACCTTCTCGCAGGCGAGCACAGGCAGCTGTGGGGGGGTCCATTTGCCCCATTTAATTGATTTTCCCCCCATCTTTTTGCGAGTCTTCATTCTTTTTTGTTTGTTTTGTTAGTTTTTCTCTCTTTTACTTGCTTACTCATTCTCTGGGTGGTCTGTGGGACATTGCGCCTCGAGAGGTTGGGTTGAGGCCGCTTGCATTGCTGCTGGCGTGGTTAGCTGGCCCTTGCCACTCTTGCTGTTGCTGCTGCAGCTGCAACAACAGCAGCTGCTGCTACTGCAGCACCGGCCAGAGCGGGGCGAGCAGCAGAGCTGGCGCTGCTGGCCTTCTGCATCGCAGCAGCAGTTGCCTGCAGCCCCATCGTCCTCGGCGAACCCAGCAGCAGCGACACCAGGAGCAGCAGCAGCAGCAGCAGCAGCAGAGGCCGTCGCTTGCATGCGCTGCTGCTTGCAGGGGGAATGGTGGACGGTGGGGTTGGTGTTTGGGACGTCCGAGTGCCTCGCGATCAGCCAGTGCTGCACAGCGCCGGCAGCGAAGGAGTGCTGGTGAGGCTGCTGAGGTGTCTGTACACCCCGTGGCTTGGCTGTGGGTGGCGCACTTCAGGGCTGTTGGGCTAAACGCCTCAAGCCGCTTCTTTTCCCCAAATGACCTTCAACACTTTTCATTTGTTATCTGATCATTTGATTCAGTATCTCAACAACTTATTCTGCTTGTTGGTCCTGTTTGTTGTCTTGCTGTTCGTCGGCTTTTACCCCAGAGGAGCCGCACTGGTTGCTGCAGGCAGACATTCCTTAGCTTCTGCCTGTTGGCCCTTCGGCCTTTACTACTGCTGCTGCTGCTGCTGTTGTTGCTGCTGTTGTTGTTGCTGCTGCTTCAGGGCTGCCAGCACTCGGACACTGTTTGGGACTTGAAGTGGATTTTAAAGGAAGGGACGGAGGGCCTTCTTACCACAGGGGGCGACGGACAAGTCCTTCAGTGGAGCATGCAAAAAGGTAGGATAGAATAAGTAGTGGCTAGCTAGCTGCATCACTGGCTAGCTAGCTGCGCCACTGGCTAGCTAGCCACGGCACTGGCCAAAGCACTGGTTGCAGCACAGCACTTCGCCAAAATACAAAAAAGCCTGTGGGGCGGTGGCCCACCGCGCGTGACCACTGGTCACTTGGTCCAAAGCCCTTGGGTTCGCCCCCGTGGCTGCAAAGAGCTTGCAAATGTGCTCCTGTAGCCCCACGCGTGTGCTAAGGGGCCCCAAAAGCCCCCGAAAGCGCTATCTCTAAGGAACACCTCTAGTCCCCAAAATGCTGTCGCTAGAGGGGCCCCGCAAGTCCCCAAAGCGCTGTCTCTAGGGGCCCCAAAAGCCTGGCAAGCGCTGTGTCTGGGTACCCGCAACTGCGCGCTGCATTGAGCTGCTTTGTGCTGCTGCTTGCCGCTTTGTGCTGCTGCGTGCTGCTGCTTGCTGCTGCGTGCTGCTGCTTGCTGCTGCGTGCTGCTGCTTGCTGCTGCGTGCTGCTGCGCGCTGCTGCGTGCTGCTGCGCGCTGCTACTGCTGCTGCTAGGCCTGACGCACTCGGTGGCGATGGTGGTGCGGCGGACTCCGAACGCGCAGCTGCTGCAGGTGACTGCGCGCAAAAAAGACATGAGTCGCAGCCGTTTCTTCAGCTACGCCTCGGGACTGTCGCTGGACGTGGCGGCCCACGGCGACGGCAGCAGCCTTTACTTCGTCTCCACCGACGGCGGCGCAATTCACAAGTGTTCGTTGGCTTACAACGAGCAGTTCCTTGCCACTTATTTGGGCCACAAGGGCCCTGTCCGCACGGTGGGCTTGGGGGGCCCCCGAAGCCCCCAAGAACAGCTAGCTGGCCAAAAGCCCGCAGGCCGTTTGGCTAGCTAGCTGCCTCTGGGGCCCCTTCTTCTTGCCTCTTTTGGAATCGCTGCTCCCGGAGACTCTCGTTGCGGCTGTCTTGGTTTGTCTTTCTGTGCCTTTCTTCGGGGCTTGGCGTCTTTCCTCGCTTGCCTTGACTTGGCCTTTTGGAGCCCTCGAAATCTGCTTTTCTTTTCTCTGCTGCTCTGAACCTCTTCTCTTTATTCCTCCCTCATGCCAGGCGCCGCCCCTGCTTGCATGCAAGAACAACAGCCTATAGGCCTGTCTGTGTCGGCGCATGCGCACACGCACAGACGCATGCAGTCTGGTTTGTTGATGTATGCTTGCGCCGCGCATGCAAGGCCTGCATGCACTGACTTACCATGCATGCGCCGCGCATGCAAGCCCGCATGTACTGACGTACCATGCATGCTCCGCCCATGCAAGCCTGCATGCACGAGTGCACCCACGCGCCGCGCATGCAAGCCTGCATGCCCTGATGCACCGTGCATGCCCCGCGCATTCAAGTCTGCATGCACTGGTGCTCTATTCATGCGTGCATGCAGCGGGCCACCGTGCATGCGCAGCGCATGCAAGCTGCTGAGTGGTGCTGCTTCAGGTGCGGCTAAGTCCTTTCTCCCCGAACTTGTTGCTGAGCGGCGCCGCCGACTGGACTGTGCGGCTGTGGCCAGTGGCCCGCAGCGAAGCGGAGGCGGAGGTGTTCATTTCTACGGAGGCGCCCAGCGCGGTCAGCGACGTTTGCTGGTGAGGGCTCTTGGGAAAAAAAGACCATTTGGGTGAAATGAATGAAACAAAATGAGACATTTGGGATTAATGGAGGCACTCGGGGAGAGAAGAAAGAACTGTCACAAACACAAGCAATAAGAGAAGAGCTGGGCTGCACGGTTTTCTTTTGCTGCTCCCTTTTGGCCGCCTTAGCTGCGCTGCTGCCTCTCTTCTCGTCGCTGTCTTTGCTGCTGCTGCTCTTTTTGCTTTTTTCCCTTTTGTCTTTCTTTTTTTATCCACCTCTGCCTTCTTCACCCTGTCCCGTTTGGCGCGTTGCGCTGCTTCTGCAGCTGCTGTTTTCTCCACTGCTGCCCCACTTCTCGCTCCAGCTCCCATCACTACTGCTGCTGCCGCTGCTGCTGCTGGTGCTCCTGCTGCACGTTCGCTCAGGAGTCCCTATGACGCGACCTCATTCTGCTGCTCGTTTGACGATGGCCGAATTGAGCTCTGGAACTGCGCAGAGCTAACAGAAGATCCCGCGGCAGTTTTGTACCCTCGCCGTGCGGACTCTCAGACTAAAAGACGGCTCACCCAAATAAGGCAAGTACAAATCTTTTATTTTCCTTTTTGTTTGTTGCGGGAAGTTTCTGGCTCCCTTGCGTTCAATGAACTCTACCTGCCTTATGTAGAAGCAGCAGCGCTGGCAAGGCGTTTGGGATAAACACAGGCATGCATGCAGGCATGCACGCGCGTGAATGCAAGTGCGCAAGTGCATGCATGCAAGAGCATGCATGCAAGTGCATGCATGCAAGTGCATGCATGCAAGTGCATGCCAACCACGTTTGTGCAGGTACGCACCTTGTGCGCCTGTGGTGGTTGTGGGGGACGACGAGGGCTGCATAAGCCTCGTGAGCATCGAAGAGGAAGCTGTTCCTGCTTACTCTCGACAGGAGCAGCAAGAACGCCTAGAGCAGGCCTTTCAGGCCAGGGCAAGCCAGCACCAGAGAGGGCCGGCTCAAGAGGCCTCAGCAGAGGCTTCTTGAGCAGCAGCCGCAGCAGCAGCAGCAGCAAGGGGGCCTTAGACACCTACGCGAACTCAGTCTAAAACGCAGCAAGCAAGAGGCCCGAAGGTTCTGAAAGCGCGCCCTGGGCGGCTGCAGCGCGGGCTGTTGGTCTAGGTAGCAGCAGCTGCAGCAGCAGCAACAGCAGCAACTGCACAGCAGCAGCCTGGCTATTGCTATTCACGTGCCTTTCTGTCGCTGGAGGTGTTTATTCTACATAACGTTTGCCTTGTCTGGGTCAACGTGAAACATGCGCACAAATTCACCTAATGCTTTTCACTTTATAGCAGTTAAGACAGCCAATAATCCTCCAAACTGCAAACCACAACAAAGGCAAGAAAAAGCCGCTCACGCTGGTCCGCCCCCCTGTCGGACTCAGCGCAGTCTCTGACACAGTTGCTGTACGGCTAGTCCGGGGGCCCCTCTGAAGCCCCTCTACGGGCCCCCTTGGGGGGCCCCCAGAAGTGCGGTGGGGCCGCTAAAGTGACACTCCGCTGGGGAGCGAGTACTACAGGCCTTTTCTTGAGGGCCCCTTAAAAGGCCCCTCCCATGGGGCCCCCTGAAAGGGGCCCCTAAGAGAAGCCGCTTGCTGGCGGGACCCTAGGCAGCCTCGAAGGCCCCGTAAGCTCAAGAGAAGGGCCCCTAGGCATGTAAATAAAACCCCAAACACAGCGGACGGCGGTGGCATGAAAGCAGCAGCATGGCCACACCGTCCAAAGGGCTTTGCGCTGCGAGGTTGTTGTCGCTGCTGCTTCAAGGGAGCAATTCTAAGCCCTCTCTGTTCGAGGGTATTGTAGTGCAGAGTGTCTCAACAGCTTGAGTTGTAGCGGTCTCCCTGCAAGAGAAGAGAATGTGTGGGGCCCCCCAGTAGACAGAGAAAGCCCCAGTGGAACTGCATGTGGGGCGTCGAGCTTCCACACTACTTGCTCTTGCAAACCCCGCAACTGCCTATATGCATGCTTGCATGCATGCCTGCATTCAAGTATGCATGCATGCAGCCTCTTCTAGTGTGGGCCCCTAAAGCCCCGCCCCGACGAGCCGCCTGGCCTTCCTGGGCGGAGTTTGTCTCCGAGCTAAAGGAGACTGCGGGGGCTGAGTCATTTAGTAGTAGGCGTCGTGGGCGTTGTGGTCGACCACAACGTTTGTGTGGTCCTGGGGAGTTTCTGCAGCAAAAAGACAAACATTATGCACGCACGCACTTGAGCTTTCAGCCTCTAAAAAGGCCCTTTTTTTGGCAACAGACCTGCGTCTTTCATTTGTAATTAGTCGCGTCTTTGCACGGTTTGTAAGGGCAAAGCTTTCAAGCAGCGCTTGCACCGACAACTGGGGGCTCGCTAGACTCACCGCCCCAGAATGAAGGCTCGGCCTCTTGGGCCAAATCACTTTGTTTGTGCTTCCTCTTCTCCTGCACTTTCAAGAACTCCTCATCCCTCTCCTCGTCTTCGTCCAGCAGCTTTTTCTTCTCAGGGTTCTTTGCGATGCTGGTTTCTTTTTTTCTGCGAGGCACATGCACTGCCACAAGGATTCGGTTGCTGTGCAGCTTGTATCTCGAGCTGCCTGGCTAGCCCTCTGACAACCTAGCTAGCTAGCTAGCAATGTAGGTGACTAGCTGGCATGGAATATTGCTAGGTGGCAATGTGCGCGGCTGTTTGGAAAGGCAGGTAGCTAGCTGGAATTGTAGGTGGCTAGCTGGAATTGTAGGTGGCTAACTAGCGGCGCAGCTAGTCTAGAATGAGACACCTTTTGTAGATGAAGTAGGCGATAAGAGCGGCAATCGGCACAAGCAGGCCGAAGCTAACGCCCAGGGCCACGGGAAGGATGCTGCTGCCTGCAGAAACAGACCCCCACGGCCACACACACAAACTAGCCAGGTATGTTCACCCCCAAGATAAAAGCCTATTGCTTAGCTGTGCAGGTGTTGCGCACGCTGTGGCTTTAAACTGTTTCAGAGCGTGCCTCTGTTTGTCTCAGCTCTTGTGTATCTGGGTGAGCCGTCTCCAGTTTTCGTGTGCCATTTTGCGTGTGCACGCTCCTTCTAAAGTTTCTTTTCCTCAGGTCCTTAGGTGTCAGTTTGCGTGTACATCTCCCCTCTCCACGTGCAGGTACTTGTGTCTGTGCGTTTCCTAGTTAAGTGGTTTTGCCTATCTAGCGTGCTGCGCCGTAGCGTTGGCCCGGCGTGGTGCGCTCGTGGCCATTGGTGTTCCAGTGGTCCAGAGGTCCAGTGTGGACTCACAGTTGCAGTCGTCGCTGCCGCCAATCCACTGGCCGTTCTCACACTTCCAGGGCGTCGAGTGGCCGTCTCCGCACTCGCAGTAGCCGTAGATTTCCCAGCCCTCGCTGGCTTCGGTGCAGGGGGGCAGCTCGGCGGTGCTGGGATCGGCCGATCCCAGGGATGTGAACGAGAACTGGTTAGGGGCGAGGGTGAAGCAAGTGGGGACCATGTCATACATCTCACAAGTACCATTGGTGTACCAGTTGGCATAGTTGGTGCCCACCCCCTGCGTGCGGGGTTCGTCCTTGGAAAAGGCGCCCACAGGCCACATGGTGGCCACTGCGTTGCTGGAGCTGGTGCTGCTGCTGGCCTCAGTGGTGGGTGGCTTCGTGTACTGCGTGGGGTTGTCTGAAGAAGAAACTTTGAAGACAGCTTTGCCGCACTCCGTGGGGTTGGGGACGGTTATTTGCTTCGCAGCCTTCATGCGCTGGCAAGTGGTCCCGTCCCAAGTCCCGAAATGAGCTCCTAAAATGGCTTTTTCGGGACAAGCCGTGGCGTGGTCTTCGCGCACATAAGGAGAGTTGTAAGAAACCGGCCGGGTGGTCTTTTCGGGGTAGAAGCAGTACCAAGTGAGGACTGGGGAGGCGTCGCCGACGGAGCAGTACTTGCCCGCGCCCTCAAGCAGCTGCATGGACACTCCTAGCAAAGTGCACACTTTGGTTTCTTCGTTCCAGACAAAAGGGTATCTGTACTTGTCGTTCAAGTTCGTAGTCCCGTTGGGCACGTACGTCGCCCACGCCCACCACGCACACAGCCCCAGCCCGTCAGTGACCTTCGCCAGCTTCTCCGAGGCAGGGGAGGTGGGATCGTTTTTGGCCCGCTGCTGCTCCGCCAGCGCCTCCAACTCGGACAGAGTCAAAGGGCTTATCTTGACGGGCGTCGTATCCCACATGGCGAAGCCACCCCCCAGCGGCCGCGTGTCCTGAGGTGACCCCTTTGTGGGCACCTTCTCCAGGTAGTTCCCAGGCCATATAGAGCTGTCCGTCGTGGGCTGCTGCAGCCGTATCTCCTTACCCATTACAGGACACCGCCCCGCAGGCTCGCGGTACTTCTTGTTGCTCACTGTCTTTTCGTTCCCGAGGTCTACGTACACCCCGCTACCTGTCGCCCACAGAAACACACACTACGCGAATGCGCCCCATAAAGCCATTGGCAGCAGCAAAAGCTGCAGCAAAAGCTGCAGCAGAAGCGACAGTAGCAGGAACGGAAGTAGCAGCCACCACAGGGGTGCCTACGAATCTGGCCTCTTGCAGGGGCGGGGGAGAGAGCTGAAGGGTTGTGGGCCTACCGTGAGTGTATGGAATGTTGAACTTTTGCATGGAATCTCCCCATGGGTTGGAAGCTACCTGTGAGCCGTTAGAAGCTGCTGCTTGGCTCGGCTTTGCTCCGAATAGGCAAAATGCCGCCACGGCACTGATGCAGCACAGCCGCCTCAGGCCGAAGCCTTCCCGTAGAGCCTCCATCTCTCCGGCAGAGTGTGAAGATCTTGCGCTCTTGCTGCTGCTGTGGCTTGCTGCTAGTGAGGCCTATTGACCTTGCCTGGCTGCGTGCAATTTGGGATCGCCTTAGTGGATATGAGGACGGGGTCGGCTGCCCTCGCGGCGCAGGTAAATCGAAAAGAGTCGCGTGATTGAATGAAATAGAGGAATTTATCAATGAATTCTATAGAATGAAAAAGGGAAGAAGGAAGAAAATGTCAAGGGCACCGTCGCTGGAGGAGTTGCCGTCGTCTCGCATCCGCGGCAGTCTCGAGTCTGCAGTGGCCGTCGACTTGTTTTTGTGGTGTACATATGGATGCAAATTGAAAGGAAGAAAATAAACTTGATGGTTCCACCACAGGAAAATGATAATGGAAAAGGAAAGAGCAAAAAGAACCCGAAGGGTCGGCTGAGGCGGAGGCGAGCTACCTGGCGAACACCATCGAGATCGTAGTGCCTCCGGTCCAGCAGGAAAGAGAACGGCTCGAAAGACCATCCAAAATAGACTAGTTTGTATCTAGTCTAAATTTATAGTCGTCAGGGAAAACTGAAAAAATTGGTTGGGCCACACATTAAGCGTACGGCTCGCAGCAGCAGGCACCCCTCCGGCAGCTCAGATCGCCGCACTGCCCACCGCAACTGACCAGCGTGCACCGCTGGGGGACGGCTGGGCAGCAGCTCTCCGTGGAGCTTCTCCTCTCGGTTTCTGGTGAACTTTTCATATTTTTGACCCCCAAAACTCAGGTAGAATACAAATATGAATGTGTTTATCGTGAAAATTTGGCACATCGAATGCACACCTGCCCATGCCACCAGGACGCTCACCGACTTGCAGGTAAGACAGGTACCCCCTCACAACTTCCCGTCAACTAGAGCTTCTAGCCAACTTGTGCTATTCATTTTGACTTGTGTGCGTTTTCTGAGAACCTTTAGCACTGAGGGATTCGTAGAAACTGCTGAGTCTGGTAACTTTACGGGGCCCTAATCGCCGCATCTAGCCTTGCACCATGTTACTTAGGAACAAGAAAGGAAGCCCAAGTCTCCCGAACTCATTGCTTCTCTCTGTCCTTTAAAAGATGTTAGATTAGGCCTGATGTGCACGTCGCTGTGTCCCCACGCACCACAAAGGTCGAAGGGCCGGCCCTTCCCTTCAAGGGCACTGGCGGGCACTCGAGAAAGGCACTCATGATTACACTTTATGCAAAATCTCTTAGGAGAGCCCCTATGGCTCATCATATTCTCCAACGCTGCCACCAAAGTCATGCACACAGACGCTGTTAGCCCTCAAATTTGACGCGCTTGAAGGCGTCAGCCTCCAGCGCCGCCCAACGGCAGCAGAGCCGAAGGCCAGCGGTCCCTACTTAAAGACCCAGGCGCAGCCCCTGCAAACGCTAGCTTCTAGCTTCTAATCTTGATCTAAATGGTTTAGGCGAGTGGTGCTGCTCCATTCATAAGGGAATCTTTGCAATTGGCGCCTCACAGTGCCAGCTCAAAAGACTCTGGTGGGCTCTGGCAACTACGGCCCCAGCCAAGAAAGTGTCAATCACTATAATTCTCTCTTGTTAAGACACAAAAAAAATCTTTGTCGTTCAGTCTTCATGGCTTTCCTTCCTTCCATTGAGTGAATGTATACACTACGTCCTTTTTTCCTGTAGATGGCACCCTGCGACTGCGGCGGCATCTCGGCACTACCTGCGGCTCTAGTTTATACCCAACAGCTTATCTAGCCGTCTGGTAACACGGAAATACCTTTCCTCGCTGAGATAAGTCCACTCCTGATCGGATCCCTCTGCTGTGTCTGCCGACTTTTGGGCCTCTACAACAATGTCTGAGGGGAGGTAGAGGTAGCCTTCCTTGACCTTGTGATAATGCATTCGAAGAATGGCTTTGCGAGCTTCAAAGGGAGTCTCGCAGTCTGCAGACCAGAAAAGCGCACTGTAGGCAACATGTACGAGTTAGCACAAAAGCCATCACCACTTCATTGGAGGCCGTTCGCTAGGCTTTCTGTGTCCGGCCTTTACACAGACACTCAGAAGCTCTCTAGGGCCACAGCTGCCTCAATGTCTGGATAGGATCTACAATCAAAGTTGCTACGGATGGCATTGGACCCCATGAAAGACCCCTAGAGCACCAAACCAACGCCAGACCACCGCCCCAGTACACGAGTGCTCCACTGGTAAACCACTGGTGCACCAGAGTTGTAGCCACTCAGCAAAGTTCGCCTCTCTGGGCGCTCCCAGATCACCTCCTCAGAGACGTCTTTCCTTAAGTATTTGGCGATTGCTGCTCAAAGAGTGCAGAGGGCTGTTACCTAAAGAAGCTAGCTGCTTTTTGCTTGCTTGAGTGTAAGTGACTTAAGAAGAAAAGTGAAGCCTCCACGTGGCATACCTTGTACAAAATTTTGTAGAGCAGCCTCAGCTTCTTTTTTAGCGTAACCTGAAATGAGAGGATTTTTGGCCCTTAGAAAATGGGCCACGAGGCGCACAGCGCTGGAGAGCTTGTTACACTGGGGGTGTAGCGGTCTGTTCTTTCCGGCGAACAGCAAGGCCTCTATGAGAACATCTACTACAGATATCTACAGATACACAAACCAGAGATACAGCAGTGTACACCGGCTGCGAACAAGTGAAGTGGAAACGCCTGTGCAGAGAGAGGAATTAGTACTACTCTTTTTTGCATGTGGCTCTGCCTGTTTCTAGGGAGCTGAAGTTTGGTTAAAGGCATCTGCATTTGGTTTTTTATCTGAGGATCTGTGGATCTGTGTGTGCAGCGAGCTTTAGGATTTGTAGTATTAATGCATCTGTGGGAGCCACCGCCAGGCGCGGCAGAGCTCGCTGCAGCCGAGGTGCCACACAGAAAACCACAAAGTCACAAAGGAGAAAGGGGTGGAGCTGGCACCTCAATGTATGTCAGGGCGTCTTGAAGTGTGTCTCTTAGCTCTGCGAGGCCTTCTTCGGCCATAAGAGGGTCCTGTGGCTGCCCGTTTATTTGGGCCTGCTGCACGCGGCGCTCGTGGGCCTCCTGGGCGATTCCAGCGAGGGTCCTTTGGGGCACCCCTAGCCTCTGGCTGCCGGTAAGCCTGGCAGGCAGTTCCGCTCGATCGCTGTAGTCTTGCGGGTAGACCATGAACACGTCTAGGGCTTCTTCCGTGGCAAAGCAGAATGTGTCATCGCCGTAGCCAACAAGCAAACGCCGGTCACCCTGTATCAGCTCCCCTTTGCGCACTGCACAGGCACTTGCCAAATTAACCCTTGTCTTGACGCGGCCGCATGCAGCCCCAACAATCTGCTTCTCGCTGCAGGAGATCTAGCCACCAGCTCAGCAACAGGGCGTCGTCAGTGCACTCTGCCAATTGCTGTTCTGGCTAAGTGACCTCAGGGTATATTCAGCAGCGAAGAAGCACCTGGCACTGTGACTAGGAAGCACGCTACCCACTTCTGCATCTTACAAGTACGAGAGCCATGAATGTAGCAATAATCATGCAAACGACAGCATGCAGACAAAAAATTTAAATTCCCACTGGCGAAATTGTGCTTGGAGGTGCATGCAACGCCCACCTAATGTGACGGGGCAGTAGCCCTTTATGGCCAGTGCAGGACAGTCCTCAGAGTTCTCGAGGTGAAGGCGCTGAGGCAACTTATCGGGCAGTGGACGTTGTAGGTAGGGCTTGGGCTGTGACAGCATCAGCTACGTCACACAGCAGACAGACGCGAAAGCAGGCGAAATAGGGAAGTCTGGGTTTCCTGTCACCACCTGAACACGGGGACCTCTGTGCATGCAGCAGGGCCGTAAGCATAGGCAGAGAAGACAATTTCTGAATTTTGGATGACGGCAGAGAGCTGCAATGCTGTAGTGTGGTGTAAATGTATACGGCGCGGACAGTGCCCCACGTCTAGGTGCTCGTATGAGCAGCAGTAATATCGGGCCCCCCTCAACTCCATTTGAAGGTCTTCATTGCTGCACTCGCGCAGGGCGTTCTGACAAAGACGCGCAGCACCGCAGGCAGGCCCAAAATATTACACTTGCGTTACTTCGTCTCTTTTGGGGATGTTTGTATTCAGGCATTTCATTCAGGCACTTTTACAGGGCCCTTGAAAGTTTAATGAGCCTCCCGAATCGTCTGAACCCTGCTCCACTTACAGGACTTCTGTGCATGCCTCTCTGTTTCTTTCTCTGCCTATGCCTGTATTTGTTCTTTTATTTTATCCATTTGTGCTCTGTCAAATCTGTCATTGCCTTACGTCAACAGTCCAGCAAACTGGGCAGTACGCTGCGAGAGGGCCTTCGCTGGCGGCGTCTGTCCTTTGCTCTACGGTGCAACGCACAGGCCGGCCTTGAGGTTTGAGCCGTTCGTAGCCGTGACGCCGCCGTAGCATTTCCTGCAGCAAAGACAGCCCCACAGCAGCAGCAACGCAGACAGACCCAGTCTCCGCATCTCTGCAGCACACGGTTCTCTGCTGCTGAGCAGCAGAAGCAACGGCAGCAGCGGGCGGCAGCCTGCACCCAATGTGCTGTGAGGCTCTCACGAACTCCCTGTGGTTGTGCAGTGAAAAGAGGGCTTACCCAAATTTCTTTTTGCACAATGTCAAACTGCAACCACTGAGACTTTCCTGCTGGTAATCTCCTGCGAAAATCAGCCACAAAACCCGCCAGCTGTGCGTTGTTCGTGCGCTTTTGCCGCCAAGTGCACTAAATGAGACACTTCTAGAGCCACGAGGGCTGTTTGCAGCTGCTCAGAAGAAGCTTATGCGTGAGGAGGGCAGCAGAGCTGCCCCTCTGCACTGAACTTTACAAGTGACTAACACAATGCGAACGCCCAACGCGCGAAATGCCTCCACTTGCTGCTCTGTGGCCTCATCTTGAAAGGCCCTCCGCGCCCGAGCCAGTTCGGGATTTCTTAATATGTCTCGGTCATCTCCATAAGGATAGCGCATCCCTGAAACGGTGCATCACAAATAAAGCTTGGTTAGCTTCTGTGTGTCTCAGTTAGCTCTACAAAGCCATCCCTGCCTCGGCTATCCAGTTCGGGCAGCTCACACGCTGTGAGAGCTCCCGAACTGGGCGTTTTGCGCGTATCTTCCTGAAGCACTCGCTGGTCTGGAGTCAATAAGTCCTCAGGCTCAGGGTCGAACACAAACACGATGTCGATCAAGGGGGAAGGGAGCTGCGGGACCTCTATCCTAAAATCCTCCTCCTCTTGGGGCACGCACTCGTGCACGTCTTTGGGCCCGGCAGATTCAGGCTTCTCCTCTGCGGGTGTTGGGGCTGCAGACAGCGCTGCAGGGGATGATGTGGCGCTGCTCGAGTCTGCGGGCGTGGGGTACTGCTCATTCACATTTGAAGTGGGGGGCCGCAGCTCCCCCAGCTGCAGCGGCGGAATGACGACTCCAGCCTCATTTGAAGCCTCAGAGTCTTGGCTCTCGCCTGCCTCCGGAGTTTGAACGGGCGAATTTGAACGTAACGACGCCTCCTGAGACAGGCTTTCGCCCTCCATCGCCTCGTTGAGGGGCTCTGCTGTTTCCAAAGGCTTGGAGGTTTCCAGAGGCTCGCCATTCTCAGCGGACTGGCTGTCCATGTCCCCAGGCACGTCCAGAGCTGCCCTGTAAGTATCCGCAGGGGATCTAGGCGCCTCTGTAGAACGCGAGCTGTCGGGGCTTGAGTGTTCCAGGCGGTGCTTGCGGGAAAGCTCGGGGACCTCGTGAGGCCCCGCATGCAGAAGCTCCATTAGCTGGTGGACCTGCACACATTCCAAACTGCCGCCGTCCAGTAAAAAGCCTTTTTGTTTGGCCTCTTGCGATCGAAGGCGCCCAACAATTAGTCGGCACGCGCAGCAGGGTGCGACTGTCTTGCCTCTGAGTAAAGACACGCAGACGCAGTCAGGGTTCTGGCACTTTCCACTGGCAACAGGAAAAGTGACATTTCCTGCTAGTGTCAATTCAGCATCCGCCTTCTTACTGCTGCATGTCCCCAATAATTTGCTTGTTGAGAGCCGAAGGACGGTCGGCTGTCGATGAAACTTCCTGTAGCAGCTGCAGAGGGCTGACGTACAAAGCGCCACACCACTCGGCTATTTGCTTGGCCACCTGCAAAATGCTCCCGACACAGTTGTGAAAAGCGGGAATTTACTCTTGCAGAGCAGTGTGAGATTTGCTGACACGTCATTTGTTTATCAGGCCTCTAGTCTCGAGCTCTTAACTAATCGCTGCAGCCATCGAATACATTGATTTCACCCTGAGGCCATAGAACCGCAGGGGTCTGCAAGCTGCTTGCGAGCATTGTCTTTAAAAGTGCTGAGTATGAAGTCGAATTATTGGCCCTCACTTGAGTTCGGTTGCTGTTTAGGGGTCCCAAGAAGATGCATGCAGGAACGTATCGAATCGGAGGCGGACTTGTGCCTATTAGGAACTTGGAAGGAAACTGGCAGAAGAACTTGCGGCCCTCTTCCGTATCTGCGGGGAAATAAATTCGGTCGCGGAAGAGAACGGGAAACTCCTCGAAATTTTTTAGTCTCTGCGCATTTCAATTACAGATACAGAGCCTGAAGCCCGAAACCTTCAATATTCTGAGTGGCCCAAAGCCGCTGTAAAACACATGGCCTGAGTTTTACAATGTAGACGCCCAACACCTTGTCAGAAGCCTCGAATTCTACAACATGAATCATGGGGTGTTCACGGCAGACTAATCTGCAGCGGAAGCCTGGAAGTAACAGCAGCGCGAGCCTCTGTCAGCAGCAATTCGCCACGAGAGCAGTTCAGTTCAGGACTGCACACGGCAGTAAGCCAGGAGCAAAAGGCCGACTCTGCGTACCATGGTGTCGACGTCCACTGGGGAGAAAAGATGGTACTTGGAAAGCCGCGCTGCCCGACAGCGCAGGAGGCGTTGGCAGAAAGTCTGAAGCCACGGCCACGCAGGCACTTCTGCAGAGAGGGCGCTAAGAAGGCATAAAGTAGTTTAGCTGTCAGTCAGAAGAAGGCGTGAACGCATATCGAGCGAAGCAGCCCACAGCCGACCTAGGTTGGCTTGCCTTTGTCAAGGAAATGCACTGAGGGCTCAAGAGTAGGCTTCGTCTGTAGTTTAAAAACCGCTCCAGGAAATGCCTGACGGCCGCCAGAAGTGTACCCTCGCACAACTCCGACCGAAGGGTGAGGATTGGCACTCCAGCCATCGCCAACGACTTCGCGCACTGCAGTAGGGCGCCATCTAGTGCAGATTTTTCTCTTAGAAATGCTTCTCGTGCCTTCTCCGAGGCGGAAGGCTCTGATTCATTCTCCTCCCCTTCATCCCCCTTCGGCTGCGGCTCCCTATCGTTCTCGGCTTCTGTCGCGGGCTCTTCCTTGGCTCTTTTTCGCCTGGCCCTTCGTCTCTGCAAGCACAAGCTTATGCTGCAAAGCAATCTATGAATCTTGTTTCCTGGTGCCCCCTCTCAACTTTTGGAGACACCTGCTGGAGGCCCTGCAAGGAGAGTAAGCGACGGCTGGCAGCAGTAGGCAGAGAGCTTAGCTGTTCTCTGCTGTGATGCACTTGTTGACCTGCTTCCGTTCGAGTTCCTGCTGGCGCCTGGCCTCCTCCGCTTCTCTCTCTATTTTCTCAAAGTCCACACAACGAGATAGTCCTGTTTCGTCCGTGCACCTGCGAGCTCAATAGCCAACACGCTTGGCAGGTGCGAGACCCTTCCGGAACTAACACTTTCAGAGCTCTAGAAAAAAACTGATGAAGCTCCGCCTACAGCAGCAGCACAGCATGTGAGCAAAACGAAACTGTAGCCCTACAAAAATATCACAGCACAGTCCGGAAGGCGCCCCGCCCTGTCCATGACGTCGCCTATATTGAAAGTTTGATCTTCCTCTCCATTGTCCTCCTCCTTCACTTCTTCGTCCAGAAATGGGTGCGTATAGACTCCGGCTGAGAGTGCCCAAGTCAAGTGCCGCCGCACAGCAGCGAGCTAAGCTTGATGTGATTGCCAATGTTATAACACTAAAGGCTCTACACTGAACGCCAGACACACAGTGATAGGCATGCAGCACCAGCTGGAATGAAGCAGCTCACCCTGAATAAAGGCAGGTCCCATTGAGGGGTTGAGAACCTTCTTAAGTGCATCTTTGCAAATCTTTTGCTGGATTTCTGGAGGCAGCTCGAGCCAGCTTTGCCTGAAGGCTTCAACTGGCGCTTTAGCCAAATTGGTTTTGTTAAGAGTCAGCAGCTGCCACACTGCGGTGCTTGTGTCCTCTTCAAAGTTTTCCAGCTCCTCTGTGGTCGCTTCGTCGAGGGTCTCTTCTAGCTCATCTCTTTTCTCCTGTCTTAAGTGCGTCAGCAGTTGCTCTCTTAAAGCCAGAGAAAATGCCTCTGGCAAATCCAAAACTGGCACAGCGTATTCATCGCTGAGCTGGAGCACGCGTTTCTCCACCTCCGACCCAAGTGTGCCAAAGAAAGCGATGCTGCAGCGGGGAATTATGCATACAAGACAAGCCTACAGTCTTTAAGGTGTTATTTTAGGGGTCTCTAAGGCTGAGCTGAGTATCTCACATCTCTCCCATAGTCTGAGTGCAATTAGCCTTTAGCGTGTATCCCACCGTGGAGGTGGCACTTTAAGAGTTCTGGTCTCGTTGACGTCGGTGCACTTGTCCAGAGAAGGCAGATAGCGCCGTGTGTTCGCTGCAAACTTGTACTTCTTCTCTTCGTCGAAAAGCCTGTACACGCGCTGCCGAACCTGCAAGCTCAGCCGCGGCTTCCCCGGCAGTAGCCACTGCTCATCGCGTAGCGTTACAGGGCAGTAGCCGCCCACATCCCCTGAGCCAGGCAGCCCCTTAAAGAGCTACAAATGAAAGCGCAGCTTCCTGGGGGACGAGCCGAGCCTTCCAGCAAGGCATTTGTCAGCCCAGTGCAAGCGAAATAGCTTTGCTAGGGGTGTTAGGGTTTGGGGCTACGTAATTGAAAGGTCGCAAGTTGAGTAGGGAAAGGTAGTCTTGCCCACCGAACAGAACCAAAGGGAGTGGAGGGAGGAAAGGAAAATCTTTTGAAGCATTTTCCCATTCTTCACCCTCGGGTGGACCATCAAAAGACGTGATTTGCTCAATGCGATCATAAACCTACAAACAACTACAGCTGACGGTGCCCTCTCAAGCCCTAATCGGGCCCGGCGGAAAGCGCCAGTTCTGCAGGACTATAAATGCATGTGCGGCTTCGACTGAATGTCAGAAGTGATACAGACAGACAAAGCTCACTTCCTCAAGATTCGGAGGTGCTACAACCCATTCTTGAGGGTCCGGTCTTACGAAGAAGGGGTCCATAAGCTGCCGAATTCGGTAATGCTTTAGTAAGTCCGTCAAAGAAGTCTCGATTTTCGCTGCAAGCCACAAGTACAGAGTGCCAAAAAGTACTGCGGCAGGTAAGATGACCTAATGTGCAGCTGCCACATTGTCTGCTGCTTTCGCACTAGCTTCCAAATTTAGCACCGTGGAAGAATGCGTTCATTTTTCACATTCAGCAGGCAAAGTTCTCCTCCTGTACTTAGGCACGCTTAGACAGGCAGGAGTGGCAGCGTACTGGGCTCAACGTCTAAGTCAAGAACAAGCGCCCCATCTATTTCTTTCTCTTGTTCCTTCTCGTTTGGTTCCATCTCTGACTTCTGAATATCCTCTTCAAAGACAACTTCCGAGTCCGTGAAAGCAAATTCAGTGGCCCCTGCAGCCTCTGCCTCCTCTATGTCTTCTGGGTTGTTGGTTAAATGGACGATGTGTTCAAACTGAATTCCCAATTTTGCCAGCTTTCGTAAAAACTCTTGCGTTGGGGGCTGGTGCACAAGAACAATGCCTGTTTTCAGCTTAAGTAGTTCCGGAGGGGCTATTGGAGGAGGCGGCGGAACCTCTTTGCTGTCTTTCGGACTACTTTTGTCACTAGCTCCTGAGCCACTCCCCTCCTCCCCATTAGATTCATCTCTGTCATCTTCCGCTTCAGCTGTGGGCTGCGGTCCATATTTCTGCAACACTCCGCACTCCTACAGGATTTCTCTTGTGCATGCGCGCTCGTGCCCCGAAAAACTTGAGTTGGCAAAGATACGGACCCGATAAGCAACAAATATCTGTGGCAGGCAATCCCGGGAAAAGTGCGCAAAAAAGAAGAAAACTCTGCTGCACGCATCTGAACATATGCCGTGAACCAAGACGCACCGCTTTGTAGGCCTCCATTTCTGCTTGATGCTTCTCGAGGGCGTCGGCTCGTTGTAGATTCTCCTCCATGTCGACGGTTTGGAGGATAAGTCTGACGACGGTGTCATTGCCTGTCAAGAGCTCAAAGGTGTCTTCGTTCTAGTTAAGTGGAAACACTATGCAGTGTTGCTGTATATGTGTTTCAACGTTTCTGCGTTTACCTAATGCATGGCCTTTCTTTAAAAGCTCCTCTTCTTCATCAGTGGTCATAAACAGCACCTCGTTAGTGCCCTCGTTCTGTTCTGTCGTCGCATCTGCGGGTTCTATTTGTACTTCTTCTCTGTTTGAGTCCATCAGATTGGCAGTATTGGCCCTCCCCGAGTTGGAACCTGAGGTACCGGTCGACGGGGACAGCTGGGTAATGCCAGCCGACCCTTGAGTACTGCCTTCAGCCACGGGCGGATTTGCAGGTTCAGATCCTTCTTCAAGACCTCCTGAGATGGCAGCAGCCAGCCTCTCAGGGTCATCCTCTGCAAGCATGAGTCGTCTTTCCTCTTCTTCCCTCAGCTGCTGTTTTTTCAGCTCTTCCTGAAGCAGCCTTTCCTCTTTGCGTCTTTCCTCCTCCTCCAGTTGTCGCTGGTTTTCCTCTTCTTTCCTGCGATGCCCCTCAGCAATCTCCTTTCCCACATCCAAAGCGATCAATCCATAGGTGCGGCTGAGAAGTCGAGCCTGTTTTGCAGCTCCAGCGTAAGAAGGCCCAAAGAGGTAAATATTGGTGGTGCGCGGCAGTGAGGGTGGAGCATCAACATATTTCTTCGGGTCTTTTATAAATTTGTTGAGCTTTTCTTCATCTGCTATCAGAAAAAGCTTTCCGGCAAACTCGACGGCGAATTGCTTCTGTCCCTCCACAGCCTTTCCTTCCTCCTTTAAGCTGACAGGGCAGTACGGTCCCCAAGCAGTCCATCTCCTTTGTAGCAATTGGTTCATGGCCTGCGACAATTCTTCAGAAGCAGACGTTGTTTGCTGTTCCACCTCTTCTGTCTCTTCCTCATCGGTCTCAGGAGCTGATGAAGTGCTTTCAGAGGCTGCTGCGTTGCCCGCAGCCGTTGAGCCACTCTGTGACTCTAGAAGCTCCAACAGAGACTCTCCCCACAAGTCATCCGCCATACGATATTTACTTGGGGGCACTGTGAGCGTTGCAGAGTCATCCGGCTGGGTATCAGCTCCCGAAGAGCCGTCGTCGCGATCTTCACCATTGGTGTCTGTCTGCTCCTCGGCTCCGTCTTCGTCTCCACCTTGAGCTTCGCCCTCTTGCCCTTCAGGTGACACCTCTGTGTCATCTCCTAACTCATCTGCTTGCTCTGTGGCCGTTTCTTCTCGAACCAGCAGTTCACTCAGGTCCTGCACCTCAGCGGCGCCGGGCACAACTGCGGCAACTTCACCGACAGGCCTTACCGACAAAAATTCCAGCGCCGCTGCAAGGCGAGGCCCAGCCATGACTACTTGGCTTTCCAGAGAGGTGCCTTCTTCTTGCTCCTGCTCTGAAGCATCCGGACCAAAGCCACACGATACCCATGTTTGCAGTTGTATTAGCAAAAAGCCTGAAGCTTGTACCGAGTATGATTCAATTGCCTGGCATAATTTGTGCTCAGTACAAAGGGCGCATCCTTTACTATTATGTTTTTCTGCGCAGAGATTCGAGATAAGCAGTGATTGGCTATGCGGCTGCAAACTGGCTCCGGCATCACTGCAGTGGTAGACAGAAGAAACCATGTTAAAGGGGGACCTACCTTCTGTAGGATAAAACACCACTCGGTTGGGTCCCAGTGTCTGCAACAGGTGTTGCAGAAGCAGTCGCTGAGATAATAAGCCCTGATTACGGTATTCGGCCAGACGGGCCAAGTCTTCTTCAAACGACGAAGAAGCGCTCAAGTTAGGCGGCAGCGCCTTCTTTAGCTCCTGCACGATGGGATCAGACACACGAAAGTCAAAAGGCACAAGGCAGGACAATCTACGTGCGAACAACTGTCAATAGTGCGGTCCCGAACCAAAAATAATGCGGCGAATGGAAATTGCATGCCCATGAATTTTTTCAACAGGTACTGGGAATTGTCCCACATGAATTGAGGGAAGATGCATCTGTAGTGGTTCCTAGGAGCGCTCATGTGGTGGGTAGAGTTACCTCGAGAAGGTCAGCATCCACGCTAAACAATAACTCTTCAGCATTTTCACCGTCCCCAGTCCGTTCTGTTATGCAAAACACACGCCATCACCGAAAGGAACAGCTTGTAGCTGCATTTCAGCTATTTTCTCTGCCACAACGTGAGCATGTCACTTTCCAGAGACAAAAATGCTTCCAAACGTCTTAGCAGTCACCTGTTAGGTCACCGGAGCCTCCGCTGACGCCTGTGTGAACGCAGCAACCCATCTCTGTGGCGAGATGTTTAGTTTAATCACGAGAAAGATGCCAAGGGAAAATGGCAGCAGTTAATACATGAGGGTGCTGCACGTTCGAGCCGCTACACGTCTCTCACCCGTGTCTGTGCGGAACTCGTCGATTACCGCCCCGCTCGTTGTGTCCACCCTGAGCAAAGCAGCATCCGCAAAGTTCAAAAAGCCGCTTGAACCGGTTCATCAATGTCTGTGGGGACGAAGATTTTGCGCAGGGTTCACTCAAGCGCTGTCAAAGGTTGAAAAGGACGAAGGGCCAAAATCTCAAAAGAAGCTTATGAATGGCTCTCTAAGTCCATCTTTTTGGCGGTTTCCCGTTCTTCAATGCTCACACCGCCATAACATTATAATAGGCATTGCACGCAGAGTGTTACTGACATGAGCGTTCGGGCACCTTCTTTGGTGTCGATTTGCAGGAACACGGCACGGCCAGGAAAAGCATCCATTAAGGGGTTTGGCTGGGGTTGAGAGGGGTCTGCAGCTGCCAGACGGTACAGTGCGTCCACCTCCGCGTCTGAATTTGACGAGTCTGAAGACGAAAGTTCAGAGCCCCCATCTTCAACCAGCCACGGCTCTGCTTCAACATCTGACAACTGAGATGATTTTTCTGTTGCCTCATCCTCAGCACCCTCTGTGGCAGAGCCACGGTCATTCAGCGTGTTACTGCTTCTGCTGCTGCTGTGGTTAACTGTAGGTTCATCTGTGGTGGCATTATCACGTGGACCGGAAAGTGGATCAACCGAAGAAGGAGCTGCTGCGTCCTCATTTTGCTCTCCTTCGCTGGAGCTATGTCCTGCAGATATCCTCCTTTCTGAAGCGCGGGATTCCTTGTCAGAAGACAAAGCCAACTTGAGGCTGCCATCAGCCTCAGGGCCTGAGGAATCGCTGGCTGGCTTGAGCTCTTCGCCTACTTCTGTGACAACAGCTGCTGCGTTATTGTCTCCCTCATTCTGAGACTGAAACTGCGATCTTTCGTGTGCCTCCGTGCTGGATTTCGGAGCAGATGCTGCCGGCACAGACGCAGGCACTTCCAAGGATTCAGGCTTTTCCGTTGTCTCAGCCCCTTCTGCTGTCAAGAATTCGATTTCGTGCAAGGTCTCAGCACTCTCAATTGCAGCCTGCCACCTTTCAGCCTTCCTGCCCCTTTTCCCTTTTTCTTTTCTCTCCTCTCTCTGAGCATCATCAGGCAATGAGCGCTGGAACGACTCCATATTTTTTTCACTCTTTTCGGCGCTGCCGACCCTCTTCATGGTGTCTTGAGCCTCGATACTTTCGCTTGCCGCGAAAATTTGAACAGTTTGTCCTGTAGAGCTACTCTCTGGCTTCCCAATTTCGGGTTCCGGACTGGTTTTACTGACAGGTCCTGCGAAAAAGGAGCACAGCTCGACACATCGTACACAGCAAAAGAAAATCCTTATAGCTAAGGGAATTCGCATAACTACTTGGACCACAAGCAACCCCATTTCAAGTTTCGCAGGTCTCTTGCTGCTCACATACTACTCGAACTGCCGTGACTGCATCCCTACCCCGGCCATTTTCGTCAGTGCCGACACGATCTCTTCGCTTGGCAGCAGCCAAACCGGCGAGTGCAGCTATCTGTCCCGGCTCAGAGATTGAGGGGCCTCCGGACACAGCAATGACACCCCCTACTGTTTCATTGACGAGTTGCCTGATTTCATTATCTCGTTCGCTTTCAAGGCCCTCTGCTACTCCAGGTACAGCAGGGACTTCCGCATTCTCCTCTTCCGTTTTTTCGGTGTTTTTCTTTTCAAGAATTGCTCGGCGCCTCTCTTCCCTACGACGCCTTTTCCGCTGTTCGCATATGCGAGCGTGACGTAGAAGCAACTCTGGCCAGTTGAGCCGTCTTCGCCCACTCAAGTCCCAAAGGTGCCTTAGGAAGGCAGTGATTTCCTGATGCCCCACGCGAAGCCACAAAGTACATTTTTTCCTCGCATTAGATTACAGTGGAAAGCTAAGCACCCATGCAGACGGCTGCTGTAACGGCACGGCACGTCCTACGCATCAGAAGCACTCATCTGACATACATTATGTACGAGAAGGTATCTAAGGGGGCGAATTTTGTGTTTTGCAGTATTTCTGCTTGGTCACGATTTGCCTTGCTTCTGCACATCCATCAAGCAATCTCCGGCATGCTCACCTGCTTGTCGCCGTTGGGCAACTCCAGCACATATCCAGCTGTTCGCGAACGTTTGCTCGCCATAAACTCTAGCGCAAGCAGTAGCGCCTCCAGCACCGGAACACGAGAACCCCGACGCATCATGCGAGTCAATCTGGGACCAAAATAACAAATAAGACTTAAACGTCTCAATTGAAATTTTAATTGTGTGGGTCTCTACAACCCAGCCAGTAATTTAATCTCTCTGCGTGTACGCTAGGCAGTTGTATCTGACCCTGTTTTTTCTCTCTTTTCCTTCAAAAGCATTTGCATTCGGTTCAGTCGGAGCCTACCGCCTCGCTAACGGTGTCAGTAAGGAGCGCCTTATTTTGCAGAGAGCCGACAGGAGGTACTCGGCTTGTAACCACTCTAGCCCCAAATTTGTGGCAAGTTTGTAGGCCACTCGGCTTTTCTCTACCACCGCAAGATCAAAGGTACACCAACTCAATGAAGCGCGTGGAGAGACACGTTTTCTTAGTATGGGCAATGTATGGGGCATCTGCGCATTTTTAGTGTTTTTCAAGTGTGGAATTTTAAATCCGGACCCACCGGGACCATTGGGGCCAACAATTAGGATTGCCTGGCGAGGTTCTTGGGCGAAGGCTACCTCGTCTTCGTCGGTCACCATTATCGTATGCTCCTGCGGCGCCTTCTCGGACTGGAGGTAAGCCTTAGGCCAAGGGTCTTCATCCACAGGTTCTTCGCTGATAAGTGCTGCAGGCACATAGGGGAGGTACCTAGGACTTTTCAACAAGGCTGAGTTACCCGGTTCCGGATTATAAGAGTGCGAGAAACAGTTTAATGGGTCTCTCGAAAGGGAAACAAATTCTCACGGTCCACCTCCTGATCGAACTCGATTGGCAAAGATGTTTCTTCAAAGTTGAACTCCTTATCGCTTTCATAATCGATTTCTAAACACATCCAGTCAACAATTCCAAAGTTGCGCGAATGACGTGGAGCCTAGAGATTCAGTCAGTGGGGCGATGCGCCCACCCAACTTCGGATTCAGGGGGCACTAAAGACAGCTTAGATCCATTATAATGTACAGCTCTCACGTACTTACGCACCGAAGTTGTCTCCATTGGAATTTCGAGCTACAGGTAAATTTGTGAAGTCAGAACGACGTCTTACAGCAACGGAACCCACTCCCTTAATGATGATAGACCTTCGGAACAACTTTGCCCTTGTTTGCCGTTGCGATTCTTCACAGAGACTGTGAAAGACACGTGACTTGAAAGTCGTTGGGCGATGCATAGGCACAGACTGAGGCATCGCTGTCTCTTCATCTTGTGAATAGGTTTCTTCGTCATTAATCTCCTCAACAGATTCTTCCACTGATGCATCTTGCTCTTCGTGCGTGACTGCCATCGCTTGTCCCTCGGATCCTTCGGGGGCGTCTGCATCTTGCGCCTCATTGGTTGCACCTTCCTCTGGCCCTGGCTCTCTCACTATCTCCATTTGAGGCTCGGCTTTCAGCTCAGCGCTAGGCTCTGGCTCAGGTTCTGGAGGAGGCAATGGTTGAGGTGGCATCTCTTCTTCGCCAGACAACAAGGCCTTCTTGAGGTCCTCCAAATCCATGTCATCACCCTCGACTGCTTTCAGATCTTGAAGCAGTGCGACTTCAGAGTCCTCAAGCTGGTAAATATTCTGCTCTTCTTCCTCTGTGTCCGCAGGCTTGGCCCCGGTCTGATCCTTCAGCCTCTCCTGTTTAGCTATTTGCTTATTTAAAAGCAAGGGAGGTGCTCCCTTAAGGCGAATTAGTTTCGGCATGCCCTCCATCTGCACCGGAAGCCCTATGGACTTAAACGGCCTGAGTTCCTCTTCCGAAACTCCAGATATTCTAACGGGCAGGTCGCTTTTGCTCTGGTAATCTGCAAAATGCCGACGAGCGAGTGTGTGAGGCACCTGCGGCTCCATGGCGGTGTTGTCTGTCGCCTCCTGCTCGCCAGGCTCCTGCGACGTATCGCTAGCATCGCTGGAGGGCTCGACTTGCTGAGACCTTTGTTGCTGCCTTTGCAAAACTGCAGCCATGGACTTTGAAAAGATGCTCTCAAGAAAGGCCCTCGATGCTGCACCCAATGGCGCTATATTTGAGAAATCCGCCCATTCTGTAGATACTGGTTCCTTTGGCGAGATTTCCATACAGTCATGGACAACTTCCTCGCGCAGCTCAAGTGTATCAAGATAGTTCTTTTCGCCGCTCATGTGAGCAGACACCATTGCCTCAACGGCCTTGTGTTCCGCTTTGCTCCATTCAGCGACACACCTGCCGTCACTTTCCGAACTAACTATTAGATCCACCCGTTGTGCGTCCGTCTGGTCTTGCACTCCAGCATCCGGTGCCTGCACGCAAGTTCCTAGAGGCATATTTCCTAATTCTAATGCCCTGGGCATTTGGTCGTGCAACCATGGCTAAATTACAATTGGTGGTAATGTATTGATGTTCCAAAGAAGTTTCCGTCTAACGGTGGCAGGAACATGCCATCCGACCCTCAAATCTTTATTAAGAACCTTGACGATAATCTTCGGCTTAATTTTTGTAAGCCGGGCATCGGGTTTCATGCGGCCTTTCTTGACAGTTATTCGCCGGAAAAGCTTTCTGAGGAAGTCTGCGTATGCAGAGCCGTCTATTCTCGGGGTCCACACATCCGCCAGCTGGAAGAAGGATTCAAAGAATTCAGAATGATCAATCCAATCTTTCCCCTTGGAGTCCTGCCTCCATTCTTCCTCTATCAATTCTATCACTTGGCGGCCTCGCAGCTCAGGTACCAGGACGAGACAGATGCGAATTAGGACCTTAAAACGGACAACGGAAGACGGAACTTGTTTTGGCAAACTGGTGAATTGGCTGCAGCTTTTAATAGAGGCCACAACCTAATTGGCCTGAAGTGTGTCTATCTTTTCTAGGAAGTTAATTTCGGGTTCGCAGCCTTCAAATCTGACAATGTGGAGAAAACCAATGGCAAGACTCCACAGTAAATACATAGGCCATTTGCTGGCTAGCGCAACTCGGCACTCAATGACCCTACTTCAGATTTTCGTACCCGAGCGTACTCTTCTTTGGTAACGTGATCTTGGCTATCCTTGGCGAAGTAGCCCCACGCTTCCTCGAGAGCAGCCACCACTTCTGGATGGACTTTCAAAGCTTGGCGCTCTGCCTGCTTCTCCGGGGTTTCGAAGGAATCATCTCCTAGGCAGTAACAATCAAATTTAAAGTTTCAGAAGGTGAAAGTTTGAAAGGAAACGACAGCCTGCGCCATAGTACCTAAACATGGATTAATTGGGAGCTGGACGCTTTGGCAGAGCAAAAGCAACTGGTTCCAGTCACGTTCTCACCCTGCAAGTAATACGGAGTCTCGCATTTCATCTTCTCCCATTCAAAGAGATCATCTAAATGATAAGTTGGTATTTTGACTCCCTGCTTCTCCATAGTCTTTTCTGTCGCGGGCAATCCTGCGAGAGGTGGGACGACAGATGGCGTGTTTCCCTTCGATGCAGGAGGCCTATTGGAAAATCTTGAGTCGCTTTCGCGTCGATTGCCATATTCTTGAGCCACGGACGGATAAGAATCATTTTGGAGGTCATCATCTGTAGGAGTTTCCTGTGGATTTTCTCCGGAATCCGCCTGTTCATCCACTTCCACCGAATCAAGCGGATTATCATTCATCGTGCTTATGAATACAAATCCGAGGCGAAACGATCAGAAGGCAACGGAAGTCCGTGTTTTCCCAGCTTGTTCCAGCAGTAGCCAGGCAAGTAGCCCGTAGCTGCAAGCTCGAGCCTGTGTTCTCCTTGATTGTTACTTTTTGGAGTATTGGAGCAATCAGGACAAGGGAAAGGTTGAGAAAAATTGTTTCCTACAAGCAAATAATGGCGGCGTCGCTTAGGGATCTTTACTTTCAGCAGACACTTGTGATCTAAGAAAGCTGCAAGTGACCCGGAAAGAAGTGAAAAGCAATGGGTTACTCGGTAATATTGGTTCTGCTGCTCATCGCATCCTAATGAAGTCACTCTTCGAAAATTCGGTATTTTTTTGTGGAGCAAGAAAGATATCCTTCCTTCAATAAAAGCTCCTGTTCAGGGGAACAACCAATTGGTGGTGGTCTGGGCGCCTCTACTAGTGGGGCTTCGGCCGAATGGCCTTGTCTTGCTGTCATTAGCTCTTCTGTGGGCTTGGCCTAACCGATGCCGTTTCTTTTCAGAAGAATTAACAGGCTTCCATCAATGTGGAAAATGGCAAATGGAACCGCTATGTAACCGAGCAGAAATGGTTGAGGCATAGGAGCGCGCCAGCTGGCAGTCCGGGGTATATGCACTTGAAATAACCGTTGAAACGTCGCACTCCTCTATCGAAACTCATTCAGGACGTTCCTCTAGTCTGGCGTTTCTGCATTCTGCTAAATCCGCAGTGGCCTAGGCCCTTCCGGTAGCCTTGCAGTCTGTCGAGGCGGCATCTACAAGTAGCAAGATGCCAGGCTAATATTTACCAGTTTCTTGTCCTCCTTTTTGCGCGACACCTCATGTGGCAACAGTATTCCATTTCTAAGACTTCGCGGTTGCATCGAAATCTAACGGGTAACTGAGCTGGTCAGACGATGAGGGTCACTGACACTTATCCGTTCCACGTGTTACGTCTGATGTTTGATATCAGCTTGCCTTTCTCAGTCTATGGCTCATATTGCCGTTTCTTTCACGGCATTAACATGGTATAGGCATTTCTGTGTGAATTCTCCGTGTGTTTTCATATAAGGGATTTCTAGGGCACAGCAATTACAATGATCACTGAAACTTCAGATGCCCGAAAGGGCACGACAGCCGAACACCAAGAGTCTAGGAAGCAAAAGCAAGACAATCGAGCAAGGGAAGAACGCAGCCCACACAGTGCAACGGTTCCGCATTGCACCGAAAGCACCAGTAAAACCAACACTCCCATAGTAAGCTTTCCTTTTCAATGCTTCATGTGGCACTGGAGTTCCTGATTTCCGAGAGTTGCGTGCGTGCCATTCGGCTTTGCGTGAGTGATTGCAGAAGCTCGAATGGGCTTTCGGCTTCGACAAGGGCATTCGAAATGGCGTGCACAGTCTTACAAGAGGCCCAAACTCGGAGAAAGCAATTTTCTTTCCTGCATCCAACACTGGTGTAATTCATATGTACAATGAAGAGGGACTGAAAGCCAAAGCCGAGAAGCAAGTGCTTCTGCGAGGCCACATCAACCACATATCAGGTGTTGCCATCTCAGAAGACAAAGAGTGGATTGCAACTGCAGATACGGGAAAGGTACCGTGAACCAGCCGTCTAGATTTCACATGGCTTTGGTGTTGGTCAGTCAGAAATTTGCAACGGGGCTGAAGTTTTGCGAGTGCTGTATTTCTTGCTAGTCACTTTTGGGTTCAGCGAATCGTCGCTACGTGCTAGAAGTATCCTTTTTCTTGATGCTCTTCAGAATAGCTTGCTCATTGTATGGAACAGAACGGAAGCAAGACGCGTAAAAGTATACACAAATCCTCACCCAATGGGTTCGCCCTCGACACCATTTTTACACAATGAGTCTGCTCGAAACGTGTAGAATCACATTTTCAAATGCTTAAAAGCAACAGAGAATAGAGGTGCCTAAGTCTTGCTTCCTGAAGCTACAGGCATCTAAATCGCGCACACTGTCTTTTCCGGTTCTAGGGGTTGTATCAGTTGATTTCACGCCCGATGCAAAGCTTATCGTTACGCTATCGGCGCTTATCCCCGAAGCATACATCATCGGGAGAGCACCTTCTCAGGAGACATCTAATTACCAAAATTCAACACTCCAGGACGCCCTTGAGGCTACAGAAACTTCCGACGCTCCTCAAGAGAATGAGAACGGCCTTGATGCTGACATCTACCAGGGAGTGGCTATTTGGAATTGGAGGGATTCTGGGCAAGCCCCACATTCATTTGACTGTTCTTTGCTATGTAGCACCTGTTGTTTTATGTATAGGAAAAATAATTTAAGTGTATCATTACATTCGGGTGAATTTCAGGAATGCGCCGTTGAGAGTTGCGGTTATCGCCACCCCAGATATCCAAGTAAGTACTTGTTAGCTTCGTTGGACAAAGTTTTCTACACAGGTCCACAAAGCTGCACACAACGTCATATTTGCTTCTCAGTGACCTGCTTTTACTCTGCGAATGCGTAGCACGAAATCCGTTTTAATCCATGGGATGTGAACGAGTTACTGACGAGCGGGAGGCGCCGCGTGCTGTTTTGGTATTGGCACTGCGAGGACGTATCTTTCCACTTCTATTCCCCCGCGCTTCAGTCGAAAACGTTTAAACAGAAAATTGGAGATATAACGACGTCTGCCTTTGTTCCACGCTCTACGAAGGCTCTCTCTGGTATGTATCTTTCTTTCTTGAAGAATTGATTGTGATCTGCCAAACTGCTTCTAACCATTAAGTACATAAGGCTGTGAATGCAAGCTTTAAATCCCGTTAGCGACTCTACATATATATGACTTTATGGCTATATGGAATCCGCAGGCACGACGGATGGGGACGTGGTCATGTGGAACCTGAGTCTTATTCTTGACGGGTATGCAAGACTGAGGGCTTCTGCCCTGCAGAAGGCCTGGTGACCAGCGGTTGACATTTTTGTGGTGGGAGAGAAGAAAAATTGCTTTTCTGTTGCTTCGCCAAAAATTTAAAAGGAGCACTGGCTTCCCACCACAGTATTCCATGCAGTTGAATATTAGAGTTGGGTGATGTGCATCTGTGGCATTTGTCGCAGGCTTAGTAGGCCTGATGAGCGCCGGGCAGTGTCAATCCTTAGACTGCGAGACTCCTGCGTCACTTGCTTACAAACAGTTCAAGACCGTTTGATCGTTGCAGGCTTCGCTGATGGAACAGTTTGGTAGGCCAAAGCCAAAACGTACGGAGCACAGGGCATGCCGACAAACGACTCATTGGTTTCCAGAGTATTTGCTGCCAGAACAAGAACAAATATCGCTGCTCATGGGCAGTGTGCATTGTGACGTTCTGTGCAGTTTCTATGACGTGCAGCTTCGACTTGTCAGGTGTTTTGAATATCTAGATGCTGTGAGTCCAGTCAAAGAACAGCTCGTCGCGCACAAAACCATAGAATTTTATCATTGCTGACTATTCGCTCGTCGTTCAAATCTCAGAAATATTTTCACCTTTCGAAGCGAGGTGGCAATTTTAACTGGTTTCTCAGGGACAAATAAAGTGTGTATCCTTCGTGGGCACTGCGGCATCAAATAACAGTACGCTAGCACAATACTAACTGGAAGCCGTACTGCGTGCATCCCTCTGAGTGTACTTGTATTTGTCCCCGACATGATCCGGGTGGGCCTTGTTTCTTGCTTTCCTCAGATTCCTACACACTCATAACTTTTCAGTCTAAAATAGAACCACTTTTTAGAGGCAATAAACTGAGTATCTGCTCCCCTCCATGTATATAGGCTCAGCATTCCCACACTTAGAAGGTCAGGCTACCCCCTCAAAGAATTCAGCAAAACTCTCGCACGACTGGATGGACGATGCCAAACGCCTACCACCTTTTGTTGTTTCAACGTCTAAAGCAAGAATCCTAGAAATAATCCCTGCCGGCCTTTCCCGGGAAGATGAGCGATGTTTGAAGGAAGCGTGAGAAAAGCCAGTAGCCTCATAAGCAACGTTTTTGTTTGTACAGCGTTTTATTCCCACACAGCTCAATTCCAGCACCATTATACTCCACTCTGGTCCATTTGCTGGCTCCTATTCTTTCTCAGGGTCATTACTGTATTTGAGGGGCTTGACGCTGCACCGACTGCGCTAGTATTCCACCCTTTTAAGCCCGTCCTCGCTGTAGCTGGACTCACAGGTAAAGTACTCTCTTCTCACAAAAATAGGCCCTGGAATCCGGCGGCCGCATGTCTCAACCCTCAGGCTCAATCCTCAGTCTACACAGCAGTGCACACTGTACACTAAGCTTGTATACTTCCACGAATGTTCTCCAAGGATGCTACTCTCAGGTTTTATGAGGCTCTGGAATACTGGCAACCATGCAGTGCTCGGCAACGTTTGGTTTGACAGATTATCTCCGACTGTCAGTTTACACTATGATCATTCCTGTGGTTTGGAGAGCAGCTCCATTTAATCTCCAGTTTTTGTCTTCGGTATTCCCTGCGGTCCAAGAATGCTAACACTTCAAAGAGTTACAGTTTTGTCGTGGCTTTCATGAGCAGGCGGTAGCATTTAGCCCTAATGGAACATTTTTGGCCATTGGTTTCAGCAATGGAACCTTAAAGATCTGTGAATTTAAAATTCCAGAAGACCCGAGTGGGTCTTCACAAGGTCTTGGCGGAACGAAGCACTGGATTGTTGAATTATTTAACACAAGGGAAAGCCGTGAAGCAGTCACGCATGTAAGCTGTCTTCTCAACTCACACTTTTTGACATTGAACAGCTGTCTTGTACGTTTACGGCGCATCCGAAACAATTTGCACAAAAACGCCTTTGCTTCTTTTGTACAGTGTACATTTAGTGAAGATTCTGCTCACCTTGCTGTTGCCTATGCGGATAATATCGTTTGCCTCTTTCGGTAAGTCGAATGAGCTATTCGCCGGAGCTTGCAATTTTCAGCGAATTACAGATTGCGAAGGGCAACCCAACTTTGTCACTTTCATTACTTCTCGTAGTGGGTTTGTCTGCACAGTTACGACTGCCGCATGGGGAATCCGCAGTATCCTGAGGAGTGGACATTTGCAGGTTACCGCATACGTAGTCCCCTAGTTCGCAGCTACAAGTGCTTCCGTTAAGAAGTCTCACTTACAGGCTACTTAACAATATAGCTGCTCGAAGCTACCTTTTTCATAGAGCAATTTTTATAAAGCACTGGTGTAGGAAGATCAAGCCACTTCCATCCTAATTTGTGGCTTCGATGCCTGGGTTATGCGCGCAACAGAGAAGTATCTGATGCAGAACACCTTTGTCGGCAAATATAAAAACCGTTTGAGACCTGCACTGCCAATTCAGGGAAGCATTGCTCACACTATCGAAGGATCTGCGGCCTTTCTTTTGCCCATGCCCAAGGAGAGCCTACAGTCATGCCGATTCAACAGCCGGCTGCGGGTGGGCCAACAACAGCCGCTCTTATAGCTGGAGTGCAGTCTTTCACATCGCGGCCAGCCCAACAGCCTCTTCCGACGGCATCTCCTCACCTTTACAGTCAGGGCTATCCGCGCCTTTTTAGCGTTGGCGAAGACCGGGTTCTTATCGAATATGATGTTCCGAATTCATTTGAGCACACAGGTGACGTCTATAACGAATTCTTTCAAAGAGTTTTATAAAAGTCTTTAGACGGCTACCACTGCAAAGAATATGCGTAACATGGTTCCTGGAGTCCTGTCTGTAGCTTCGCACCGATGGCGCTAGTGTTTTTTTTTGCCTTTACGCGTCACTAGAAATAAGAATCATATGGCTCATGTCTTTAGGTCTCCTAAAACGTTGGTCCTGTGTAGTTCAACAACGCGCTTTTCCTGCTGGCTGTTTGGCACTACCTTCTCCTGTGAGCAAATCCACGGCACTTAAAGAAGGCGCAGCCTGCACATGAATCCCTTGAGCCCACTGCCTACCACCGTTTCTAGTCAACAGTTTTTCCCCCGATACGTTAGAACTTGTGATGTCTTGCGGCTCCTTAGCCTGGAGAAACGGATACCGAGGTCCTTGTGTATTCAACGGAAGCCAAGGCGACAGTGTGGAGCGCAAACTGTATGGCTTGCGTGAAGGTAGGGAAGCTGCTCCAGAGGAGGCCACATATGGTTGATGTTATCTCCCCAAAAATGTTTGACAAGCATACTCAAGGCAGTGTCTGAGATGTAAACTCGCCATCAAGTGGGGGCGTTCGGCTGCTATTGCCGATGTTTAGACTGCCTCTGTTGCAATGGGGAACGGGGGCGTCCTGAGGTTGGCTCTAATGCAAGATTGGACCCAAAGTGCAGGAACAAGAAACCGATTTGGGTAAACCAGCCAGCAGTTTTCTTCTTGCTATAAAGTTGCTCTTGCCAAAGGCCTTTTTAGCGTCCCGGCAACCAAGGGCTAGGTAACCAGAACTTTCACTTTTGGACCGAAAGATAAAACGTCGGACTCGCTTATGGCTGTTATTCACAGTCCAGTTCTTCTGGGTGCGTGCAAGGAGCAACTGCTAGGTATCCACCAGCTGCCACTGGACGGGTCAGTTTGGGTGTATATTTCCTGGTAACCCTTGATGTTCTCAAGAGTTTCTGCTTGTTCAAACTGCGATTTTCCACGATGCACCGGGCTCAGTACCTCTTAAAAATTAGAAGTAGCCATTATATGCCTCTTGCGTACTTGCAGCAACCCATTCAAGAGTGTCTGTGTGGCGGCGCATGCTGGGCAAATCGTTGCTTTAGCTGCATCTCCTCCACGCGATGGATGCACCACCGTTTTTACTTGTGGAGGCAGCGACTTCACGGTCCTCCAGTGGAGTGTAAATCACTTGGCAGTAGATAGAGCATTTCAACGAGGTAATGCCCGAAAGGACTAACGTCACGCAGTTACAGTTTCTTTTTTCCCCCTCTAATTTCAGTGAGTGCGTGTGCTGCTTCCACAGGACCACCTGGAGAGGAATCAGTCCTGGAACGCTTTCCTGGAGGACGCACCGTGAGCTCTCGTTTGATGAGATATGCGTAGCTCTACCTTTTCATGGAGCTGACTAAACGAAGTCTCGCATTACTAGAAGGCACCACAGGTGCAGGTGCTTAGTACTCACAACTCAGGCCCCAGCAACTCTCTGGCTGCGCTCTATCATTCAGGGTAATTTTTATCGTGCAGCCAAGGAATTATTTTACTACTCTCAGCTACGCAGCCAAGGGGAACACACAACACGCAGCAGACGACTTGGAGGTACAGTGCCGATCGGCGAGCTCCCAAACCTTCTCTGTGCCCTGGGTGAAGCGCCCACACAGCTGGAGCTTAATAATATTTTCAGCGAGTGCCGAGGTACAGTTGGAGTCATGCACCGTCTACCCGCAAACGCTCAGTCAACGGATAGTAACGGAGAAGCTACAGAGTCCGACGGAATTTCATTTGAGCGCTTCCTTGAACTGTACCTCAACCAACGGGCTTCTCAACCGTTTCAGTACTCTGACGTAGTCACCGCGTTCAAGCAAGTCAGCAGAGGACAAGATGGAGAAGAAATGTCACCGGAAGCCTTAACAAAGCTTCTCCTGACGGTAAGGCATCAGTATCCCTATCTAACCAAACTTAAGGCATGTGCGTATCGTTTAACCCTAATTAAACTTGTCAACTTGCTTTTAATGTGCATCCATGCAGAAAGGGGAAGCTATGACGGAAGATGAGTTGAGTCACTGCCTTGAGGTACGCCTCTACGTTGACACGCAGCTGCAACTTTCAAAGGTTTGGCATTCTCCATAGTTGTAGCGGTGTTAACGCACACACATGTTGCCTATTTGCATATCAAGTATATGCAAATATATACTGCAAGTGTGCTCAGTACTGAGTTGCGTTTGCAGGTCCTGACAGGTTTCCCATCACTCTCAGCACTTTGCTCTCGGGGCAGTTTAACAGGAGACTTCTTCGCTCGCCATGTGCTTCAGATGGAGCCTTAAGCCAATGTGCTTAATACCGTATACTCAAAAAGGCTTCCAGGCTCATGCCACATGCATTGTCAGCCTCAGCGATTGCTAACGTATGCCGAATGCGGCCTTAAGCAACGCCTTCCGGTACTATTTTCTATTGTTTAGCCACTGCCATACGCCAAGAGCTATCTGCAAAGATGCATAAGGCAGGACCGTTTTTAGACCAAAAGCCTCACAGGCAGGAGCGGAGAATTTGCCTAATCTGCACTATTAGGGCCTGGAGTTACCATCATACGTCTATGGCGAGTAGCAACTTTGCGCCAAGTAGTAATCTTTTAAGTGTTCGCTAGAAAGGAATCTCTTTTACTGCATGCTTGTTTCATTCACATCAATTTGAACATCTGTGCCTGCTACGCGGAAAGAGTTACCTCCACCGTAGCACTCTGGAGCAGCCAGGTAAGAGAGCAAAGCGGAAACCTAATGGTAGTAGATGGTAAGCTTGACTACGTGTTAAGAAGACACTGCATCCCTTTAGACGCAAATAATTCATATAGACAGATGAGACAACCTATTCGAATGCACAGCTTGCTCAACGTCATCTAAAGGCAGCCCGCAACCGGACTGGAAATTATGCATGGGGCGGAACAACTGAGTCAAAATGTTACCGAGTTTGGAGCCACGCTATATCGAGGATGTAATTCAAGAGGATAATAGCAGAAAGAGGCCTTACGTGTGTAGAGAAGGAAATACAGCACACTCATCCGTGTGTCTACGAGCGATGCACGGGACAGAAGCGCTTGAGAAGCTGACTAATAGTTTATCTAGAGATTCATTGATATCAGTGGCTCCTTTTGGCGATGAATGCCTTACTTAGGCTTGCCAGGCAGCTGTGCGTTTTTCTGAAGAGGTTTTTGTAGGATACCTCCGGAAAGCTAGCTCTGCTTAATCACATCGTCATCCCAGCAGTTTCCAGCACACTATGGACCAACAGTTTCCTCTTTGAAGACTCGTTATATTTACTTGCTCAGTTTTGAGATCTACATGGCTGCAAGCTGGAGAAATTGCAGACAGATAGAGATAGCACTATTTTCGCTTTAGAGATTCAATCCACACCAGGACATCACCATCACGCGGTTTAGAACTTGAAGGCGAGATACTGTTCTGAAATATTCACTTCATGCGTCTTCCTAGGCACCGCGCTGTAGCTCTCAGACGCCATGTTAATTCGGCGCATTCTTCTCATGAGATCTTCAGGTTTAGGTAGCTCAGGGCTGACGATCAGCTGGATGGTGCTGAAGTTGCTGCAGCTTCAACAACTTCCGGCCAAGCGCTTTATATCTTTCGGGGTAGAGACAGCTGGATTCTGCTGCTTGTAGCTCCTGCAAAAGGTGGCATAATTAAGCTTAAGAAACTATCTCAAGCTTGAGCCGACGCAATTCAACCAGATGCGTTAGACTTCCTCAAGAAGCTGCGTGGAGAACTAGCATTGTTCACGTTTTCCAGTACGATAAACTTGTGTTAAAACTCACGAGAACGCCACTTCTTACCTCGAGAAGAACAGGTTCCAGCTCGTCCGCACCCGCCAAAAGGGCCGCTTCTGCTGCACTTGCCAGAGCTGCACTCCGGTCATCTAAGCAGATACACAGGCGCCGGCAAATTTCGATGGCACTAGACTTATGAATGAGGAAGGGGCGCTGCTCTAATAATGCCTCTAGAGCAGTGGCAGCAGCAAGGCGAACGTCGTCACGAGCATCATCAAGCCGCTGCTGCAGAGGATTTGCAGTAGTTGAAGCGAGTTGTCGTAGAGCCTCGTGCTGTTTCTCGTCCCCCTGCACAACAACGAAAATATGCTTGGTCGTAGTTTAGTGGTGTAATGCAAAAGAGCAGTCGCTGTGTGAATTTTTAAAGGCTTGCGGTCACAGCATTAGAAGATGGAGTTTTCAGAGATAGTCTTTTCATTAACGATGCAAAGAGGGGGATAAGCGACCTAAGCGATTTAAGTCAAAATTTAGCAAGCTCACGTGGAGGTCCAAGAACAACTGACGGACTACACCAACTGCAACCGAGCGTACGTCAGCATTCCAGTCGTCATCCATACAAGAGACCAACAAGGGCGAAAGCAGAGACACTGCCGCCATGACTTGCCTAACGTGAAGTAGTTCTTGTGAAGCCGCATTATTCTGCTGTGTGATTTCATTAGATTGTCCGTTCCGCCTCTGAGCTCCATCAGCAGCTTCAACTTCACTGAGAAACCCGTCTTCTAATTTCTTTATTGCTCTGTCACCATTCTTGTGAGCTTCGGATATATCAGATGTAGTTTCTGCTGAGAGAGTAGGGATTATTCGTGAAACGCATAGCAGAGCTACCTGAGCAACTTACCACACCACAACCAGTCCTGTGTGTGCATTTGTCCCAGCCATTGACACAGCTATGTGATTGGTTTTGCTACTGAATATTTGTGTGCGCATCTACCTTCCGCAGCTTCGCATTGGCCTCCCCGGGCCGCCAGCGGAGATTTGGAACAAGGACATGCTCTAGTACCCAGCTCCCGTACGGCCTGAAGAAATGTACGCTTGGCAATGAAATACACGATGGGTTGAGTCAAACCAAAGGCAAAGGAGCTTTTCAGGCCAGTGCAGCTGAGAGCAGCTTACCGTGCATGCGGTATGAAGAAGGGGAGAGAAAACAGCGCTAGGCAGGCTAAGAGGACGTCGCCTCGCACTGCAGCTGTTGCTTCCTGAATATTGCTTTGTCTCCGTAGTATCTGCATCAGCAGCGTGAAAGCATAGATCGTAGTATCTGCATCAGCAGCGTGAAAGCATAGATCATGTTGTCGTCTCGACAAAGCAAAGTGGCTCGGTGAAGAGAATGCCATTCACTTCGTAAGCATCGTCACTCTCGTACCTTCACTAGGCGTTCTACTTTGAAGCAGATAGAGCTAAATGATGCCTGCTCAGCATCTGCTGCTTCCTGAGCGCCATGAAGTGCGCGAAGCAACAGCAGCCTCCGTGGATCACTGGCGGTCCAAGGAGTTTGCAAATCGTTACCAGAATCCGCTATAGCAGTAGCAGAATCACCACATTTGCATTCGGCACTGTCACTTTCCATCTCGTTCCGCGCGAACTCGTCAAGGAATTCAAGATACAGGGCCAGGGGTCTTTTGCCAGTACACTCGCAGACTCGTGCCACCTGCCGAAAAAGGCCGCAGTGAGTGTGACATGAGCATTATAGTGCCTGATAGAATGTACAGTTACATTCACGGTGCACTCGGCAAAGGGTAATGCATGTTAAAAGCGCAGTTTTATCGCGACCTTAATACTGATGCTGTTGTGTCCTTGAAAGAAGATCCTGGAGTGGGAAAAGCGCCATACCACAGCTTTCGCTAGTTCCTGGTTACTCCGAGGGTCGATCTGCTGCAGCAAAGCTGCTGCGAACAGATTTCTGGCCTCTAGCTGGCACAGACTTCCTGCTGCGCGTAGCAGCTGCAGCAGAGGAGCAGCTAAGAAGGGCATTACTTTGTCGCTGTCATCATCCACTGCTGTTGTTCCTGGTGCTCTGTTAGGAGCTTTGCCGCTCTTGGTGCCTTGCACGTGCTCTATGACCCGCACCAGCAGCCAAACTTCTTCTTTGCAAAGTCCGTAGACCCCGCAGAAAGCACTTGTCGCATCGCCCTGATGATTCTGTTGCGGCTGATTCTGCTGCATATAATGTGGCTTCAACCCCCGCAGAAGGCGTGCTAGCAATAGCAGAGCCTGTTTCCTTGCTTCGAAAGAACATACGGACGATGTTCCAGAAGCAGCTGGCTCTTCCAGATTCTGTTTTCCGCGTAGCCGCTTTTCTGAATGTAAAACTGTATCCACTAGGTACTTATAACCTCCATCAAATCTTCTTAGAAACTCTTTTTCAGCTTGTATCTCATCAAGCGGCCTGATGGCTTGTTGGTCTGCCACTATATCCACTGTTGCAGCAGTCAGCGCATCCTGTTTTCTGCTTATGTACATTTGTACTTCTTGCTGTAGGCCCAAATGAGTAGCAATTATAGGCAGCCAACAGCAAGGTGGAACCAGCAGCGCCACCTTCCCCGTGCACTGCAGAACAAGTTCGACTGCTTCAAGCGAGCAACAAAGAGAGCTGCAAGCTCCCAGCTCTTGCAGACCTCCACGGTGCCACTCTCCTGTTGTGTGGTTGCCGCTTGACACGTCTGAGTCTCGGTTTCTGAGCTCCCTCAGTACGGCGTGCTGTACAAGCAGTAGCAGGGGAGAGCACTGTTCCTGCTGCTGCTGCCGCCCCTGTTGGCCAAGTGAATGTTTTCCTTCGGCTGCAACGCAGGTTCCATAAAGCTGCAGAAGCACGTGTGGCAGCTCGCGCAGCAACTGAAAGCCGCTTATAGGCAGTAGGGCAGCAAGAGACCTCAAGGAGGCAAGTCGCTCATTGGCTGACCAGCTTGTTAAGCGTGGTAGCAGCTGCAAAACGAGCATGAGTCAAAGCATTCCAAACAAGTAGTAATTGAACTAACAACCAACAGCAACACCAGTAAGCGAAAAGGTGCGGAGTGATTACCCTCTACCGAACGCCCCATGCGGCACCAGCAAACGCAAAGCATTGCCTACATCAGTCATCAACTCCTTCAGGTGTAGCCCAGCCAATTCCGTCACCATTTCTGTAGGCTGCGTCACCGCTTCGTCAGGTGGAAGAGTCCCAGCAACTGCAACGGAGACGGCTGATGTCAGGCCTAAAGCATTATAAGGCTCTTCGTCGTCGTCTTCCTACGGCAGTAGGGGACATCAGAAGCCCTATCTGAACTATTCGAACAGCAGGGAGGGTATGAGAACTTTTGTCAAGAGACTCTGCGAGCACTGCAAATTTCTGTTTATTGAGGAATCAAATAGTCAGAACGTGCAGCGCACTGTGAGGCGAGTGAACGGAAGAGCGGCACCTTTGAAGAGTCTTCATTGCTGCTTGTATCGCTACTGGAAGTTTCTAGTTTTTCTTTGCATAGACTCTGCGGCAGCGATTTCTTTTGCTCGTGTCTCCATTGCCGTTTCTGTTGTCTCCTTCGAAATAGGAGGGTGCATCGAGGAGCAACACTCTGCAGCGTCCACATGCCTGAAATTGAGCCCAGTAATATAAGGATACGAAGGTTTCTACTGGGCCTCCCAAAATTCCTGATGAGCATTGAAGACATTCTCTAGTAAGAAAATTCAGTGCCTTACAAGTAATGCTTTCTCAGCTTCTGCTGCCACTTCTTGGTCGGTGTCCCCCATCAAAAGCAACACAAGTTGCAGCAGCTGTGGAAGCACTTTCGGTCTCAGTAAAACCCGCGGAGACATTTGCTGCAGCAGGCGCTTCAACATTTGCACCATGCGAACCCTGCAAGAGCAAGTGCAGAAACAGTGGTATGCAACTGTGCTCAAAAATCAGACACGTCCTCAGAGTTGCTACGAAGGCTACAGCGAGTATTTTGAACGCCTACTTATTCTGTACTGCTGCTTCCTGCAGCAAAAGGGGCCTAATTGCCGCAGCTGCTGAGCATATGTGGCTCGCAGCACGAGAACCGGCATCCTCGGCTGCAGCTGCATGGGATGAAATAGCTCCTAGCAAAGCATCATAGGCTTCGGTTGCTCGCTGCGAAGCAAGCACACCAGCATACGGCGCTCTTAATGAGCATACCGCTTTCTCCGAGCACTTCAAGCGACGTTCGCTGCCTGGTAATTGTTCTTATTTCGATGTGTCTAGCCAGCATCTTCTCTAACTACGACTAGTCGTGAGGTTCTTCTCGACCAGAGAGTCATAAAAAGTTCCCCGTTTAACCTGCTGATTGAAAAGTTTGTCATGACTCCAACATGCGCACTACATTACTCCGTACCCATCTCACAGCCCTCTGTGGTCTGGCAAGGCAACTGAGAAGCCGCTCCAGCAGCGGCTTGCTGCTCTGCAGGCAGATTGCTAACAGAACAGCATATCGGGCGTGTTAACAAGGGCTTGCTCCGCTGGAGCCAAAGCAGAACGCCACTGCATGAAGAGAAGAAAGCGAATGTAAAGAAAAGCATGTCATTCTTAGTGGCGTCTCACCTGTAAAAGTACTGATGCTCGTACTTTCTGGCATACTGCAGCTAGAAGTCTGCAGGCCTCGACGGCATTGGTCGGCCTTTGGTCTCTTAAAGCCCCCGCAACTGCCGCCAGCAAACTGTCTGCGAAATCTGTTGCGTTCCAACCATCTGAATTTTTCAGTATTAGTTGCTCTTGTATCTCAGGGTTCTGCGCGTTGCTCTTTGGCACAGGAAGGTCTGTCGCATAGTGTACCAACAGGTCCTGTAAGAACTTCATGACTGTGAAACGTAGCTCTTCGCTCGTTTCTGCTTGACCTGAGGCTTCTTTAAGCCTATCTGATAAAACTAGCACTAACGATTTTGCCGCTTCTGTGTTAGTAGGTCCGGAGCTGCTGCTATGACACCTGCCATCTTCAGTGTTGTAACAGGCGCCACTCGCAGCGCAGTCAGTGTAGTCCAATCCCTTCAATTGATTTTTGATGATACACCTCTTTATGCCCTTGCATATTGCTATTACTTCCTTCCTTGACAGAAACTTTTTCACTACGAGCTGCAGGAGCTGTAAAGCAGCCTCTCGACAAGACTCAGACTCCCCATCAGCGCATAGCGCAGCCACTAATGAGTATACATTGGACAAAAATGCTTCCGCAAAGCAGCAACTCGCATTTTTCTTTTCGTTTAAGGCCGCCTTGTCCCTTACATCCGCTGTAACAACGTCACCACCTTCCGCCGGTCTTTTTGCAGCTTCCTCCGTGTACGCGAAGAGGATGGAACTGATCCCTTGGAGCCGAATGGCCCTATTAGTGTCGCTAAGTCTGTTCAAATCCCTGCGCAACTGCTGCAGTAGCTGCGGTTGCAGATGGTGTTGTGGCAGAGTTAGCAGAGCCATGTGTGGCATTGGCATCGCTTCAGGATACAATGTTCAGCGGCGCTCCCGGTTAAGCCCCCAGGAGACAAATAGAACCAGGCTAGGAGGCACTATAAAGAAAAATCTAGAAGTTAGGGCAAACCCCTATGCTCAAAAATACCGGCCTCCCAGCGGGGTCGTGAAGCAAAAGTGTCCCCCTTCGTGTCTGCGATTTGTGGTGCTGTCTGCCCGAGTTCACAAGAACCACCTTAGACGGCCAAAACATTACTTTGAAGTGAATTTTTTCAGCGTAAATAACTCGTTCGGCTGTATTTCAGCCAGAAGCTCCGTAGATTTGGACACGAGGGTTGCCAGTGACCCTGTTGGTGTGCCACCAACCAGAGCCTAGCAGCACTTCAGCCCCTAGCCTTAGGCCCCTTGTTCATGCTACAAGCTTTTAAAGCCAGGTCAAAAAGTAAAACATTTCAAATGCCTGTTGAACCCAGTCATAGGAGCGAGAGGCTCGCCTCTCCCGCTGTGGAGTCCACAGAGCTGGCCGAAACCATTGTGCGATCAGTACTGTGTTTCCTTCTCTTCTGCATCCTGTTTTACCCTCGCAGTAGAGCAGAACACTATGAGTCATTGTCTTGCTCGCCATAGGTCACCGTACACGTACAATTTCGTGTACGCAGTAGGCGTCTAGGGCTGTGTGCAGAATTTCTATGGTGCTCCGTAATCGTGACAATGGCAGCGTTTGTATCAGGCCATGTTTTCTAGTAGTGATACTAATGCGGCGTGTCATCATATGAGAGCTCAAGCAATGCCTCATGCAGAGCGGCTGGTAGGCTGCGACTTGCGCTATCGCATATGCTTGACAGAAAATAATTGAGAATATACGCTCTTCAATATTTGTGCCAAAAGCATAGGTCCCCATAGAATAGTAGTTAACCGCAGCATTGCAGCCCTCTTGAATGAAGCGACAGAATTCCCTGGCGAAAAGCATCATCAGTGGTTGCATCGGATTGCGACTCCATATAAAACACAGGGACAGAAACGTTACCAGCGTAAACAGCAGATGTGCACTGTTGGAAAACAGTTTTTGATTAACGTACGTGCGCAAAAGATCAAGCAGTAAAGACGGCATCAATGCGCTGGCTTTTCTCGACGCGCAAAGTGCTGGTTTTGTTGCGGAAGGGCTTCGTGAAATAGCAGCGCTTTCATCATTTTGTAGGTTAGCTTTCCATCTGGAGCAATAAGTAGTCAAATGAGTCCCGTGAAGATTGGTTGAGATGTTTGGCCCCTTCAAAAGCAAGCATATAGTTGTTCCGTAATGTGGCATTAATGTTCGCTTCCACTGGATCATCGCTGTCCTGACGGGCGCAGCCAGTAATTTGATGATCAAAAAATCTGTGTTCGAGGGCTCGCTCTGGAGTTATCGCCCTTGTGTTCCCTATGTGGTTCACGCAGGCTACTTTGACGTCGCAGCCTTCTTCTAGCCATTTCCAATATGCGCCAGTCTGTACCAGCTGCCTTTGCCGCTGCAATGCTGTCCTCAGCGAAACGCTCCACCATTAGGTCTACCTCTCGTAACTTTTCGTTTGATTTCATGTCTTCTGCCAGACTAAGTTCTCGTTGTTGTCTCCTTAATTGCTCCTTCTCCTGTGCTTGACGCTCTTGTTCGTGTCTCACTTTCAAGCGGTTTCTGCGCTGCTCTTGATGTTCCCGCTCCTCTTTCTCCTGGGCTATGGTTGCAGCCTTGCGAAACAATTCAACGTATTCTGCATCCTCCTTTTCCTTTTGCTTTTTTTCCCGACGTTTTGCTTCGATCTGCTCCTCTGAACTTTTCATCAGGTGCCGCAGCGACGCTGCCTTCTTGTGCTGCTTTGCCTCTTCTGCCTGCCTTACCTGGGCCATCCACTGCTCGCACTGATTCTCTATACGCCGAGCTTCCTCTGCCTGAACAGAACAATAAGTCGCGAAAGAAACTCAGAAGGCGGACTGCCTTAAAACAAATTATGTTACATGCATGAAGATATCACTGTGTGACACACCGGATGTCAAAGCGTGGACGCATATGAGATGAATACCTGGGTAGCTGCAATCACCGCCGCTCCTTGAGATATGAGCCGTTCGCTCCTTCCCAGCGCCCAAGCCCTGACCTCCTCTTGTCTCTTTCGTATCGCTTCCTCTCTTTGCCGAAGTTTCGCTGCGCAAGCGAAGGCTGCTGCCTCTTCGGCTTTCTGCTGCATCTCTGCTGCCCTGCGTCTTTCTTGAAGCTCTTCATTCTCCTTTACCAGTTCCCTGTAGAGCCGGCGAGACTGAAAAATTACCACCATCAAGCGCACCTCTTGACACAAATGGGAAGGCAAGCAATAGTTCTACCGAATACAACAAATGGATGCCAGTGCACGTGTCAAAGTATATAGCATCTTTTTTCTGGTTAAAAGGCACTTGCAGTGCCTGGAAGTCTTGGTAGTGTGAAGGAATTGCGTGAGGAAGCACCCAGGTCGCTCAATACCTCCTCTCGCTTTGCCCTTTCTGCTTCATATTCTGCTTGTTGAAGTTCTTGTAGACGCTTTTTGTTTGTTTCAGCTTCAGCGGCTGCTTTCATAATCTCCTGCTCTTTCTGTTTCTCTCTTTCTTGAATCTGCTGTTTAAGAGTGGCCCGTGCAAGTATTAATTTCGCCTGCTGTTTTTCCTTGTCATGCATCTCTCTCTGCCTCAGGCGCTCTTCCAGTTTCTTCTGCTCCTCGAGTAAATCAAACTGGCGCATTCTTTCTAGATCATTCTTTTGGTTCAGCCACTCTTGCTGTCCGCGTAGCCAGGCGATTGTATCTGCTATCATCTGTGCGCGGAGAAAAGTTCTAAACTTCTCATCCCTTTGCATGGTCGCGAGTTTGGCCCTCTGAATTTCTTCTTCTTCCTGCATTTGCCGTTGTCTCTCTTCCTCCTGACTTTGCGCTAGCAATTCCTGCTCGCGCCGTTGCTCCTGCAGGCGCTGCTCAGCCAACTTCCGTTCCCGTGCATTCTGGAGCAGATTATGCCATTTTGAGACCCGTGCTGCAGCTTCTTTCTGCTTTTGTTTCATTTTTTGCATCTCGATTTCCTTCAGATGATCTACATCTGTTGGCAGTCCCGCAGCAACCGCGATTATCTGCTCGAGCTCAGAATGCAGAAGGGTCACTCCACGGGAACATTTCGGGGGAAAGCTCCCTAGCGGGCTAATTCCCCCACGGAAAGTAGCGCCTGCCATTGACGGTTTGATGCTGTGGAGCCATAAGGTTCAAATATTTCAGTTTGAGCGCAGAGGCCGAAGGCACGCCCCTGAGATTGAAAGGCAGCCCACACGTTCAAACGGAAGAACTGTGACTTGTGAAAAGCAAGAGAAATTTTGATCAATCCCAAATTATTTCTTTTTTTCACATAAAAGCTGCAGTCTGCAACATGTAACGGTGTTACGGGCACCGCACTGAAACGAGAGCAGGGTATGAATGCACTGAAATGCGAGCAGCATTTGAGCTAACGGATCAGTTGCCTTCTGTCCGTTATTCCGACGATTATGGTACCAAAAATGTATATTTCATGTTTTCCAGTAAAATATTATCTGTTCAAAGAATATTTCAACAGTTTCTTCACCGGGAGGGGACTTTGAGGTCAAGACCTCACGCCGGGCCTGTTGTAGTTGGACCATCAAAGCCCCAGAGGCACTTCATTAACTTGGCTTGTGGCCACTGCGCAAAGGAAGTCAGCCTTTTTATCTGAGCTTCCAGCTATGCTTTTCATATTATTTATTACCCTTAACAGTAGAAAGTGAGAGGCGAAGTGGTCGGGCTGCAGTAGATGTGCAGCTGACGGCCTGAGGTGCAGAGCTGTCTCGTCAATTATTTAGGCCCGTAAATCCTGCATTTTAAGTCTATGGAATCTCTAATGCACTGCCTTCTTGATATATCGCTCCCACTATCGTCAACCCGCTGCGCTGTTTGGCGGGATGAATGGCTACTTCTGGGGAGCGACTGCGGAGCCCTAAAAGCTCTGCAAGCCACACAAATTTCTAGCTCTCCTAATGCACAAAGCTCTAAAAATTTTGATCATACGCATCAACAAGATGGGGGCACATACCAGATCCAATGTCACAATGGGCATGCGGTAAGTTCAAGACCTCAGTTTAGAGGCCGGCAGCGCATAGGCGCATAGCTGTAGAGTGTTCAGTCCCGCTTTCCAACTTATGTGGATGTCCACCATATTTTTCCTGTCATGCGTTCGTTGCCTCAGGGTCCCGTGTGCTGCGTGTGTGCAGACGTCACAAGTGGCCTTTTAGCAACGGCGGATGCAGCTGGGAATGTATGTGTTTGGGAAGAAACTAGAGGAGACTGGCACCAGCGCTCCACATTTTACCTTGGGTGCTCTGGAGAGTTAGTCGGCATTCAGTGGGTTCACCCTTCCAAATCTCCATCGCAGGTGTCACTCTGCGGATTACATGGTGACGGTCGTCTGCTCAATGTAACAGCTGATGGATTGCGCCTCTGGTCACGCGATCTCCGAAAGTCCTGTTCTTGTTTCGCTGCTTTTTTCAATGGCACCGGATTTATCATAGCAACGAGCGAAGGGGAATTACAACTGCATGACTCGAGGGGAATTTACATGCGAAAGATAACTCCAAGGACGGAGGCCGCTAAACGAGAGCGCATCACGGGTTAGCCGGTCATTTCTTACTCCTCTAACAGTCCCTTCATAGAATTTTATGCTGCCTGTAATAGCAGGAGGCTGTTTTTTTGCGCTCCCTGCAGCTGTAGCCTGGCAACCAGGGTCTTGGGCCGTTCGACCTGTTCTAGTTTGTTACTCTAGTGGGCACGCCCTGCTGCTGTCCGCTGACGGAGAATCGTCCTCTCATAACCTAGACACTGGGCTTTCATCGTGTGTAGCTGCAGAGTGGAACCCTTCAGGGACAGTCGCAGCACTATTTGGCCTTCCCGTTTCACGAGTCTCATCTTCCCGAAGTTCTTTTCTCGGGGGAACGCAAAATGTGGGAGCCAAGTCACTCCAAAATGGCACAGTTGCTGGAACTCTTCTTGTTTTATTCCATGCATGCGGAGAAGTTGCAGCTTCTCTTAATTTGGGGGACTCTAAGCCCCGGGCATTGGCATGGGCTGTCAGTGGGGAGCAGCTTGCAGCTGCCGCGGAAAAGTCTATTTTCATACTATCGCTGCGCCGCCACAGCTTGTGTTGCGCCTACGGGGAGAACACAGTAGCAGCGGCGGGCACTTTCTGTCCCGACCAGCGGGCAACTGAAGTCTCTTTTACGCTCAACCATGGTAACTGCCGCATTGTCCGGCGTTTTCGAGGACCTCGCTTTCTTGCGTCAGGAAAAGCGTTCTGTGCTGTTGTGCCACACGTTACAGCGGCGCTGCCGCCAACATTTCTATGGCAAGATGACCGGTGTGGCGCCTTGCACCAGCTACAACACCAGGATGGGCCTCATCGTCTACCCGACACAAGCAGTGCTTATACGGCACCGACACCAATGGCGAAACCACAGCGGGAAAGTCGCCCAGAAGGCTTTCCTGTAGAACTCTGTGATTCTATGGGCAATACAGTGGAGACTCTGTTTTCTCCTGTCGGCCCCAGACACGCAGTCCTGCTCCCCGAGTGGCTAGTTGTTTCTGACAGCTCTCAGAATCTATGGATCCATCACCTAACTCATGGTGGCAAGAGCAACAGCACAGCAGTTTCCTTGAGCTCACTGACAAATTTAAACTCATTCAAAGAGCTATTGCCGATCGAGACAAGCAGCGAACAAATTTGTTCACTGAGTGGAAGTGGCACATGCCTTCTTGTGGCTCAGAGTGGGGGCCAGTTGCTTCGTCTGACACTTTCAACAGAGAAGCCTCAGCTCCAACTGGAAGCCTTTGGCACTGCACCAAGTCCCCTGAAGACTATGAAACTAAATAACGATGCGACGGCACTTGCTGGGATGGACATGCATGGACGCCTTCATATTTTGAAAGTAACAGCTCCCAAGGAGCAAACAGGCAAGCTCTACTTGAGCATAGAGTGATCACGTCTAGACTGTGTGTTGCTGCCCTTAAGTTAACGGGGTGCTCTGTGAAGTTAGCTCGGGAAAATGCCTTTGTTGTTATCAGCAAGAACTTCCCTGTTCCTCCTGAGGATCTGTTCAGGTTCTCCTTCCTCTTGCTTTGCGGAAGTGCTCTGCGAACCCTTGGAGGACGTTCTCGATTGCATGTGGGCAAACGATCACAACGATCTAATCGCAGTGATGCTCCGGGCAGGACTGTTTCTTGTCCAAACAACGCGTCAAGGGGTATCGCCCTCATCGTTGTTTGGCTTCGACTCAAATAAGAAACTCATCACTGGAAGCGTATGCCTTGTTGACTTTCGCAACCTTTGCGCAAGTGCAGTATGTCTTCCTACAATGCTGCGACGAAAGATAACTGAGGAACAGCATGTGCAATTCAGCACTTTTGATGCACAGCCTCTGCTGCAGATGAGGCAATTGCTTGAGGCTTGTCGAACAGGTACACAGGACCGTGGATTTGTTGTGAGTCTCCAGCAAGCTGCCACTTTGGCTGCCAGCTTTAGCCACTCCACGCTTTGGAGACTTCTGGCTAAAGCTGCCCTGGAGCTAGAAGAGCTCGAAATTGCGGAGGAGGCACTCGTGAGGTCTGTTACCATGCCGCAGACCCAGGCCTTTTGTTTAGCAGGGCAGTGAAATTGTTGTATTGGAGGAGTACCGGCCTCTGCAACTAACATACTCTTGAAGAACAAGCACATATTAGAGGCGCTATCTCAGTAGATAAATGGCTACTGACACATTATTATGTGGCCTGATGTCGTCATAGTGCGCCAATGTCTATCGTACGGTCGCGTAGGTGCGAAGACTATTGTAGCCTGCAAGTGCTCAAGAAGGCCCGTAGTCTGAATCCAAGGGGAGATGGCAGGCCCTTGATATCTCTTTTAGCTGGGGACATACTAGGGGCGGGAGCCTTTTATGAAGCTCAGCGAAGGAGAGATCATGCCGCACATCTTTTCGCTTCTTTTGGTCTGTGGAGTGCAGCGTCAGACACCTTAAAGTTGGCAGCCTCTTCACGCAATCGGTGGGAAAACAGCTGTTTGGATCACGTTCGGACTGCCCTGGCAGAAGCCTTGAAGGAAAGGGGGAAGTGGCGAGAGTGTATTGATCTGTACTCTTCAGTGAGGCCTCAAGAGGGACTTATTGAGGCATATTTCTTTTCTGAAAAGTATGATGAACTGGAAGAACTGGCCAACGCGATCCCTGACGGAAATAAAGAATTGCTTTTCCGCGCAGCCCAATTGCTTGCTGCTTCGGGGAAGGGATCAGCGAGTGCAGCGGCTTTTCTCAAAGCGGGAATGCCGGAGCTTGCTGTTGATGCCGCCTTAGAAGGTGCGGAGTGGGCACAGGCTGTTTCCTTTGCTAGGCAGCACTGTGACAAAGATAAATTAGACAAGATAGCCACTACCTACAAAATTGCAGTCCAGCACCAGAGCAAGAACTGCAACAACATGGACATAGTGGAGGCCTTTCTCAACATTGGCGCCTTCGAGGCAGCAGCCCAAGAGCTGACGAGCCTTCCCAGCCGCCTCCTTCACGTTCAAAACCCTCAGCGCCAGCGAAAGATGCACGTATCAGCTGCATTACTTGTTCGGCAAAACCGTTTAAGTCGCGGTTCTGCAAAAGATTCTGAAGAGGTGCTCTGCCCTCCCACTCTTGAGACTGTCTGCAGCAGGGCCAGTGGAACACCTGTTTATTCAATAGCAAATGCCAACATGCTGCATCAGCATCAAACTGCAGAGGAAGAAAAGCATTGGAGATGTGCTGCAGCATGCCATCTTTACCTTCTTTGTTGTTTCCACTTATCCGAACGGCGAGCTCGTGCAGCTCTCTGCGTCGCAGTAAGATTGTGGGAGTGTTACTCGCGGGAGTTTCCCCCTCATCTCAGTGCTCATATGTTATTCATCTCTGCCTACAAGTCAAGAGAGTGGAATTTGTGTTCGCAAGCATTGCATACGTTGGAGTTGCATGCTCAAGAGTCTCAAATGAATAAACAACGACTGGAAGATACAAGCTTGTCGTTCTCTCTGACACGCCAGACGCTCCAAACTCCAAAGAAACATGAGCTCTGTTGCCCGGAATGCAACGCTCTTAGCGCTTACTGGGAATGCTTCTGCCCATCTTGTGACTTGGTCTTTCCCTGGTGTGGCGCAACGGGCCTCCCCGTACGGTATGCCACGTGGCTTCTGCAGCAGGGTGTCGATGGCCAGGAAGCTAAGACTAAGCCAGAATCGCCTGTCTCCCCAGTTTTCTCCCCGTTTATCACAAATGATACAGACTCTTTTTGGCCTCACGGCGGGCCTGCCGTCCCGGAAACATGCGGCACTTGCGGCACCACCATTGTAGCATGGGGACCTGGGGGCCCTCTTCGTTCCTGCCCACTATGCAATCAGCTCTTTTCTTCTCAGCTAGATTCAAGCGGAAATCCCCAAATTCTGACCCCCGTGTTTACCTTTGAGGACGCAGCGCCTAGTTACATCTTAAAAGTTAATCCTGAAGAAGTCTGTCTTCAAGAAGTTGGTGTGAACAGTCTAGCTTCGGTGTAAGAAGTCGTACGCTACACATTGTCCCAACGAGGGAGGGAGTGAAGGAGGCGCTGTTTATCTTGACTTGCTTTAAATGCAGAACACCTATTGCTCCAGCAGTGTCATGCTTCTTCATAGGCGCGTCAAGATACTGAATGCATGGTACTATTGAGTTCGTGCGCCAAGGATTCTGTGGCACCAGTAACAAAACATATTTGAATTTGTTTTTGTGATCTTCAAACTGTGCAAGATACCATCACGCCAGCTCCATCAGGATACTGTCAGGCCAAATGTTTGCAAGAAGCGTGGAGGGGAAGACGAAAGGCAGCTTACTGCGGCAGATGAATTTGTAGTATTTGGACATGCATCGGGACATCCCTACTATACATGCGTCTTTTGTTTCTACGCCAATTTCCCCACTTCGAAAGGGCGAAATATAGGCAGGACGTGGAAAAGTTTGAATGTTTTGAAGTTCAGCATGCTTTAATCGCTGTTTAGCTGTCGCAGTTACACACCGGGTGAATATACTCGTGTTGACTGTATTGTTTTGAAGTTCATTCGCTCAGCCCTGATGGCGTAACATTTAAAGGGGTTATACTAAGGATATTAGGAGCATTTTTTTACAATACGGTGTTTCCTTCAGATTGCAAAACGTTTTACTCACGATATCTTAATTAGCGGGCGCATCTAGCGAAAAACACGAAAAAATCTTCCTGATTGTTTCATTGCAGCGAAAGGTAGAGGGACAAGTGCGAGCTACCCCGCAACAAAACAACAATTAATATGGCGTTGTGGTTTCTGTGCACAAAATAACCAAAATTTAGGCATTTTCAACTAAACGGCATGCAAACAAACTAAGCTGACTTGTTCTAGGAAGGGCAAAAAGTGGCTTTGAGTGTCAAGCTATGTGACAGTCACCAGCTTTCAGAGTGTTTCCGCTTCAGAGCTCTTACATAAGTTAAAGTAAGATTTTCGCGCACCGGAGAACGTTTCGTTGGCTGATTAAGCGTTCAAGTGATTTCCTACGGTTGTATACGGTGGATCCAACTAGCTGACGTACGAGGCAGGTAGCTAGTGTGCAGCACAAGTATTTTTAAAGTTATGCAGGGAAAAGCAAAACTTTCTATTGGCTCGGGCACATCACGCAAGCTTCGCACAATTTTTTGGCACAAAAGGCGACGCTTTTTCCGTCACGAAAAGGCTCAGACTAAAGCGCATTCTTGTCCTTCAAGAGCATGTTAAGACACAGTTTGTGAGCCACAATCTAGATGCAAATATGCACGTACTAAAGCGTAGAAAAACTGAAATGCCAAAAGTCGCGCATAGCAGAACTAATACGGCTCGTCAGGTAGCCATAGGAGGCTCTGCACCTCCGCTAAGGTTCGTAACACTCGGGTCTCTAGGGCCACTGCGGTCTCTACGGCTATACCACAATTTACAACCCTGGCATCCTGCCTAATTTGGCATCAACTTCCAAAGCGTTGGTTATCTACTGTGCATGGATTCATCGATTAACTTCATTCCAATGAATCTAATACATGTCACGCATACTCGAAGGAGCCCACCGAAACAGACGCAGTTAACCGTGGAGCATTGTGACAAATGCTCCACAAGGACCACAATAAAATTATAATGTTGCGGGGAGTAGCCTCACTAAATATGCGTGCGTGGTTTTAATGTAACAACCTTTATAGATTCGAACCGAGCCACTATCGGGGTTTTTCCCTGCATCGTAAAGCAACCGTTAAGTGTTCTATATCCCACGTTCCAAATACTGAAGGGTTTCCCGCCTCTGTTACCACGTAAACGCCTTGCGAACTCGGAGCATGGCATATTGAGTCGGAGGCCCTGGAGATTTGTGACGGTCAGCTAGCTAGCTTGCATAGGATTTGAATACGGTCTAGCCTAAAACTGAATAAAGATTAATGTAATTGCAAAGCCAAAGGCTAAGGGAGGCCTCCAAAAAGATATTGTTCAGGCATATGCTTCGCTCCTGCTGAATGGGCACAGTGGAGGCAAAGGTGACGTGAAGCAGAGCGTATGCGGCTACCCGTGTCCTCAGGGCTTTGGCAGAGCATCAGACTTATCACAAGATGTAAACGGTGTCTCATAGTCAGTAATGGGCATACGTTTGAGAAAGTCAAATAGCCAAAGTTCTCTCTTCTGCTGACGAGAAAGGGCAGCAAATTAGGCCATAAATAGGTTTATGGTCGGGGTGCAGGCCTACAGGACAGCTGTATTCGTCTTCAAAAATATATATTATATGCCAACGAGTATCCGGAGCCCGAACAAGTGGTATATAACCAAGTGCCTAGTCATCTTCCTTGGCGGGTGGCAAAAACGAATTTGTGTTCTTTGTTGTCAGCCACCAAGTTGGCTACTGGTTTCAGAAAGAAGCGGAGCCGTGAACCGCTACGGAAGTAAATTCATGCAAGAGAGAGCGACAAAGGCGAGTAAAAGCATTAACCATGCAAAGCTGCTCACATCAGCTATGATGCAGGTACCAAAATGCGAGGCAAACGGAAAACAAAGGCCCGGAGCAATCGTACCGAGATATATTGCCTTTGCTGCGTGGTAGAACCACGAGAAGTACCGACTACCAGAGATCAAGGAGTATTCATTGATATTTTGGGTTGTATCGGATGTACCTGGGGACAATGTAAGCCTATGAAGAGTGTGTGCTGACTTCGATAAACGTCCAGGCATCGCAGCTGAAATCCAAGCGCGTCACATGCAGTTCGTAACGTTATTTTTGCAAAGCATATACGTGTTAGCTATTTTATCAGCGATACATTCTTGCATGACTGTAAACCCCTGTAAAAGTGCACGAGCACAAAGCCGAGCTAACGCCCGGGGCCATGCACCTGCTTGGCAGCCTGCGCCGCTGCTACGCAGCAACGGCAGAATATGTCCAGCTGAGTGCTTCTGCCAGCGTGAGATGCAGGAGACGTTGTCTAGTGTCAAAACCTCATAGGTGGTCTTTGGTGTGCTGCAGGTGAGGTGATGGAGAGGTGATGGAGTTCTCTCAGGAGACGGATTCCCTACCATGCTTTCAGAAAACGGTATAATGCGCATCGCAACGTTCTTAGCTATGCTGCAAGCAACACGCAGTAGTCTCTTGACCTTGTACTGGATAATCTACTGAAGAATATACCTTTAAGGCGGATTAACTGAATTTTTAGCCGAGTGAAGGTGCTCATTACATGCAGTGTCCTGAGCCCACAGTAACTACGTAAGTGCACACACATCTAATAACTGCAGAATCGTTATATACGCCCTTTAGGAACCAAGTAGCAAATGTTGTTCGTTCCTCTACGAGGGCGTTTTGTGTCATTTGGCTTGCGTTCCCCTTGTGACTGCTCGGTAACACTGCCAGCCCCAAACCCTGGCCTATCTTCAAAGCACGCTTGAAATTGGTCTGCAGGAAGTCCCAGGATTCTCAAAATGACTCACTCGTGATTACGCGCTTTGTAATACTAGATGTTACAAGCTTCAAAAGTAACTCCTGTGCAACGTTGTAGTGCCGCGCGCTCCACATGCATCACCAGGGAGTGTTTACTCTAGGGCCTTGTGGCTCGCGTCCATCGATTTGCCAGTCCTAAAAGCTCATAAAATCTGGCCTGGATTCTAGCTTCACTGCAATTGAAGCACGTACTGTTGCTTTCCCAACCTTGTGACGCATCAAACCCGCAAAGTCCCGGAGAGTCCCGATTCCACATTCGGGATGGCCACGACAACTAGGTGCTAAACTGCCGAGGACAGAGCATAGAAATCACGTTTGGCCGTTTCCTTGCTGCACACCGAAACAGGTGTTCATATCTTCAAGAATAAGTATGCAGGTTTACAAGGATACGAGTTCAATGGCCCATCCATTTCTCTTTGGTCACGTCGGGGGCCTCGAGCACGTACTCATGCAAGAAGAGTTACTAACTAACGTTACAGCGATTCCCGAGCAGTTTCATAATTTGAACAGAGCATAATTCACATGGATTGATAAAATATGCATAAATGTCATGATAGTCTTTCGCGGAGAAGGCCCCTTACGGAGACGTCATACCTTCCCCTAAAGCACGATCCTGTCCGCGCTGCATAGGAAGAATCGGTGTGTATAAAATATGCCGGCTTTACAGCATATTTCTCATGCAGGGTTGCTCTGGTGAGGCTTGATGAGGCTGGCCAAATGGCATGGATTGACCCTTCGTTTCACGTCAGTAATTTCTATTATTAAGGCAGGCTTTTTTTCACTCTAATCCATCTGTTTGGACGCATGTGGAAAGGCTCTGGGCGAACGTACGGTGCTGTCACTTTGTGAGGCGCCGG